AACCTAAAACCCTTAGGACGGTCTATCTTCTTATTCTTCTTAGTAATAGTCTTCCTTACCGTTATAGTAATTATATATACGATGTTTTAACCTATTCCTTATACTACTGTCGTCCTTAGCTACTACTATAACTTTTTTAACCTCTTAGACGTCTGATAGGATTATACTGTAGTAAGGATAAAGATTCTTTATAGCCGTTTAGCTTATTCTGAGAATAAAACTTCTTTAGTTAATTGTTATTAAATAACTCTGGTTGATAGATTAGGTCCTATAGTACTGTACTATTAAGCTTACTTAGTAAATATAAACTGCTCTTGACTGTATAAATATAATAAGGTCCTAGCTAATAGAATTATAATTTTGTTTTTGAATAGTAGTCTATACTGTAAATAGTGTTGTATAAGAGAACAAGGTTACTTTATTTAAATTGTTTATTTTAAAGCAGATAATGTTCGTCAAAGTAATATATATTTACTTCTTTCAGACGGTATATATAGAGAATTACTTCTTTAATATCCTGGTCTTGCTTTTTGAATTAGTATACTCTTATTACTATTAAATCCTTTCGATCTTATACTTTATACTATAGCAGTATACTCTAGGTAGGTATTTATAATTTAATCAGTATAATTAGATTCTTCCTATAAAGAAAGAAGAATAGGCTTATCCTAGTGGTTGTATTAACAGTAAAACAATTAGCCATTAAAACAGAATAGAAATATAGTCTCTATGGTCTTCTGTACTGCTAAGTTGTATTATTGACCGGGTAGTCTTCTGTTATCTTTAACAGTATATCTTTTATTATTTATATCGTACGCTCTATAGGACCATTAGAACCTAGATAGTATACAGAGATTTTGACTCTTAATATTTATTTATATTCTAGGAAGACTGTTAAACTTCTACGATTTTTAGGTCCTATATTGATTATTATCTCCCGGGGAACTCTATAACGGCTAATAATATCTTCCTTAATAAATTAAATAACGCTCTCTGATCTTACAGAATGTAAGACTCTTACTTCTGGCTATCTGCTAACAGAATCTCTTGCCTAAATAATAATACCTTTACTGTTCTCTAGGGGTATTTAAGTTATATTAATATACTATTTATTAAAAAGCAATAGTGGTTATATAACAATGGTAGGTTTATAAAGATAATTTAGAGCTCTTATCTAGTATAGAGAATAGGTTTTAATATATTTTAATATATCCTTATACGTATAAGACCACTAATATCAATACTTAATCAAAGTATATATTGCCTCTTGTCCTTTATAACTAAGATTATTATAGGTGCTTTTTAACATACGTTGCTAGTCTTCTGCTTGGTCTAGAACCCTACGGAGTAATTTAGTATTATCCTTAATACATTAGAATAAATAATGCTCTTAGATAATAAACTTTATATACTTTCTTTTAAACAAATAGAATTCAGATAAACTTATATAATCTAGCCTATAAAGACTAGTTAGGTATCTTATAACTTGCTTAGATTTAACTAAGTATCCTTTATATAGTATATTGGTATTAGGATTATTAGGATTCTTAATATAAACAGTAATAGAATAATAGCTGGCGTAAAGATATAGAACTTCTGTATTAATAAAGTTATTAATATTCTGTTCTTAGTCTCTTTCCTATAGATCCTTCTCAGTTAGTAGACGATAGGATAAAGTATCTACAGCACTATTATTAGTACTAGGAATATATTTTATATTAAAATCAAAAAGCTAAATCTATACTATCTAACAAATAACTAGGGTACTAAGGAGGTCTGTTGCCGTATAATTTAATTATATAACTAACGTATTAGTATTAGTTTCTAAGACAAAGTATACTCTATACAGCTAATAGCAGAACTTCTTAAATATCTTCAAAACAGTATAGTATTCTAACTTTCTAGTATTATATTTTGATTTAGTATCTAACTAAATACCTGATTTATATCGTGCCGGCTTACAGATATTATTTCGAATCTGTATAAGTACTCTGCCCTATCCTTTTATAGAAGTATCTGTAGTAATAATTATAAGAAACGGATAAAAGTTATAATCAATAGGCAGTACTGAGGGGAATTCTAAAAGATATAGCTTTATCTCCCTAAAAGCCACTTAATATACCTCTATCTATATAAAATAAGTATTCTTATATAGTATCTTATAGAGAGGCTTTATAATAATCTAGAATTTCTTAATTAGGATACAGAAGTAGACAGCAAGACTAATAAACAAGCAGAGGTTATCCTTAGATAATAGAGTAGGCTACTATATAACTTTTATAACTTTTGCTTTATCAGGTCTCCTGCCGTTAATATTACAAACCTATCTAACGACTTTAATTTCTTTTATTATAAATTAAGACTTTTCGGCCGAGATAACCGCTCTGGCTAATTCTAGAAGATACAGTGCTTTATTAAGATTCTAAATATACTTAAGAATATATTAGCGAATCCCTTCTTCTATAAACTCTTTATTATACGTTGTCTGTAGGCCTTTAACTACTATATCGTTAAGAAATAAACGTGCCTTTATACCAAAAATACTATACAAAATAACAGATATTACTTATTAAAACTATATAACTAAATTTACTGTGCCTTAGAGAATTATAGTTTAACAAAGCAGACTAAGGGGAGTCTAAATTACCGTTATATCTCGGTTATCTTTATATAACTTAATCTAGTTATATCTAGAGAAGAGGTCAACTAAAGATACTATTATTATTCCTGTAAATTCCTTAGCAAATTTATCTACTATTAGGGGTATATTAGTATCTTGCTTAGTTACTTTATTAATTAATATAGCTATATTAACTATTCAGTATTTACTGGTTTGTTTCTTACCGATAAGGAACCAGGAATTCTAATATAGGCTATTATAAGGTTTAAGAATACCTTTTTATAGTTAATTATACAGTATTTTAATAACTATAGTATTTAGGGTATAAGGAATCTTAAATCCTAGGTATTGCTATACTTTATAAGGAATAGTTTTGATATACTATAGAGGTATTACTTTATCCTATATCCTCTAAATATACTTCTATTCCTAGGCTAGAACTTCTTCTCTTTTAAACAGGAGTTCTTAAAAGAGTACTCTCTTATATAGCAGTAGGTCTTTTCCTATTAGCAGGATAATCTTTTACTTAGGGGTAAGATAAGCTCTTCTTATAATTACTAAGATATAGGGTTTTAATAAATAATTAAATTCTGTCTGAATATCTAACGTATGATACTATATATAATACTTCTTAAGATATTTATACTGCTAATCAGGATAGCCAACTAGGATTATTCTATCAGAATTAGATAAGTTTATAGGCTAAACCTTATCTACTTTCTTTTTATAAAGTATATTAACTTATATATAGTGATAAAACTGATATTTAGGATAATATTTCTATAGTAATTATATATTAGACCTATTCTTAAGAGAGAAGGCTGTATAATATTCCTAAGCAACTATTTAGTTATAGGCAATATATAAGGGTTAAGTATAACAGAGAGATAGTTTTCCTATAGGAAAACCCCAGGACAGTAGTATATAGAATTTATTATATTTTATATATTTTTATAGGGTTTTATTATTTTTAATTATTTTTGGTTAGGACAACTACCATTTGTGCCGACGGCGCCGGATCCGGCGCCCCCCTCGATCGGGTTTGGCGCCCGCCCTCGGGTGCCCCGTTCGGGTTTAGCGTGGCCCGATACGGTTTGGCGCCGCGCTATCCCCAAAGTGGTGTCCCGACCCACTACAACCATCTTGGGTTAAGTACACCCATATCCGGTTTAGTGGCTCCCGCTTGCCCCAATTTGGCATTTACTGCTCTCCACCGCCCGTCGGCCCCCACCGGCGAGAGTATATAACTTGGTGCGTCGCTCGACGTCCTCGCCCTCGTCGTGCTGCACTTCCCTCTCGCGCAGCATACTCCAGCGACCTCGCCGCACTGAAATGATACCGTATTTCCGGCTCGCACGGCATCCGCCCCTTGTTTCAGCTGAGCGCCACTCGCCCCGAGGACTGCGTCCTTCTCCACCGGCTTGCCTACAACCCGATCTATTTGTCTTGAGATCGTCCTCAATTCCAGCTATGGCGGCCGGACTGCAAGACTGTGCTTGACAGCACATTGGTATCTTCCTACGTATTGCTGTACTTTGCTATATCTTTACCCTCGCTCGCGTGCCTCTGTCTTGCCGTCATAGGCGCCGTCGACAAAGCCTGACTGTCAGGAGACTGGAGATTCGCCATTTTTCCCAAAGTATCTACGATGCGGCATTCTCCGAGACTATGTTTACCGTACGCTGATGACTCCACGTATTCTTGCGCCATTGGCTGCTCTTTGTCTCCGCCTGTCCATCATTCTGACGCAAAATAAGCGAATGCCTTGGTCGTCTACGGAATCCTTTGGCTTGTTAGATCCCCGATTGGGCCAGTCTAACTGGGGTAAGCACCAAAGTACACTTAAATGGATACTGGTGCTCGCGCCAAGTAATTCTCGGGGGACAAGCTTTTGGCTCCGGCCCTCTTTTCAGCAAGGCGCAGCAAGGCAGATTGACGCTTTCATTGTCAAACCTCGTCAAATCCGACGATGCGACGTTATTATCCAATGAGAAAAATCCCTCATGGGGTGGTCCCTGTGCATATGGCTCCCGGTCATTTTTGAGGGGGTTGTGCCGTCCGCATTTCCGACAGACAGTACCCTTCTCCGTGGCATGGTCTATACAATTCCAAAAAACGCCTGGAATGGCGAGACATGAGGAATAGGGGCCGTAGAATGTGTATATAAAGGATCTTGCCAGCGCCTCTGAACAGAAGGAGCATGACCTTCGACACTGGCTTATTTCTCTTTAATTTATCACAATATGCCTCCCATAAGTCTCGACAAAATCATCCACTATCGTCCGCCTACCGAAAAGACATAATTCCAAGGGCCACAGTCCATCAGTTTATACTCTCAGAATTATTCAAATCCATCATCTGAGGGCCCTATCCTAAGCCGTCCTTTCCCGCCGAATCAAGTCTGGCCGTCGGGCTTTCCTTTATCGGCATATGAACAGTGTCCTCAAATGGTTCCTCGTTCACCAGTTGAATCCGTGCCGTTATTACCCCTCACTGAGCCTGCTGAGGAGGTGGCTTTAGATTTGTCGGATGAGATGGGCATGGATTTTCCGAATATGACTCTAGAAGAAGATACCGACGGCCCAATATCGAACCCTCACTGGTCTAAGATTGATTTATTGAATGTTTTCGATGGGGCGTCACTTACAGGTCCAGCTGACCATTGTGATAACAGTACGTCTCAGAGATCGATTTTCTCTATATCCTATCCCGCCCGGAAAGCATGTTAGACAATTAAAGGGCTAATTTAATGTATTGCAAGCAGGGAGTCAGGATTATAGGTGGTGCCAGGGCACCCATATGTCTCCTTTACAACATCGTGGCGAACCAGACAGTGTTAAAGAGCCCACTGTTTCAATCTTGGCATCGCCCGGAGATGATCCTTTTCCCGCGGCAGAAGCGAACAAAAGTGAAAACAAAACATTGCCTTCTATATTTGCAGGTCAGTCCTTATTGTTATCTTACTATTAGCTTGTCACCTAATTTTGGTATACAGACTCAGCCAAAGTGGAGGGCAGGACTTTGCAAGATTCCAGTACCACTGTGTCCGCTACCACTAAGGAGCATCTCAATATAACAACCAACGAACATTCTTTGAGCTCTACGGATGAAAAGAACCCTGATCCTTCATTTGGTCTACTGTCTGGCGATATTGCCCCGTCAACTGGCGATGCCGAAGCTGGGTCAGATGAGCTTAGACAGTCGCCAGTTTTTACGAACAGTGAAGAAATACCCCCCCGAGGAATGCGGTGGCTACTCGATTGCAGAATTCTGCGAGAGTCTTCAAGCCGAGGCAAACGAAGCAGTATTTACTGATGCTGAGAACGAGCTTTCACACAAAGAAATCGAAATCCCGTCGACATCATGTGAACCTAATCGAATCAGCTCATCAGGGCGTCGTTCCATCTCCATGTCACCTATATCACAGCGTGGTGAAGGCCAGTCAAAATGCAACCGAACCGATACAGATGCAAATTTGCCTTCAGTGTCGGAGCTTCAATCTGTCGTCATCACCAATTCACGTTTCAGAGAGCGAGACATGAGGAAAATCGCACCATTAGCCCCAACATCCCGTCCAAAAAGAAAGCGAGGCCCATCCGCGTCATCACATGACGGCAGCTGCAGCAACGGCTCTAGTGACGCTGATGATGCGGACGACGTCAGCGAGAGCTCTATTCTATCCAACCGATCGAAAAGAGCTGGGCGGGCGGCAGTACAAAGTTCTCTTGCTCATCCACGGCATAACAAAAATACTCGTCACAACGTCCCCTCGCAGCGTCGCGTTTCTCGGGCCTCAAAAAATGAGGAGTCCCACCCCCAAATGCCGAGGGATCGGCATCCCATATCTAGTCTATCCGATATAGAGACAATTCCCATTCGAGGTTTCCTGACACGGGAAATATTTCTGTCGAAGGTTGTTTATTCAATTACCTTTGAGGAGCGAACAGAGCACACCTGCCTGCAGGAACCCGATGAGACTCCACCAGATTGTGAACGTAAAGCTCAACGCAGAAAGTTACCTCGGCAGAAAAATCACGAGGTTGGAAAATCAATTAGACCAGCTCGAATTCTGTCTAAAGACGAGCTGTCTAAAGACGACGAGCTTTTGATCGAATTGAAGGAAGAGAAAGGATTCAAGTGGAAAAAAAGTGGAGAATATTTCCCTAACAGATCAGTGGGCTCACTACAGGTGCGGTATTCTACACGCCTTAAGAGCCGGTGTGGTAGAAGCGATGGTCTTTCTGCGACGAATATCAAGAGCAAGGCTACCGAACCGTCATTAAGACAGCGATACGGTCCGCCTCGGCGCAGGCAAACCGTCGACCGTTACTCCCCGGTTTGAGATAGCAAGACTTTCGAATGATTATGTACCACTTATCACCCAGAGATACCTTACCACTTAGCCCCAACCTCCATAATTTGATGCCCGAGGATTGAAACATAATCAACGGTGGTGGCCCTTTCAAGATTTGAATGTAGAGCCACCAGATCTTGGGAAGACATCCAAACCTACCTGTCTTTCGCCTAAGATAACTCGAATATGTGTAGTACAATACAATTGAAATAATAGACGAGATGCAGGGGAAATCTGGGAAGTTATAATTTTTTCACCTTTTCAGAATGGGTTAACGGCTAGAAATTTGGTGTTGAAGTTTTAGGAGATATGATGATATATTTGACTGAATTTCCGATTCGCAGTCGATATTCACTTTCAAAAGAATCGGTATCATCCACTTCCATAGACAGGACTTTCGGAGGCATTGGCAACTCTGGAGACATATTCGCCGATGGATCCCTCCCTACTATGATTGAAAGTTGGGCTTATAATATATGCTTCGGAATTTCTCTTGGCGCCGCGGTGCCTCATATCTATTTATAAAAAAGAACTGCTAGTCACATAGTATGTTCTCTCAGGGATCAACCAACAGTCTTCGATTTCACATTATTGTTGGCGAATGCCGATCAGGGGATTCTTCGCGACCGATTGGCTTAGTAACAGGGGCCGGGCAGGCCAGTGAAATATTCTAGGCTTGGCCCTAGTCCCAGCGGCAAAGATCCGACGCAATTTGCCCTATCATTTCGGCCACATGTTTACCTACCAAGTGAGTCGGGAGACATCAATTCCAAGAAATGCGCACTACTTTAACTTGTGTACATTTATGATCTTCGCGCGATCCTTACGGGCGTGCTACTCCAAAGTGGAGCAAGGAGAAACATATAACCAATCATATGAGACTATACATATAGGGTTCTAGGAGGCCCTTGAGCTCCCAGCCATTCTCCCACGATATCTTCTTCTAGGAACCGTAGGCGCTCTAGGAGCAGGCTCGGGCCGGTCCCACCGGCTGGGCCAGCCAATCTCAGTTTGATGCCCTGTTTTAGCGCCGTGGGTCACCTGATCATGAAGCTCGTGAGGTGATATAGTAAAAATAAATATTCATATCTCTAATCTTCCATTTCCTCCAGTCCTAGGTAAAGAATTCGATGATGGAGACTCTCCCTGGAGCGTGTCCCCAGGCAAGCCTATTGCCTTTCACTGTTGAGGAATCGGGCCGATATTCAGGAGGAAGCCAAAGTGCGTATTCACCTGCAAAGTTTACCCACTGGCCTTCAATAAAGAACATATTGTCATCAGGCTCATTTGGGCCTGTCGTGTCTGGCGGGGGCTGGATCTTGAGGTATCCCAGGTCAGTCTCGAGATACGAACCGTCTTCAGAAAACTTCAGATCAGTTATTATTCTCTTGGACTCCAGTACTTTCTGCAAGGCGCCCGTGAGCGGATTCCACAAGCGGACAGTCAGATCAAAGGATCCAGAAGCTAGTATCCGGCTATCATGTAAAAAAGCGACGGAGCGAACGCCGTCTGAATGGCCCTCAAGAGTCTGCTGCAGAGCGCCTGTAGCTGGATCCCAAAGCCGAACGGTTCTATCAAAGGAGCCAGATGCTAGAAAGCAACCATCACACGAGAAAGCCACCGAAAAAACCAAGTCTGAATGGCCTTCGAGAGTATGCTTTAAAGTGCCCGTTGCCAAGTCCCAGAGTCGAATAGTCTGGTCATCGGATCCAGACGCTAGAAGGTGGCCATCATACGAAAAGGCAACTGAACGAATCCAGTTTGAATAACCTTCTAGTATCTGCAGTGGAGCGCCCGAGGCCATATCCCAAAGTCGAACAGTCTGATCATCGGATCCAGATGCTAGCAGGCAGTCATCGTTTGAGAAGGTAACTGAGCGAACGGCGCCTGAGTAACCCTGTAAGGTCTGCTGTAGAGCGGCCGTAGTCAGATCTAAGAGACTAATGGGCCCCTGATCAGAGCCAGACACTAGGAGGCGTCAATCACCTGAGAATGCCATTGAGAAAACTAAGCTTGAGCGGCCCTGACTAGACTGCTGTAGAGAGCCTGTAGCTAGATCCCAGATACGGACGCTGTAATCATAGGAGCCGGACGCAATTAGGCGGCCATCGGGCGAGAAATCCACAGAGCGAACTGCTCGGGAATGGCCTTCAAAAGTCTGCCGTAGAGCACCGGTGGAGGGGTCCCAGAGCCTGACGGTCCGATTATAGGAGCCGGACGCCAGCAGGCCATCGCATAAAAAGGCCACAGAAGCGACTGCACGCGAATGACCTTCAAGAGTCTGCTCAAGAGCACCCGCTGCCAAATCCCATAGTCGAGCTGTATGGTCATCAGAGCCTGACGCTAGTAGGCAGCTTTCGTATGAGAAAGCCACCGAGCAAACTCGGTCTATATGACCCGTTAGAATCTGCTGTACAATTCCCGTGGCCGAATCCCACAGGCGAATAGTCTGGTCATCAGAGCCAGACGCTATTAGGCTGCCATCGTATGAGAAAGCCACCGAGCGAACTCGGTCTGTATGACCCGTAAGAATCTGCTGTACATCTCCCGTGGCCGAATCCCATAGGCGGACAGTCTGATCATCAGAGCCAGACGCTAGGAGGCTGCCATCACGTAAGAAGGCCACTGAGCCCACTCAGTCTAGATGGCCATTGAGATTATGCTGCAGGGCGCCTGTGGCCAGATCCCAGAGTCGGACAGTCTGATCATCAGAGCCAGACGCTAATAGGCGGCCGTTATTTGAGAATATGACTGAGTTTACCGGGCCTATATGGCCCTCAAGAGCAAACAGTATGGAACCTATAGTTGGATTCCAGAGCTAGACAATCTGGTCATCAGAGCCAGACGCTAGTAGTTTGCCATTATATAAGAAAGTCACCGAGGTAACTGGATGAGAATGACTCTAGAGAGTCTGTAACTCTGGACTCCATGTTTTCTGGGCTTCCGATGTCATACGTATCCATAGCGGTTGCTTAACTTTCAATTTTTTCCGAATCGTTGTCATTTCTAGTGTAAATACTAGGCCTGCACAGTAAATTTGAAGGGGAGCGTCGTCAGCTATCCGTTGATTCTTAAGGATAAACCTCTTTACATTATACAAAAATTCCGATAAATTCTTATATTCATTCTTGCTATTATTAGCATAAGGACATCAAAATACTTGGGAACACTTACTTATAAGGCTGATTACAGTAGATTAATAATCCTGATAACTTCAGAAACAAGCTTAAGAAGGCTCATTGCTTCTACCCAGTAAAGGAAATGCTTCTCAAGGAATAACAACGCTTTATTTATTTCAGCAATAGTTAGTTTGCTTTCTGTTAGGTAATAGGCCTAATAGCGACATGAATATTGTAACTCTGGAGAGATATAGTAATTAATAATCTGGCGATTAATCTCTAAACGTTTTGTGCCGTACTTAATCCCACAGATATTCTTTCTCAGAGAGCCACATACGGAGAGGCATCGAATGAATAATCTCTGATGCGTCTCCTTCTCATCTACCCAAAATATAGTTCTGCCTTGTGTTTCCTGATCAACGAGGAACTCTCGAAATAATAAGTGAAACAGGCGTATTGGCTTTGCCAGATCACCAGGTATATTTAAAACTGAACGCAGTAAATTCAACCTACGGTTAGTTTGCCCTTCGGCGACGCCGAGGAGTTGAGAAAGTGAGACCGCCGAGAGTAGGCTCTTAAGCATTACAATAGCACCAAGAAGTTCCCGATAGTCCTGAATTAATTTCCTTTCCTGGTTTTTGCTCTGTCCCTTAACAAGTCGATTCAACACTGGAAGGTACGTCCCGTCGAATTATAACGCATCGTTTCGATGTATAAATATCTCGGCGAGACTGTCCCTTAAATCCCACTGAGGGTCCTCGAGTATATGGCACGCGGTGGCGGCAAAAATGAATAACGGGCTTGATAATTATACAAGAGATCGAATATTATTGGCTCCAGGCCAGCCAGCAGGTAGTAACCGATCCGCTCTTATCACTGAAAGTCAGTGCCTTAAGAACAAGGATATATCATGCTCTATCGCTAATTTATCGATCTTATTGAGAACAAAAATAACTTGCCCATCGCTTGTGGCTTTAGAGAATTCTCTGAGGATCAGCCATTCAGGCCTGCTTGTTAAAAAGATTCGCAGACGTATAGCGTTAAGTAATCCTAGCTGTAGTAGTAACTGAAGAATAATTCGGATATTCTTATCCCGTTTACATTCGTCCAATGCGTCAATCACTATCACGAAGGTAGACGTCGGAAGATAGCTTGATTCTAAGCTTAGCAGTGGCTGAAGAAGTAATTTCTCAAACTGCTCTTTCAACGATCTACCCACAACATTGGGATCGTCGTTAAGAGCTTTCTGGACAAATAGAATTAACTGAGGAAGACTTAGCACTAGCTGCCTTGTAATTGTTGAAAAGAGCTTCATGGTATTCCCTCGATCTCCTTCTCCTCTCTTAAAAAAGAAACTTGCACCTAGGAGCTTCGCCTCTTTAAAGGACTTTGCCGTTGTTCAGGAAATCATTGATTTCCCTGTCCCGGCCTTACCGTTCAGCCAGAATATATATTTTCCTTGGGGTGATACCGCCCATTCTGCGATATAGCAGAGAAGCTTAGTTCTTGTGCCTGGGAGGCACTTATCCTTATGTTGATCGATATATGAGTTGAACTCGGCCCTATGCACGATCGGCAGCTTGTTGAGACTCAAATTCCGATCAAGACGGTCTACTCCCTGAGCCAAACCGCTTAAAAGGGAACTATTTATATGTAAGCCGATTGCGCCTAGTGGTTTTGGTGGAGGAGCCTACGTCTGGTCAACCTACAGAGATAAAATAAAAGATGATTTGTATCTCTCTAGATCATGAATGGTTTTGTCCACCTCTATGTGTCTGAGGGGCCATTTTAAAGCTTGTATACCGAGTCTTCTTATCATTTGCCCCCCCTCTTGTTGGATCAATCTTCTCTTTCAGGCCATCAAGGCACGACAGACAATCACTAATATCGTTGACTAGAGAGGAGGAAGTGCCTAGCTTTGCGTCACAAGGTTCTTTGAGAAGTCCGCTCAACTTGTGGAGAATGCTTTCAAGATCTGCAACCGTTCGCTGCAAGGCAATGATTTGATCTTGTGCATCCTTCGCCTCCTGTAAATAGCTTCCATAAATTTTCACAATACTTCCCGTAAGTTGAATAACCGCGATGACGCTAGCTGCAGATGAAAGACCGTCTATATCAAAGGGACTCAGGAGGAATCTTTGGCGCTTCAGATAATGAAGGTAAGCGGACTGAGGATTGTAGAATCTATATATTTCTTCGACACGTATATATGGATGAGGGGCTGGAAATAGGGAGAAGGCGGCAGTGTTACAAGCTTATAATTGGTGGGAACAATGTCAAATAGGGGCAGGGTGTGACGGGCGGGGTAGTATGAAGCGCGTATTTACTTGGAAGAACATGGCTCTATTCTCCCTGAAGCGATCATAGGTCATCATATAGGTAGCTAGATTTCGTGACGCTGCTGAGCCAGTAATATGCCCAATTATGATGTGTGAACTGCCTGCTCAGCTTTGATCAGCCCCTCGATTAGCCGCAGGTTCTCTTAGCCTCGTATCATAGCGATACGCCTACTCACTTGAAACTCAGTTGGGCGCGAACGATTATTTTTCAAATTGAATCAAAAATCAACCTATTTAAGCCTCGCCGGAGCTCCATCTGATTGGTGAAAAGAAGGGATATAGGGGATAATAGCTCGGGCGGTGACCACCCCGATCAGTGCTTTGCCTAAGGAGGTTTGTGCTGATCTGACTTCCGGGACAAGCATTTACCCGGAAACGCGTTACTGCAGCCAGCCAGGTTTGGTCAACCAAGAGCGAAATCTACAGGTATGCCCCCGGACGAGTGGTCCGCAGGGTCGCTCTCGAATCAAGGCCCAGCCCTACCAGCAAAATATGTCTAATTGGTTTCGCAATAAAAAGAAGTCTCTGTGAATCAGGACAGCTTACTGAGTACTTTACCTAATACGTGCAAGTTAGGTACATAATAACCACAGTAGCCTAAGATAAATCCTCAACAATCAGCTTAAGATTTTCCTGGAGGGAAACAGTTGCCTTGTTTTGTTCGAGTCAACGTTTTATTGGTTAACCTTTTACTCCATTCTCTACTTTGGAGTTGTAAACGGCGGACCTGTGAACTGTTATCCGGTTAGTCTAATACGCCGTCTGTAAACTCCCTCAGACCGCCCGGCAATAAAGACCTGCTGGCATCGCCCTCATGATTCTATTCCCTCCTCTTCCCTCCATCCCCTCTATCCTGCACTCATCACCTTCTCCCTTTCTTTTCTATCGCCCCCACCGGCCACTGTGCCTTTGGTTTCAGCCCCACGCACTGCCTCCTTTAATTAACCGGAGGTGCATTTTACCGCAGCTGCTGCTCGATCCGACGCCGTTCTCACTCTTAGGGCTGAAACAGCAGTCGCCAAGGAGCAGAAATGTTGGGATAATTCAGCCCGTACCGACAGCGTCTGTGCTAGCGTCGATGCTCCTACCAACATAAAAGGGAGTGATCGTACAAAGCTATCCAGCTATCTTTCTCTCCCCTCCGCGAACGAGCGTTGTCCGTTCTTGATTCCGCCGAATTCCGACACATCTGTAAGGTGTTTATGCGCCGTGGACGCCGTATGCCCCATCCCCTACCTGCCCTTTGTGAGATTATATTGTACAGTCCCGGTGTCGCAGAATGGCTCTCGGTTGCTGGTTACGAATGATTTGACGCCCGGATGTCATCGTTAGGTCTCTCTAGTTCTCTACATCTAATTGATACTCTAAATCCAATTGATAATTTTTCGAAAACAAAGCTCGGTGGTATAGGCCAATTAGCAAAAATACCGCATTCGCCTCTGTTCTCGGTCGGTGCTGCGCCTCGCCGCCAATGCTAGACTGAAACTGCGAAAGCTATATAATGATCACAGCATCAACTCCCTAATGGGTGAATCGCTATAAACGGGCTGATGACCAGTGCGAGCATGCATCGCAATGGTCATCAGCATGCGAAGCGGGGATTTTCGCCGGTGGATATAGGCTGTGGTCTCGCTTTTTGAATGAAATGGCCTGGATTGCAGAATCCGGTCGGTATCATCTGCTCTACGTAGAGGGAGTGTTCACTACATATCCCTAACAAATTTGACTATTCCCTGCGAATCCTTTCGACCGTAGAATCCTTGCCAGACCAAAGCACAGCCCGTGCGAGATTCCTTGAGACTTTTCCGGCTACCCAGGGCACCGCCTTCCTGAGTGCGAAGGGACATGTAACAATAGAAGCTGAGGTCGAGGCCGTCATGATGGAAACAGAAGTATCAGCTGGGGAAATGAGTGGAATTTTTGGTGAAATAGGTGAGTCTCCGCTAGCGTGCTCTAAATAAGGCTAGAGAGTAGCGGCGCCCAGCCCGCAAGGAATATTTAACGGCAGAACTTCTTGGTCTATGCTCCCTCCTTGAACAATCCTACACTCCGTTCAGTTCCCGATGGAATTTATGATTATCTGCAATTCGTTCAAGATGAAGCAAGAGAAACTCAAAGGAGAAGATGCTGATGAGAAGTACGACTGTTTGAACTGCATCCCCTTCTAGCATTTGGAGAAAAGGTTCGGCTGTTAGGCATCTCTTTGAAAGATGTCAGCCATATTCCCTTTTGAATGATCCACCGAGAAAACTAACACCGAGCACGTGACGACTTCATAATTGTCAGACTCTCAGCCTTCTGGGAGGGACCAATTTCTCGGGCAGAAACGTTAGGCGTTCAGGTGTCGATGTTCTGTCACCTGACACCCTAGCTAGAAGGTAAGAATACAAGGGGTATATAATAGATACCCGCCTCCCTTCTTGCCTAGCATCAACTATAACCTCATGCTCCCTCTCTCAATCCATAATATCAAACAAAGCCACCTGTGCCCTTTACCCACTATGGCTACCCCTGATCTTATATACTCTCTTGACCAAGAAATTGCTGGTTTCTTCAAGAAGACTGCAGCGACTCATTCAGAGTGTGACACTTTTGCAAGCAAGCGTCTTAGTAGGAACATCGTTCCGGTGGCCGTACAAGGGGTATATAGCTATACTGTCTATGCCGGACCCAATGCCAAATTTGTCGTTCAGTTTCGTCTTGCGTCCCTCCAATTAAGTATAGAGATTACAAATCTCGCTCGAAGCATCTATGGTCAATTTGCACCCCAAGTGATATTTTTGGGGAAAATTAGTGAAGTAATCAAAAGCAAAGAACCGCTTCAGATATACGTTATGAGTCGTATACGAGGTATTAGTTACTTGGATTTTATCCTGGCATATAACAGCCAGGTACCTGAAAATTCACCAAAATTTTCTTCATGGCACAAGAATCTTGTAATTAATATCGCAAAGTATGCTGAGCGTTCTGTTAATCTCGTTCAAAGAAATTCTAAATCGCTAATAACGCGCCCTGTTAGATTCTTCGCTCTTTCATGGAAAGGCCCTTAACTTATGGATCAAATATACTGCGACAACTTGTACTATCGGTACAAAGAAGAACTCGGTTTACTTCTTATTTCTCTTCTAGATCGCTTCCATCCAATAATCCAAAAGTCTCTTAACTCATTACCGACCATTTTTTCTCTTCCGATGGTGCTACTCCATAAAGACTTTGGTATTTACAATATTATTGTGAATGAAACATCTTACAATTTAGTCAGGGTGGTAGATTGGGCTAAAGCAGAGATTATACCATTTGGCTTAAACCTATACTCTCACCAGCGACTAATAAGCAAGGTTTATCTCAAGAATGGCTGGTCCCGGTATGACAATTATATCACTTTGGAGGACATATTCTAGAGCATATTCACCAAGGAAGCTGGAGGGCTGAGTAGTAAAACAATCAGAGCCATTAAAGCCACAAGAATTATAGGACTGCTGCTATCTTATAGCTTCACGAGTCGTCTCGCGAATATATCGAAGCCAGTACCTATCCAGGATGATGAAAACAGAGCATACAACATACGTGATCTGGATAGGCTGTTAATTACTCCACCTACAAGGTTTACGGATTTAGGATAGACAATAAATGCTGAAAATAGGATAAGAAGAAGAGATCAGAGATTCAATAACCAAAGAAAGGAATCAATACTTAAGCAGATTAAAGTACACTAACTATAGCAAGAGAGTCCTTCAGGTCGTCGACAGTTTCCAATTTAGAAAGAGGCTTCCCTACATTAAAGACTTTGTGGTTGCCAGAAGTCATAACCGCATAGGTTTCATTTACAGAGCAAACACACGGCCTACCACCAGTCGCCTCGAATTTCCAGCCTATAATGCGGGTCGGCACAGTATTCTTAACATAAGTTGATTCCAGTATTACAGTCCCTTGATCGAGAATAAGTTCCGACATAGAGTCATCAAGGCACCCAAGGACCTAGAGACCAATAAGACTTGCGAGATTGTTCTTAACAATATAGTCAATAAACTCGTCAAGAAATCCCGGGCCAACGCCAGATAGATCAGGAAGAGGCCCATCCTATAGCTCATAAGCACACAGCCTATCTTTAGTCAGAGCATAGATGTATCCATAAACACGGGAGTGATTAATCTTGTCAATATCGGTGACTTTAGTCCAGCGAAGGGAGGGGCTTTCAAAGTTGGTCCCAAGCATGACGGTGCTTTCAGGAATCTTAAAGTAGCCGTAGATTAAGTAAATCCCAAGAACGTTTTGGGCATTGTGACGGACGAAAATTTCCGCTAGGTTCTTAATATGCTCATCAGCAACACGGGGCTGGTCAGAGTCATCAAGAAGTGTGTTGTACCTAAAAGGCGTCAGATACTAGGTCAAGGTCTCTCTCAAAGGGATAGCAGCAGAAGATAAAATTGGATTCATACAGGGCACCACTTAGGTAGAAATCCTGAATCTCCAGAGCCGTCTCAAGTTCAGGAAGAACAGAACGCCCCACAATTAGAGTCGCCATTGTACGTAGAAGTCCTGCCGGATATATGGCGATGTGTTCAATGAAGATATAAAAGCTACTTAAGACAAAATGTTCTTAGGTATACTGGATTAGAGAAAGCAGCATAGAAACCCAGTCCCTATTTATCTCTTGACAGAATCCAAAAGGGGGCTCCTGACCTACGAACTAGGCTCAAAATGCGGCTCTGTCCAATGCCACACCTACTGACGGGCTTTCTAGCATACAGCTGAAAGTCCGTAGGCTGTAACTTGAAAATCTCTCTAGTGTTGTGATAGCTTGTGAACTAGCGTATGTCCATTTAATTATTTCTCGAAGGAGCTCATGCATGCTACACTCACCATTTTGGGGATGGATCAACGCGTAGTCTCCTTCAAGTATCACCACGCAGGATTATTGGTTAAAGCCAGTGCCAGGGCTCGAAAATGGCAGCGTGCATACAGCTGAGTGCGTCAAAAATTTGAGTTAAAAGAGGGGAACCCTGTCACTTACCAGGCCAGTGCAGATTTCTTGGCGAATGAGAGCAAGGTATTCGAGGGGAAAAGAGGACAAACAAACGGGCTGCATCTTCCGGACCGGGGGGCCTTGGGCAAAATACCTCACTTTAGAGCAACATTGACTAGAGCGGGGTGCGCGGCGCGAGTCTAACACATGGAGATAGCTGCATCAACTCTGACAGCCATGCTGTGCAAGACATAAACACGTGATCTGATTGATTTCCTACTAAGTTACTAACTACAAAGCGGTGCAAGATTGAGATATCGGGCGTGGCTTAAAAAGTGTGGAATGTGGTTTATTGGTATACACCCGCGCGCACATTAGGTGGGCGGTTACAAAACTATGAAAAATGGCTCCTAAACGATCTCAGGGAATTTTTCCATTTTCATAGCTTCTTGTTGCGATATTTTCTTTATTACTCGTCCATATTGCATCCTGAAACTCGAAAAATGTAGAATGAAACTGCCGCCTTTCTTAGACTTATTAGAACAATCTGGAGCTATGCAGCATATAAGTAACGTAAAATGATGGAGAAGTCAAAGCACGTACCGTCGCAATTTGAGTCTGCAGATTGGGTTTCACATACGCAAGAATAAACAAGCCTAACAAAAGAAGCCATTGGCCCACTGAGCTAACAGTAGACGCCCACAATGCTCGTTGGTGTCTAGTAGTTATGAGGTCCGGAACTCGCCAAAATACCTCGAAAGTAGTTTTTTTGCGGATGCCATGACCTTTTGCAAATGACCCAAGCTCTGATAATTTGCGCATGAACGAAGCTGAGACTAGCCAAGGCCATGACCATATATAAGGGAAATAAAACATTGCGGTACTCCTGCTTTTGTGGTCAATTAAGCAAGCACGGTGCGCGGAATTATCAGTTGAACCGCACCGACCAATACATGGAAAGTGATAGAAAAATCATTGCTCCTAGGAATAATAGGGCAAACACCATATAAGTTAATAATGATTGCAAAGTACAAACACTAAGGTACTGATAGAGGTCAGTAGTACTCTCTCTCTCTCTCTCTCTCTCTCTCTCTCTCTCTCTCTCCTTCTCTCTATTTCAATGCGCTTACCTCGCTTAACCCAAGTAAAAGAAATACCCAGCCAATTTCCTGCTGGAGTATTGGCCAAGACAGGTCTAGAAACTAGTTAGGCCCGAGATATGAGATATAGAGAGTAGAGAGAGACTTAATCCTTACCTTCCGTCCTCTTTGATTCAAAAAGTGCAAGCGGAATGGATACAATAAGTCCCAAGAAGGCGGCACTGCCTATAGCAAGTTGAGAAATGATGAAATATTCTCTGCTCGATTTTCGGAGGGTGAAAGCTCTAATTGACAGGAGCCAGAGAAGAAGACTTGTTCCACAGCAAAAGAATACTATTGTGGATGTGATCAGTTGGAAAATCAGTTCAGAATACATATTTTCCTGGATTTGATATTTGCTATCAGACCCACGAATCGTTATATCCGTTATTCGAAAAGGAAAGAAAAATGCCATGCCTTTACGTTCCTAGACCTGGGCTAAAGGAGGGCTTTATACATTACCAGGCTTGCATTGGCTAAATTGAAATACTGTGTATTATGTGACCAAGAGCCATCAAGGAGGAAGAGGACAATGTAATACTCGATATGCTAACGGATGAAGTTTCGGGCAAAATACCTAGCTTTCAAGGAAAATTGACTAGAACGACATACAAGAACCACCCAGCCTTCTAGCTCATGCTCATGATGTAACATTTTCCTCGGTCAATTTGCCCCGACTTTGGGGGAGTTCTGACCCTTAATTTCGGTTACATCACGAACTCTCCTCTCTTTCCCCGATACCGCATTGTTGTTGACTGTTGACATCAGTAGTTCCTCATCCTGCAGACTTGTGTAAATCAGAGCATATAAATGCATTTAGTGCATGAATAATTTCTCGCAGGGGTATTTGACGGCTCAATCTATGACATGTCATTCCCTGGATCAAGAAAAGGACTAGGTATAGATACCTAACCTTGGGCAGTATCGGGCAGTCTCGGGCAGTATCGGGTAGTCTTAGTAATCATGTAGCCTTCCCCGCCTTCTGCCCCTCCAACCAAACCCAAACGACCAACATCCTAATATTTTCGCCGCGGGCAGCCGACGACATCAATGTTGATCACGACATCTCCCATACTTATCTGATGAGCACAACCAGTCAATATATACCCGAGGAACGCACATTGCGAGTTTCAACCCATTCGGAATCGCCGCGACCAAATTCGATTATTTAGGCAACCGCACTGCGCACTAGTCTTGGTGCACTGAATAACTCAGATGACAAATAAAGCGGCGGTAACACAGTCTGACTTGGTACGGTACATTTCCTTGTATTTTGGATAATTTGACTGACCTGAGTAGGCAAGCCGCTGGCAAAATTTCACCACCGTCTCATTTCAAGAGTCGGATAAGAGAGCCGCCCACTACATCGATATATCCCTGACCGAAGAACAATTTTTTGCCTGTAAATCTTGCGAGGAGATCCTGTTCCAGGATGGTAATGGCTCAACTCTTTTTCGAGCAGTAGGGAGTGGACAAATAAAGCTACCGCCAGGCATTCAGGTTAGGGCAAAGGGTAGATCGGCCAAATCACGACCTATAGATTGAATTTACAAAATTATAACATAAAGTCCATCCAACCGTCAAACTGATCATCATAAGTTGTACTGGATATACATCTGCCTTCACATATCTTATCTCAATCTCCCTAGTTTCCTGACTCCAGGCTTAACTGCTTATAATAGCTTCGAAAACATTATCTCCAAACGCCACAGCTACCTGGTTCTTTACAGCGTAACCTACAGAAAATTGCTCTGATAAATATCAGTATTATTCAAGTGCGTTCTATATGTTACCTACCAGCAGCCATCGTGTCGTACCCTGCACAACCGAACAGACTTTGAAGGAGGCTCTGATTAAATATAATTATTACTCTGATCAATCTATCTGTAGATCCCTCAGATAGAAGGAAAGTTATGACGGAGCCACAGACAGCCTTAATAAGCAACCGAGGAAATGCAGTCTATATAGACTCGGGCTTAATGATCGTAGTATAGCACTATAACGGTCCTCCGCAAAGAGAGTATTAAAGACTTGGGCGTATAGTGCTATTAATAACTTACCTTAGACCTATATAATCTATAGCCTGGTTAGCTACTTTATAAGAGATATGGACGATAAGAACTTACTTTTTAGAAAATCTTCGTCGGCTGATGAGCTTAGAACTACCTTATTTATTTTATCACTCTTCATAATAATCTTCATAGTTGTTTGAGAAGCGATTATAGCTTATTTAAGCAATATGTCAAAGAGTTCTTTCTGTATAACCTTGATAGCCTTTTAGGTAAGGCTTAGCCCATAAATAATCAAAGACACACAGTCTAACTCTCTAAGAGCTGCCAGCTTCGGTTCACGCTGCTTATCAGGCCTAAATACTAGGCTTAGCAAATGAGACAACTGCCCCAATACAACACGACTGAAAGCCGTCTTCTTTATAGGCAATAATATTTTTGTAGCCTCGGTTTTCAGCAGCTGCTGCTTCAGAGATATTAAAGTTATCTCTAAATTTTTTAGGGTCAAAGCCTGAGGATCAAAGTCATCCAGAGAACTGATTATTTAGATATAGGTATCTATACTATAGAAATTTGATACTGAAGGCTACTAGGCAAAATAGGACGGAGGAGTAGGCAGTACACCTCGTTGAGATGATGTAGGTAAATTGCCTAGCTTTTAAGTTATTTCGGACCAGAGTAGGGGGGAACTTAGCTAGTTGAGTTAAGCGGGGTTTGTAGGTCCTGTAATACATTGTAACTGTATGATAGATTACAAACTTAGATGGGGCATATGTCTTGGGTATTTTAACTTGATTTTTAGGATATTTTAACAACCTCTGATCTTATATTTTCCTTTACGTATTATTTCTGAGTCTAGTATGTTGACAGGGATAATATAGTTCCTATTTAAGATAGTCCTTTCCTAAATAGTGCGTACAGCGTACGTAAGTTGCTTTTTCTGCGAAAAATAAATAAAAGAATAAGGAGCTGGCGGCCGAGACTGGCGCTGTTGTATATACGAGGTCTGTAGGGGTATCCTTTTTTGATGTCTAGCATATAAAGGAGCACAGTACTGTCAAGCAACTATGAGTTAAATATTCAGTAATTCTCTTTAAGTGACTGTATAACCCCAATTACCTAGTTATACTTATATAATTATTCTCGGAATATTCTGCTCATTGTGTACAATAAATACTATCAGCGGTAGTTCTTACCATAACCCCTCCTAAATATCTCTTATAGATATCCTCTTTCCTGGTTTCAGTATGGCCTCTGCCTCTGTACAGCAACTTCTTGCTGGTAATCTAAACAGCTATACTTAACTGTTTTATAGCTTAGGAATGTTTGTCCTCTTTGCCTGTTATGTAGTACGCTATATTTGGGATATAGTAAGAAGTTACTTTAGTTTGTATGCCTTCTGTTATAATAGGATAAGTCTGATATTCTGAAGCCTTGACAATCTATATCTTATACTACGACAAAGTATACAATATACTAGTTGATTGGATAGCTGACCAACCATTTATCTACAATACTCATTTATTAATCGCTCGGGTGAGATCTACACAGCGTATAAATAACGTCTATTCAACAAAGAAAAAGCCTGTGACTTTTTCTCCTTAGGATGGATCGTTTCTCTTCTGGTATAAGGGATATTTGCTCGTTCTTTACTGCTATATTAAAGAGCATTAAGAAGATCTCTGTATCTCCTCTATTGGTCTTAATGCCAATATCCTAAAAAGTCTGATTAAAGAGTGCTGAGAAAAGTATCTTAAGGATACCCAGAGAAAAGTCTCTGTCTTTGAACATTACGATAGGGAGTGGAAAAAAGCTAGATTGAGACTAATTCGACCTATTTCTACAGTTATTATAGACAATAAGTTGAAGAGCAACGTATTGAAGGATATAGACGAGTTCCTCGACCAAGATATGTAAGGCTGGTATACAGAATGGGGCATTCCCTATAAACGAGGCTATCTTCTTTTTAGACCACCTAGAACCAGGAAATCCAGCTTCAGTCTATCACTTATAGGGAAGTATAAATTAGATATTTATACGCTTTAGTTATCAAACATCTCAGACAGTATACTAATAAAGCTTTTTTCTGAGCTCCCGCCGTATTGTATTATCCTCTTAGAGGACGTGGATACCGCTAGGGTAGGGCACAGAGACAGCGTCGATACAGACTAAGAGAACGAGTCAAAGTCAGCAGTCACCCTATCAGGGCTTTTGAATATGCTTGATAGTATCTCATCTCAAGAGGGCCGGATACTTATTATAACCACGAATTATATCGAACATCTAGACAAAGTACTAATTCGGCCTGGCCGTTCAGACAAGAAGATTTATTTCAAACTCACCGATCAGAACATTTCTACTCAGCTCTTCTGTACGGTCTTTAAGCAGTTGCCAAACCAAAAGCAATACAATGAGGAATATGATAATAAGACTATCAAAGCGTTCACTTATGATTTTGCCAGCAAAGTACTGGATTAAGTATTCAGCCTAGCAGAAGTGCTATCATTTCTTTTAGAGTGCAAGAAGTCGTCTTCTGATACAGTTTCTTATATAGAGAGCTAGGTAGCGAAAGCAAAGTATTGAAGGGAAGGGAAGGAGGGAGGAAACAGGGGCCGGCGAGAACTGAATAGCAGAATCTTAGAGAGGAGATTAGTCAAACAAGTCGTACTTAGTGAGGAACTGTATGTTTGATGGCGCCAGTAAATCAGACTGTCTAATAGCATAGATTATAAATATGAGCGGGTCGGGTCATTCTGCCTCTAGGTTCTCAACGGCCCAGAACCTATATAGTGATGATTTTCGTTAGTATACGATAATCTTAGGTATTGGAATTGACTGACAGTCTGCATTGTTCTTTTAATGGCCCTAAATGGTATATCATTCCGAGAAGTTCTTAAGAATAAAAAGTAAAGGTCAATAATCAAAGCACGCCTGAGTGCCTGACTCTAAAAGACGTTGTCTTATCTAAGGTTTTCTTATGAACTAATTCCATCGTTACTGAACTTTTACCTCCCTAGCCTATTATAAGCATATGTCCAACACTATAAAGAGATATGTTTTTCTTAGTTAATTATTTCTAGGTGAAGCATTGCAGATCTTTGACCCTTGCACAGGAGCTGATCTACGCTTTACAAAATGATCTTTTTCATAATGCTGGAGACGCCTTAACCTATAAACGTATGACCAAATCTTGTGTATAATATTCTTCTTTTACTCTGTGATCGGAGGGTGAGATATAAAGCGACTTAGGTAAGGTGTAATCATAGGCCGCAGGATGTTATATACAGACAGTAATAGAGTTCAATAGCGGTACTTACCCGGATTTTCTTACCTTTGTGAGATAGCTATACTGTGTATTTCCAGACGTTAGCTTAAGGGCATAAGAGCGCTTTAACCGTTCTAGATCTTCTAAGTTAATAACAATCAAACGGTTACCTAGGTCATCCTACAATATATTACGCCACTCACTGTCGCAGTAGACCACTCTATGCGAACAGAACACAGCTAAGGCTTTCTTGTGCTCCTGGTGAAAAAAAAATCGTGTTCTCGTTATTAATAGTGTGCTAGAGTCTCCTCCCCGACCAGCTAAGAATTATTATCTGCTCTATTAGCTTGCTATAGTACTAATATGAAACTCGTGGTGTAAAGGTTCTAAGACAAACAGGAATATTTTGACCCTGTATACTCCTGAGGTAGCTATAATTGTCTGCTTCTACTTGAAGGTGATGCTGCTTTTCTATAGTCGTTGCTTTAATCATAATAGTATATCTGTGTGAAAGAAGGGTAGCTTTGATAAGATATTCTGTCTGACCACAGATATAGAGCTGTTTGAAACCGAGGTCTTAATCTCGGGCAAGTTGGCGATAAAGCCGGCGTATGAACTCTTGTGGTCCTATACTGTGTCTCTGACCACTGTAAAGTTTCTAGTTGGGGTATGTCTTATCTAGAGGGCCTCGGTTAACTATGCTATAGATGTAGCCAATGGTACAGTATAGTTGTATAGAATACCTGTCTTTTTAAGAATTCTGTTTGTTGTTCTGGCCAGCTTGTGTCCTTTCGCTCTCCCTGCTTGATTGGCCTTTACTGCCTCGGTTGTGGCTTGATTGGCTGCGCAATGCTGCTGCTGCCGTTGGCGAATGTGATTCTTCCTCACTGCTGTTGTCTTCAGTCAAGGAGTGCTTTAGTATAGATATACCTGGTTGACAACGAGTGTGAGAGCGTATATTGTGTATTTTCCGATCTTGTTTCTAGTATGAGAGGCGATAATTAGAGGCCCGCGGGTCTTTACAAAGAGTTTTGGGGATTTCCCTTAATATATCTAAATATTCGACTTCCTAGGTTGTCAGCTTGTTGTATGCCGTATTGTGCTATTCTTAAGAAGGAGCATCGGCGATTAGTGCTTAAAGGGTGAACGTAAGAACCTGGCCAATAGCGGTTCGGTAGAGGCGTAACTTATCGTCCGCCTGTACATCTTGATTCAGAATACACAAGAAATATTAAACAATAGTAGGATTATCCTTTGGGATATAGAGGAAAACAAAAGCCTCTTCTGTGTAAATATACCTGTGTCGAACTCTACTATTAATCATATATAAAAATATCTGAGTGACCACGGTGGTAACAAGGCGGATGGCATAGAATTTAAATGTGTTATCCTCCTGGTTAATGACATCCCGGGCCAGATCTATCTGGTATAGACCCGCCACAAATTCGGGGATTATCACTTTATATGGCGCTTTGAACTCTACTGTATAGACCGGTATTTGTTGTTTATTGGCTACAGTATGTACGCAAAATTGGTCGGCGTGTTGATTGCGTCTTTGTGCAGTGCTATCCTGCTTCTGCCTTTGTGCTGCTTCTCTTGCCCTTCCTCTACCTCTTCTATGCTTAGTGTTCGTTGGCCTTTGGGGTGTCTGTGTATCCTGAAGACTCATTCGCTCTATGCTGTTCTCTAGCAAGGTTTTAGATGGGGTTGTGCGATTATAGAAAGTAACTTGGCCTTGGATCCCAAACTTATGGCGAAGAGTTTCATCGTCTTGTAAAGTATTAATAACTTTCTTGACAAAGTTATCTACAGTGTCTCGCTTAAAATTCTGAAGCGAAGTTTCAGAATAGATCGGGTTGTTCTGGATATTCGTCGCTATGTAATCGACTTGGGTATCCGAGGGGAATAGAGGGCGTGAGGTAAAGGCTGCGGTGCGGTTAAATTTGCTCTAGACTTGCTCTTGGAGCTGTGGAAAGTCAGGCCAAGGGACTATGTGCTTGGGGTAAAGTTGGTTTACGGGGTCGGTTGCGTTGCCCTGGGTCGTGAGTGTTGTATCCGTCTTGACTCGGATCGCTTGAGACAGAGATTTATGGTAGTGATCAAGGAGGCGGAACAGGGTGTTGGGTTGGAGTTGCCGTTCTGCCTCCCCCTGGAGGCGCTCTGCTTCTTCTCGTGCCAGTCTCTCTTCTTCCTTGTGTTGCTCTGCTTCTTTCTGCGCCTTTCTCTCTTCTTCTTGCGCCTGTCTCTTCTCTTCCAGCTGACGTCGTAGCTCTGCAATAGTTTCTTCTATCGCTTGTTGATATCAGTATTCAGCAGATAATCGAATGACGTAAATTGAAGTCGATATAATTTAGGTTCGCTGTCGCAGAGGAGAGGCCCGCTAGGGCGGAATGCTCTAGTGTTTACCAGCTTACTCACTGCCTTGGCACGATTCAAATCATGCCTCAGGCATAAAATGTGCCAAGCCGTTCGGCCTTTTTGATATTGACATTCTGAGTCCTTTTGTTTTCTGGAATCTGGAATATGAGTCGAACCGATGGTTTTGGATAATCTAACCTGGCCGCCTGGCTAGAAAATGGATAGATTGAGTCCTGATTCATATTCTCAGCAAGCACAGTCACTGTGGTATGGCCATTATCTCAATTACATCACACGAGAGACCCTGTTTTCTGTTCTTCAGTACAAACAGCCGCCTGCAGCGAAGGATTTATTGTATAACTCGCTAAGTAAGACATTCAACGAAGCTAGTAGTCAGCGACTCTTCTTCTGATATAGAGAAAGAATAGGCTTACCTTTCTCATTCTTCGTCTGTTCTACAGAACACGCCTCTGGTGTACTCTAAGCTTTGGTGATTAGACGCCACACAATCACTCGCCAATAAACCCTCTAATAAGTAAAGAGACATACCTTCCCTGTCCGAGCACTTGGATTTCTCGTCAGAAATAGGCTTTATAAGCAGGTAAATTAGCTGCCTTCACCGGTCTACGAAGGTCATTTGCTGGAGAACGCCAGGAGAACCGACATCTGACAGAATATTTATAAGTTAAGGTTTTGCTTCATGATTATAGGTTCTAGTCAAATCGCCAGCCTCGAGCAGGTATCGATGGATCGATGGGAAAGTAGGTGGGTAGATTCAAGTATCCCGCAGAAAGAAAGATGCGGTCGATGGGGTAATCACTGCCAATAAAGTGTGGTGGTTTAAAGCATTTCTTAATAGAGAAATATCAACCTCAAATTTTTGACCTACTTAGCTTCTCACCAAATACCTCAAAATATGTATTTAATATCTTGTTTCACCGTTGACAAACGTTGAGTCTAAATTAAACTCCTGTGCAGGCATCTCAAGTACAACAGATTGTATGCCTTATCTATTGGAATGACGAGTTCAACGGTCTGTGTCGCCGAAGCATCTGTGTCCAACTGGTAGCGTTTGAGTTGATCCACGTTGGTAGGGAACATGCGCTGTCCACTAGAATATTATTTGTTCAACTGGACGTATATAATGGTTAACCGCATAGTCACTATGTTCAATTGTAAAGCTCTTGTGTACATATTCTTGAGGGTGTATGGTCCTGGATCTCCACAGAGCCCCACTGATCGCCCACTGACCATCCTCCAGTAAGGCTGAGGAATCGGCAAGGGGAGATATATTTATTTTCCTTTGGTCCGCCCTGGCCCTAGAACTCAGAATGGAGCGGAGCGCAGGTTAGAAAAATTTATTGTCAGAAAGATGGGGTGCGAGACTAATAGGAGACGCACGGACCTATGACCAAGGTGGAAAAGGTATTTTTGTTTTACTAATCCCATTCAATCAATCCTGCTTTCCACAGAAAGGACGCTGTTTAAACTAGCACCTTCTCACCACTGCTTACGCCCTCATATCTTTAACTGGAATCTGGATTGCTCTTTCAACACGTCCGTTTCCCCTATTCGTTGGAATCACAATGTGCGCTCTTTCCAGACCCTGTTCATTCAATCCAATCCACATTTTAGTGCTATCAGTTACTTGAGAATCAATACTTGAGAATCAACGGTAGTCGTGAAAGCATCCTCACGAACAAATTTGCAAGTTTAGTTGGCTATGTAGACGTGAGTATGTACCGCAACTTTGGTCTAACCGAACCTCGGAACCTCAACGAAAATTCTGGAGCTATTTTAGATAATAAACATGATAGGGAAAAGGCCAAAACCTGGAGGTTGTACAGTCACCTATTCTTGGGCGACCGCCTATTCGTGGGCGGCCGCCTCTTCGCGGGCGCCTCCCTCTTCGTGGACGACCGCTTATTCGTGGACGGCCGCTCTCAAGTAACGATTGTGTGACTGATGAGCTAGCGTAGCTCATAGATGAGGGCCTGGGAGTAGATCGTAGGATCCAAGAAGGCCCTTGAGCTCCTAGCCACTCTTATGACAGCTCTGGGATCGTATTCTCAGCCACGAGCTTTTTCCCCCTGGAAACTAAGATCGCTCTAGGAGCAGGCAAACCTGGGAGCTCTCCGCCTTTTTGTCAGGGTTCAATATATGGTATATACAATAAGCGGAGGACATAGACCCGCATAGTGTATCTCGGTTCCTCTGAACGTAAGGGAAGTTACTGTTTGCTACGTCCTATATTTGTGCTCTAGAACATCACAGATAGCAATTTTACCAGGCGGAAATCATTGAAGTATATAATATTTTGCATGTCTATTTTTGGGCTAGGTCTATTTTGATCAGGATCAAAGATTAGGGCACCGAGGAGATTCTAGCCAGCATAATTTTCAACCAAAGAAAAGTTACCATCTTTTATTATACTTATAACGCTAATCGCTGAATAGAGAAGCAATTTGGGTCTTCTCAATATCTATAACCATAATTCAAGTCGCAATGATTACAGCTATATAGCTTCCGAGACAAATAGCATCAAAATAGTGTCAATCCAAATGGGCCAGTCATCATCCTATCTTAGAGCACAAACAGCCATACAATATTCCCAATATACTGAATACCATCCAGACTTCTCCCAATCGATTAACACAACCCGTGTTCTTTCATCATCTTGCTGAAGCTTCTCCCGAATAATGATATTCTTTCTTTGTAAATCGCCGTAGGTGAAAGTCGCTTTATGGCCTTGGAAAATAAGCGGAAGGCATTTTCGAAGATATTCCACTCTGTAGTGTGGACCTCCATTATAGGAGTACTTCCGTAACATCGCTTCGTTGAGGCTTTCTTCAGAATCGAACGGTCCATTCACTAACGGGTCTGGTTCTTCTGTCCAAAATATCCCGTCCAGAAGCTTTCTTTTGCCGAAACTTCCAAAGTAGTTTGGAGATGGAAGCTGGCGTATTTCATTAAATTATATTCGCAGATCGCTCAAAATATTTTGTTTCTTGGTTTGTGTAAGCTGTGGCCAGGCCGCAAGAAGGGTTTTACCGATGATGCGCTCTATAATGATAAAGCTTTTGCCAGTCTTGGTATCCGAGTAAAGAGCGAAGACTCGTGGAACACAGATATTTGTATTTTCCCGGACAAACAACATATTCTCTCCTTCAGCGAGGTCAACTCCTTGCCCAAATTTCACAACAAAATGTTAGCCTACCCCGATAACTCTTCGCCCTCTATATTCTAAGGATATGTCTGGAGTATTTTTGATTTCGGAATTGGTTGGTAAAGGGCAGGGCAAATCAGCTATGTAAAACGGAATGCTGAATGATTCCTTTATTTTAAACTAAGATCAGTCAGTAGACAGGCTGAAGAGCCGAGAAGAAAAATTAAGCGTACGGCGCGCCGGCGGCCACTCCTATTTATGAGCCAGTGATGCAAACATCATTGATTTGTTGCTGTTTGTTTGTTTGTTTGCGTTGGTTACGTGATAAAAATGATCCGCCGATGACTTAAAACTCGGACGGGATTTGCTTCCTTACCTTTAGCTCTTATAATTGAAGAATCTCTTCTTGAAAGTTGGACGACTAGGCTCTATATAGTGCCAACTAAATTAACTTCAGACTATAAAATACAGACTAAGGTAGGGAGAATGCGAAATAACGAAGGGGTCCAAGAAAATGGTCTCTGATTGTATTTACTGGTTTGTATCAAGCTTTAGGGATAGCCAAACACTGATTTCCGCTTATTTCTTCAAGACGCCTGTATTGACCAGAGCTTGTATGGCTTCTTGGGTCCATTCCTAACAGCGGCGAAGAGGCTCTTTTAGGTAGAGCCTCCGAGGCCCCTCGAACTGCTTTTTAGGTAGGGGTATGCTTTCGTAAGTTGGCTTGATGCGAGCAAAATCGGCTGCGGTAATATTTCCAATAAGTTCTTTGCTTTGATAGGTTGCTGAATCTTCTGGCTTTTTGGCAGGCTTGTCTTCGTGCTTCATCCTATTCTGTATATCTCTAGTGACCTGAAATATATGACCAGATTGGTCATGATTCTTTTTGACAAAAATAGTGTGATGATCCCGTGGAAGGCCGGCGTAAGAAACCCGATAGACGTTGAACGATATAACCTAATAGTAGAATCAGTATAAGGATAGGAGTAGTCTTTATAGGAGGGAAGTATACTCTGTAGATGACGAAGAGGAGGATACTGTCTTGATAATAAATTCTTCAACTTATAATGGTTATATTTTCAGCCTCTCCGGCCGACTATTTATGTTCTTTCCAGGATACTCAAGCGAGACAACGTTACTATTATTGTCTCTTACTCTTAATTATCAACCTATTAAGCTAATCTATATACTATACGCCTCTAAAAGTAAAACGAATATATATAACCACCACTTATGTACGGCTCCACAACAGGAAATGCCGTTGATATCTAACGATTTATCGTTAGATACACTATTTTGTTAGTGTAGAGTAGAGTGGAAGAGTTTCTAATCTTTGCGTGCGGCTAGTCCTGACAATAATAAATAGTCATTTATTAGGTAGAAGACAACTATTTTTTACTTATGCTATAGCCACTAGACCCCTCAAGGGTTGATTTATATAGGAATTCTCGTGGTTAGTATAATTATTAGCCAGATCTCCGTATATTCTTTATGTAAAGAGTCTATACGCTGTATATTTTGCCTGATGTAGCCCTGTACAAACGGCTAAAGGCCGAAAAGTTAGCTCTACCTCTGCCGGTATCTCTAATTGGCTGGGTAAATTTATACGCCAAGGGCTAAGCTAGACATACAGAAGTTCGCTCCCTTGTGTGCGTTATGCCTACTATTTGCAGGGTCCCGACTGTAATTAATTATTTTTTATGATGGATCTAAAGTAATGGGGCGGTTTCATAACCAGATTCCTTGTGGCTACTTTTCTTAGTACAGTTAGATCAACCTTAACCAAAAGTAGCGGGTCGCGGCCATATAAGGTTGCGTACAAGCACGATATAGAAATTCTGCTACAGATATCTAGCAAAGGCTATAAAGATACATACTGCTGATGGCTTGCGAAAGGTCTTTATGGTATTTATGCTTTATTTCGCCGGGAGTATATAAACGTATGTATTTGCCCCATTAGGATTCCTCGCCGTCTAGAGGTTTTTTTCAGTCCTCTGAACCGGCGTTGGGTAATAGGCGCCCTAGCAAAGTAAGTATATATACTGCTTATAAACAAAGCTTCTCAGCGTATACCAGATAAGGACTAAGAAAGGACCAAAATCCCGATGTATCTACAGAGAAAATAAATACCTTCTCTGACTCTCGAATCCGAATGCCTAGGCATATATCTGCGCCGTATAACTTACTGTACTCCTTTGACTTTTTTTCTAGGGATATCTTGCGTCGATCTGTTTTCTGTTGTAGTAATTTCTTGGCTACGCTGTAAGCCTTAGACTGTTTACCAGAGTTTCGGGCTATTATAAGGGAGTAGTGTGAATAACTAGAGGCGAATAATACGACTGTATCTAGGCGAGGTATTTGTATTATAAATGATATATATGCCTTCCCAAGGAAAAATCACGAAAAGACAAAAAGCGCTTTTAAATTGCTGCTTTAGCCAAAAGCCACAATTTTCAGGACCACTATGGTTTTTAATCTTTAGGCATATCCTGTGGTTTCCATTATTTCCTCTAATATAATTCTTAGACTATTAGTAGTTAAGGGTAAGTAGAAGGTAAGTAAAAGGTAAGCCGAGGTAAGAACGAGACTGCACGAATTAATCCGCTTTAACTATCTCTTCCTCTCCGCCCTGGCGGTGAATCTTATCAGCTAATAATCTCAATAGTGATCATAAAGCAACCTGTCGTTATCGCTGATACCTCTTTGATATAGCAATAAGTTAGCAAAGAGGCTCTTACTAAGTTAACCTTCTGTTCCATTTTTTGCTACTCGTCCGGCCTACTGACAGCAAAAGGGGTCGCACGCCATAAAATACATTAGGGAGACCGCAAAGGAACATATACGGGCCCATTTGTGCAATATTGTTTCAGTTCTCCCTAGTGCTGGTTTAGCCTAGTACGGATCGCTATAGCAAACTGCAGCACTGTTTTAAGCGCGAGGAACGGAATTACCCGTGTGGGTCTAGTGGCGGTTTAAGGGCATAGATTCTCTTGAAGTGTACGTTATTATACAGGTACAGGTCTTTTTGGCCGCACCGAAAACTGTATCGCAGATCTAAAATTATATTGCAGAACGTATTAATACGAAAGCTACCTCTTGCGACCTTGTCTCAGGTTTCCCCAGGTCTGTATAATGGGCCAGACTTGGGGTTAGGATTTTTCTAGTATATCGTCAATTATGGACCTTCAGGCTATGTCTGGGCAGCGAGCTGTTCGTTTCCTTGACGTGCAAGGCTAGCGGGTGCAGAAGACAACTGCCCCCGGAGCGACTTGCGCCTGAATACCCGAGAGATGTGACTTATCTTGGGAACTGTCTTGAGAACTCATGCCGGCGTAAGTTATTGGCCGGTATATTTTTTGCAACTGTTAACTTTCACCGATTTACACAGCCCCCTAAAACCTCTCCCGGACAAAACTCACCGCCAGGTAATGCTACTTATCACTACGTTCTCGATGCTGAGACATGAATGGCGAAACTCTACCAGCAGCTTTTAAAATACAATATGTATGGCGAGTAGTTGTATTGTAACTTAGAAAGTACTTAGTAGAATCTTCAATACAAGTCTCACTAGAAAAGCCCCTAAGATTCTTGGAAGATTCGATAGTCTGTGAATAGATTCTGAAGATTTTATCTGACATGGGACATGTTTACTGAGACTCATACTGGCCCAAGAGCGTATTTAAACTGTGATACACATCCGAAGAACCATGCAGAGCAAGAAACCTATTCTCATAAGAGCAGGTCTGTTGTGTAAAGTGCTTTCTGGAAAATGGTAACGAAGCAGAGCTTATCTGGAATTGCCTCCTTTGAGTTAAGTAATAAGAAAATCTTCTCAAGCATATGCTGAGTCATAGGAGGGGATTCTCAAGAATATTTTGTTCCTGAGAATTCCCTCCCAGGTTCAAGCCCTTCCCAAGAAACTTTGTACGGGAGCCGTCAGTCCTGCGGGAGCCTTCAGTCCTGCGGGGGAAGCTCAAGAGTCGCCTAGTAATTATTGACTTCTTTGATTGGTTCACTTTTACTCCTTTCTCCACTTTGGAGTAACCCACGCTCCAGTCCATACTCTCTAGTCTGCCCACGCTCTCCAGTCTGCCCACGCTCTCCAGTCTGCCCACGCTCTCCAGTCTGCCCACGCTCTCCAGTCTGCTCACACTCTCCAGTCTGCTCACACTCTCCAGTCTGCTCACACTCTCCAGTCTGCTCACACTCTCCAGTCTGCCCACGCTCTCCAGTCTGCCCACGCTCTCCAGTCTGCTCACACTCTCCAGTCTGCTCACACTCTCCAGTCTGCTCACACTCTCCAATCTGTTCGGACTTCGCTGATTTGTCCGGACTGTTGGCACGTTGACCTCTGAAGCTTTCTTTCGGGTCTAATGGCCCACGAAAAAGACGTTACTGATACATAAACTGTTCCTGACTACAGATTGAAATGCGTAGTTCAAGGCTGATAACTTATAGCCAAGGTACGTGGAAAAAGCTCACTGACTAGGTCCTGGGACCACAACGGACCTGGGACCGCTCGAGACATAGGAATTGAGACATTAGGCCTAGGTGTCCTGAAGGCTATGGTTTTAAGTGTGCTGTGGGCCTAAGTCTCAGGTGGACGTACGTCCAAGGCTTCTGGCCCAGCTGGGTACTCAGTCTGTCAACTGGGGTCCTCCTACCCGAAACCAGAGTCCTTTCACCCTGGTTCCTCGACATTTTACATATGCCGCCTGACCTGTAAATTCTCTAGCCGCAACTATTCTACTGTATCTTAACTCCAACGAAACAAAGAGTGATAGCCCGGCCGGGTTCTCAGTTTAGAACTACCTTCCTGGAGGCACTTTTAGCCCAAGAGAATTACTGCCCTTATACAATACGCTGTGTGGGATCATTGTGTAGGTTTAAGCGGCCGAATGAGGCAGCGAGACACAAATGACTAGCACTTGCTGTAGAACCTGTTCTGAGCGGAGATGGATAGAATTTCTAAACACAGGAGACAATAGTCGAAATCAAAGGACCGTGAGCTTCAGCTGCCAATTATTGGCCAATTCACCTAGCTGGCTGACAATCCTGGGATTGTCGGCCAGCTAGACTGCTCAGCGATCAATTGGCGGCTTTCCTGGCTTACCAAATCTGTGCGCCAATGGACTGCGGCCTGTCGATACCATGGAGTTCGATTTCAAAGTACTATTATTCTATATCATTGTCGGAACTTGGAAGCTCTTCGTCATGACTGGCAGGCACAAAAATCATGACTTAACACTTTACGCAGGGGCGACTGGACAGATCTTGGCGACAAGGCGGCCTTCTTTGGCCCTCAACTTGGCATCGGCTTACAATCCTCCCGCGAGGATGAATAGTAGCAGAAATCACACGCTACGTAAGAATGGATACGTGTCTGGAACTTAAGGTTTAACTCGGTGAAGCTCTTGCCATTTCCCAGGGTTTCTAGGGAGGGCTGACAACCTCGGCGAGGGACCCATGGCATTATCGAGAACGCAATAGAAGCGCATCGAGGGTTGTTTGTCTTCCGTTGATCATGCTGGAACATTCCTTGAGGTTCTACGACCTCCCTCGTAAAACCACAGAGGTTGTGAGAGTGCTGGGGGAAAAAATTCAAATTTTAATTTAGAACCACTGAGGTTTTAAAACCCCAGGTCTTAGTTTGAAAACCTCTCCGTAGTATTAAAACCTCAGGGGGTAATTCTAAAACCCCATTCAATAGGTGTAAAACCACCAAGGTCTTGAAACCTCCAATTCTAGTTCTAATACTCTACATCATAGTTTTAAAACCTCTGGAATTTTTATCTCATGTAGTCCGGAATTGTCAGTCGATCTTGCCGTCGCTTTTCAAAATAGTATTTGGAGGCTTTAGAAATACCATTTGAGATTTCAATACTGACGTGGGAGGTTTTTAAACCAAAGTCTTGAGTTTTAAGATCTCAGTGGATTTAGAATTACTTTTCGAGGTTTTAAAACCTGGTCGCTTTTTTGGATTCCCGAGATTGAAACCCCGGTGGTTGTGTTTTAAGGTGTTAAAACTCCCGAGGCCGCAGATTAGACATTTTAAAGACATTTTTAAGCCCCGCGTGATAACCTTGCCGCTTTGTGAATGATTGGGATACTATACCTTTGTCACTATGTAGTTTCATTTTTAGCCGGAGGGCGCACTCAGAGACCGTCGAGTATCCACCGACCCGGCACGACTTGAATCCGATAATTCCTGCCTAGAAGCCAAGGCACCATCTCAGATTGAAATAATTTCAGGGCTGCAAACTGGGGCCACCCGGACTAATAGGAAACGCACGTGATAAAAGCCCTGACCCTCAAGAACGAACGTTTAAAAACGGTCTTCCACCAGGCACTCTTTTCCGAGGATTCACCAACGAACAGTACTTAACCACCTACATTACTAACACCATCATAGCTGTATCCAAGAGAATGAACGTTTACTTCACGATAGGCCAAATTAGTCCCATGATAGCCCCAAAATAAACCCCAAAATAAACCCCAAAATAGTAATCCATCGACGAGACGACCGTACGTAGACCCGTGTTTTTTTCGAATCCTCCTGGCCATTATTCGTTGATTAGCGTTGAATTGATTAAAGTAATCAGTAAGAAAAGACCATCAATATACAGCAGCAGATAATCAGCGTGAGAGGAAAAAAAAGTAAAGGAAATTGCTACGGCGCTAGACACATGACTGCGGTGTCTACATTACACTAATTTTCCAGGTGAACTATATCCCAAGAGGCTGGAAATCGTCTTTGAACTTCACGTCGATGGGCTGAGGCCATCAGGAGGAGATTTTCGAATATTTAGCTCAAAATAAGCTCAAAAATTCCATTTTCGAACAGTGTTTATGTAATCGCACAAGAACTATTTTCCAAGGCCCCTATGGATTATGCGCACGACATCAATCAACGCTCAAAAGTTACAGTCCGCAGATATATGATCGTTATGTTGATTCCAGACCTAATTGTTCTGGTGTTCTTCAACAGGAGTTGCAAATCAACCGTGACTTTTACACTTAGTATCTGCGAATAATCACTATTGTTTGTCTTCCAATGATGAAAATCCAAATAATGTTTTTAGCAATTTCATATTTTCTTCTATTCCATAATTGATATAATATATCCCTATATTTTTAAAAGAAAAGTGGCCATCCCCCTTTTTTGCCAGAAGTGCATTCCAATCTCAATTATCCTCACAATGGCTGCTGTTAAGTCTGGTCCCTCGATCAATTCGAAAAAGTCGAAGAGACAGAAGAAATGCCGTCGCAAAACAACATTAATGAAAAAGGCTTCCGAATATAGCAAGATGTGTGACGCAGATGTGTGCATAGGCATTCGTTTGCGTGAGACGGGTCAGGTCCATGTTTTGACAGCAGATGATTCGGGGTTCTGGGCTTTTCTTGCCTCAAAATTGGTAAGCTACAAGCATCATCATATACTGAATAGGTATCTGATTTTCTAGAGCGCCTACTACCCTCAACCAAGCTTTATGACAGATCAAGACTTGGACGGGATGGCCGTCATCGCCGATTAATGCAATAAAGCACCCTGCAGGTACTTTTTACTTCGTACATTGGGATTACGTCAGCAAACAGAAATACTAGAGGAATATTGGGAAAACAAACTAGGGAATACGATATAGCGCTCAATTCCACATGTGCAATAGAAACAATCAAAACAATCAATCAAGTAATTCTCAGTATATTTGCGGCCATACTATATTGGATGGTGTGATGTTTGTTACATATTGCAGAACTAATTAGAGATGGAAGAAAGCAGAAGCCAAAAACAGTTCGTTGTCTCTGAGCAGGGAAAACATAGGTGCTCACCCCCTTTGAGAACCAGCCACTAAGGTGTGCATACTGTATATTGGATATGCTCTCCCAGGAGCACAATTTGAAGCCCCTGGGACCGTTAGCTGTGATTCCTAGGCACAAACGGGTCCTAGGAGTGCTCTACGTTGTTCCTAGGACCGCAGCTTGGGCTCCTCGGAATGCTGCCACTAGCCCCAGGAGCCACAACGTATCTCCTAGGGGCACCTTCGTACCCAGGAGACAGAAGTTCTGCAGAGAAATTCCCCACGCCTTTTCGCTCCTGGGAGATATCTCCTTTCTCCCAGAAATATGATGCCGCTCACTAGTTAATTAGTTAGTTATGTAACTAATGCCAGGGATATACTTGAGGCATACATGCTATATTTTCAAGAGACCACACAAAGGGGTTTTCACTCTTGCAACCTATTCTACTGTACCTTCTGCCTTGCTATGCCTGGCTTCGTTTGAAAGCTACTCAATGCAAGAATTGCTTAATGCACGAATTGCTTAAATGCACGAATTGCTCAATGCACGTGTTGGAATATCCCGGTTAGTGAGATAATAATGAGGCTGGGATCACGTGCACACATGTATACCAATCTCTCAACTTACTTGTATCTTTGCAACACAACACACAATCAACTCCTCTCAACAAGATGAACACTAAAGCACCACATTATAGCTCAACAGCACTGATTGCTCAAATGCAACACTGTCAAATGATAAGAAACAGATGTCAAGTCTACAGGATTTTTACCATCGATATGGTGATTCAAGATACGCTAATGTTAGCCAGAAAAGAAAGCAGGCGGTGGTACTGTGAATGTTGAATGTTCGTGTGTTGGAATAGCGCAAGATTGGTGAATAGTATAAATCTGAAGAGATTGGAGATTTGAAAAAAAGATTCTCCACCACAAGCGTAGGCCCGTGCATTTCCTTATACCCTCGCATGCCCCGGGTCTCTAAAAAAAATTATTTCACCGAAGTCTTTTCCGCTAAATCCCGAGCCATCGGGATAGACCGGAGACCCCGAATCCACAGTCATCCTGCTCTCCCTTTGTTCATGTACCTAATATCAACAGAGTTACAGTATTGATCTGAAGAGCAAGCGAAACTTCAATACGCAGAGATTTTGCTGGAATATCTTTTGATCTTATTGCATGTATGTTTCTTGAAAAGTTTTGAAAAGTAATTCAACGCCTAAAATTCCATGTTACGAAGGATTTGTTCCTGTAGACGCCATTGTTCCCCGCCAGCTCTATCGCGAACAGTCGTAGCTCGTGCGCAGTGGTACATAGCATCAGAGTTCATATGGAGCTGGAGACATCCTCCCACTAGAAAGCTATGATCAGTTAAAACAACTTGACGCCCAAAACTTTGGCATTAACGTGAATAGCTGGGCAATATGGGGACAAGGACAGAAAAATTCTGGAACTGGCATTAGATGACGGCCTGTATCGAATGATAGTGTTAGTATACTTTGAGGCTTTGCGATGAGGATGACGCTCACAGGGCGTTAGGAGTGCTTGGACATGATTGGTTCTCAGCTACTCCTTGCTCCACATTGGAGAAGCATGTTCAGCACCTTTTTGAAGTCTTTTCTAATTGGTCTGCCACCCTCTTTCTCCGCCCTCCGGACCACCCTCTGTTCTCAAACTTCGCCCTGAAACGAGGCGCGAGTGGAAGGGGTTATATCGGCAAAGGCTGAAAATGAAGTACGTGGCTGCTGCCGCCGGTAAAAAGCTGGCCTGCACCCTCATTTGCCTCTGATTCGCCCGTTGCGGTTCCTAGCTTCTCTTCGGTTGCCTTCATCCTCTTCCTTCCCACGGCCTTTTTTGATTACTGCTCAAGCATTCGTCGTTGTATCCTTTTTTGAATGGCGGTCGACATCGTGACTTACTGGCTTCTTTCACTCATAGCCCTATCAGCTAAGCCCCCCGAGCCCGGGCTTCCATTAGTGTACTTACAGCTTGTTTACTGGTGGTCATTTGTTGTCACGCATGCTGATTGTATGCATGCTCTTGCTTTGCACTTTCATCGTGTTTTCTTTTCATTGGCTTGCCATCTGTTTGTACAGCGTGTTTGCTTTTGAATTGGAAGCGGGTTGGGCCGCAATGCATGGCTTAAAGTACCCCTAAACACGATGGACACCTTGCGGGGAAAGAATTATATTGAGTTGATCCTCGACCTGAGGAGGTGCTATCCTTAATAGTGCTCAAGGCGCCAGCTCTTGGGAATTCTCTTCATTCTACAATCTGTGGCATACTGCAAACTCGGTAAGCGCTCTTTAGTGTAACTAATCGTTATGGACGCCTCTCATCCACTGGCATATAGTAATGAATACATTCTGCCTCTTCCCAGCCGATGTCCCTGGTAGTCTCTACAGAGTCCAATATGGGGATTCTATGACGACCTATGATATATATGAGGGGCTCGAGGCAGTTGATACCGTTACGTTGTATGATGATGGAGGGGACGAACAGGAAGAAGACGATACTCTCCAAGAGTTTGGTGACGCAGTAGAGCAGCATTTGAGCTGGGACACTGATTATGAGAGCATTTTCATCTCGCTCTTTTCTCAGAGAAGACATGCTGAAAATTGGATGCTGGACAGGCATACCCGTTTTGGCAGCAGAAACTGCACTCTCCTTCAGATTGATACGTCGGCTCTTAACGGCTCTTTTATTTTCCGTGCTGAGGAGATTGTTCATGAACTTTCGTTGTCGATTCCTGAGGCAGCCCAGGCGAGTGTTGCTAGGGAGTATCTTATCGCGCATTACATACCCCCGCGTGCTATCATAAGAAGTCAAACCGCCGATGAAATTCACGCAGGTAAGATCAAGCCTTTCTCGGTGGGTTCTGATGTGGCTTGGGAGCCAACGGTGCTGTGTTTCAGGATCTTGGACCTTGAAGCCAAAAAATACTAAGATACAGTGGACATAGCTCGGTATCCGCCTCGTCCTTCGATTCCCGGCCCCTTGAGGCCATCGCCTGAGGAAGTGACACCGCCCCAGCTAATTGCACAGCTTGAGGCAATGGGAATATAATACGTGAACGTCAAAATATCATATCCGCCTCTCTGTTTTGTCACCGGAGAGAGCCCCTTGTGTACCGGAGTCCATAGTAATTTCGAATGTAGATGATAAAGGCTCCAGCAGTGACTTAACGCGCTTCATCAGGAATCGGGAAGCATACTAATTACGTGAGAATATATCTGTAGTTAAGCCAAGGCGACAACGCAGAAAAGCGAGATGATGGAACGCATTCCTCCCGTACACCCGCCACTTTATTTGTAGATCCCACGAGCTTACTCGATGTTCTCAATCCTCAACGCTGACTATGTGCTCGAAAAACTCTACCGCGCAGTTTGTCGGAAGGTCGAGATGGTCGCTTTGAGTGTTCGCATTACCACCGAGATTCCATCGCCTCTCGTGTAAGCCCAGTACGGCCAGTGCTACATGTGAATAGGGAATTTGGAGTATCGACGCTAGACTTTTCCGCAGAGCTTATGGGGATGGAAGATCTCTGGTAGTGTCCATAATAACTAATAGCCATAGACACACTCTAGCGATTTCGAGAAAGGGTGATGAAAACAAAAGCAAACAGGTTGCCATTCAGAAATCAGGGACAGTGACTTTGAGATTGAACTATCACAAAACAGTTGGCAGGGCCAAAAAGCGGAGAGATCGGAAAAATACATTTCCCGATCACGCCTATGGTGGAAGACAAAATCGAGAGGTCAAAGCAAAATTCATGCAGGGGATCGAGGAGTACTAGGAATCGCACGTGATGCGTGTGGAGCTCTCCAAGAGAAGGTAACCACATTCTATTTAGCCAATGGCAGTAATTGAACACTGTACTTATTCCTAAGACTGTATCAACGATACGGGGGAAAAATTTGTGTTTCTGTCGGACGCCGCGGAGATGTATCGCGATGTTGCGACTGGGAAAAGATAGTGCTGAAGTCCATTCTTCAACCTTTCGCTAGCCATCCCCATATAGCTTGTTCAAAAAGATTATATCATGATAAATGCTGCTTGACTATGAGTTCTTCAAGCACAAAAGACACAATCAAGAGTAGTCTCACCTTTGCCTGAAAGCGCCACCGTGCTGGATTGATTGTCCCAGGTTGAAATGGATACCATACAGAATAATTCGATGGTAGACCTGATCGATCGGCTCACTGGGTGGAACATTCCTCAGATACTGGTCAAGATAAGTCTTTTCAAGACCTCCAATCGCAAGTCGCGAGACTCCCATCTCATATTCTCGATGTGCAAACAGCACGCATGGACTAAAAAGCACGGGCATTCCGTTCGAAAATCGGATACCTAGGTGCTTCGCCAATAAGTTTCCGTGAACAAGGGTTGGAATTATGATATTCCCTTTCTCCTGAAGAGGAAGGAGTAGTCTCGGAATGGAACTTCGCAGCAAGACCTCGAAGGCGGCCTCGTATGGGCCCCATTTGCCATTTAACGCAATGTCCCGTTCCAAGAATGTTGCGATCAAGAAGCCGAAACAATCCGCCCAGAGACTATACAGCGCTGGCTTGAGGTAAATTCCTGCGTGGTAGCGTGGAATATCACTTCCAAACTTACCCGTTGTCCCAGAAACTCGATGAATGCGGGATAATTGGGAACTCAGGTCTTCCGGTGATGGGAGGAATGAAGTGCAATGGACAAAGTCACACACAAGAAAATACGTTGTGATGGTTCTTTTGGGCTTTCCTGTTTCCCATAAAACCACCGCTGGCGTTCGGAGATCTTTCTCTCTTCTTTCTGATCTCTCTTTCTCTCTTTCTCTCATTGACTCTTGACTCTTGACTCTTGACTCTTGGCCCCGTTATTTTCATCCGAGAATTTGCCCCATTTATGTGGTTTCGGTACAACTTCCGGATTTGCCGCGTGGAGTCTCTGGAGAGAGTCGAACACTGCTCCAATCGCCGCATCTGAGGAGGCCTCCATACACTGCATGACGATGGGGTAAGCAAGCAATTAAAAATAGTTCAATTTATGTTGAATGGATCAAAGGAATGGCATACTTGCAAAAAATAATCTTTTACGGAGCCATCGCGTTGCCGTACCGCGACTCGCGCGGTGCGGCTTTTTGACGATGTGCCAGAAGGGCGGACAGAGACCACGTCCAGTCCGAGATCATGTTGTGGTTGGGGGAAACCTTCGCGGTCAGCATCTGGAAATTGAAGCTGGTGTTCCCATGACATACATGCGAGGACAGCCCTCTCCAGGACAAGACGAGAAAGATCGCTCATTCTGCGAGGGCAGATTGACGGACTGAGCTAACAATCACAGTTACAAAGCGGCGTACGCACTCTTAAAATAAGTTCGATAGGGTAGTTCGGGAATATGCCGCTGACCCCTGGCTCCAGTTTTCTCTTCGCGCCCTGGATGTGATGAGTGCGGAGAGCCAATCATTTGGCGCCCTGGCTGTGATGAGACATGCATGTGCGTGGGTAGCTGGTCCTCCAGAGCCAATCGAAACATTCTGACCGCCTACAAAACCGGGCTTCTAGACGCCCAATACCCAGGGTACACATAAATTAACGAGCTGCGCTTTCAGATTTTGTGTAAATACTCTTGTAATTTCCCTCTGATCAAGACCACTTGATAAAACGTCGTGGTGTTGCTTTTTTCAGCCTAGGACACATGAGTTGGGTGAGAGACACGAGGATGTCTCACCATCAACCGCGGCTGGACAGAAAATCTGTGAATGCTCTGGGATTAACCCATGTGTACAAACCACAGCATTGCAAACCGGTTGTAGACATCATATTTATTCATGGTCTCGGTGGCCGGAGTCATTATACATGGAGTTATAAAAAGGACCTGGGGCGTTTTTGGCCAGGTTGGCTACACCAAGAACCAGGTCTGGCTGATGTTCGAATCACTACATACGGCTACGACGCCAGCGTCTGGCCCACGCTTACCAGGAACTTCTCCTGCATTGATGATTTCTCTCAGGAGCTCCTTGCTCGAATAAAGGTTGCTGCAAATGAAATCATTGGAGAGATTCCCTTCGGCGATGTTTGTGTCATCTTCTTGGGATTAGAGTTCACTACGGCTGATCTTATATTTAATACTGACAGATTCCCATAATCATGGTTGCGCATTCGATGGGAGGTGTCGTTGCGGAGCAGGTATGTCGTACATATCTAACGCCCAATAGCACTTAATAATTGTCGTGCAGGCTTGTATTCAGGGTATCAAGGATTCCCAATACCAGTCTTTGATACGTTCCACATTTGCCATGATTTTCCTGGCTACTCCACATCATGGTTCTGAAGTTGCTGATCTAATGGACGATGCCATTCGAAAAATGAGCCTCGGATTCTTCTTGAAGCCCTATGTCACGGAGCTCCGTTCAGATTCTAATGTTTTGAACCGAATCGACAAAAACTTCCTTAGTTCTCTTCCGGGAATAACCATTGCATCATTTTATGAGACTCGGGGAGTGCCTTTGACTAGCCGCGTAAGTTAGTCTGTGCTCTCAAGGACTGGACGCACTAACGGATTCAGATGGTCGTCAAAAAGTCCTCGGCAACCTTAGGTCGTGCAGGGGAAATCATCATGCCGCTCAATACCGACCACCACATGATTTGCAAATACCGTAGTCGCTGCGACGGGAATTATATAGCTTTCCTTTGCGTTCTGAGGAAAATGATTGTCGATGCCACCCGAAAACCTTTGTGTGGCAAATACTGGACAAGTGGTGCCCGAGTCAACTTGGAGAATGACCAAGAAATTTCGAAATCTTTGCTTGATTTAGTACCTGGCTCATGTGATTGGATTTTTTCAGACCCGACATTCTCATTATGGATGTATGGCGAAGAAAGGAAGCCGAGATCTCTCTGGCTGTCTGGACAATCTGGAAGCGGAAAGTCCATACTTTCTGCTTTCATCGCAAAGCACATCAGAATGCAACCTGACTGCAAGCTATGTTATTTCTCTGCTCCTAAAGCTTCAGAGGCTTCTTTATCGCCCAATGTTCTCCTCGGCTCCTTTGTTCGGCAGCTCTCTGCTCAGATACCAGGGCTTGACCCAGTTTCCACCCTGCTGATGGGGCTGAACAACGATCTTGACTCTTCTTGGATCATATTTTGGAGAATTCTTGCTTCCACTTTTCTCAGTGTTGGATCAAAGGACAGAATATACCTCATTATAGATGATATCGACAAGTTCCGTGATGCAGGGTCTTTCCTTGCCGCTATGGATGAGCACTCAGCTATTGGTTTCCCCTTGCGCTTGCTGGTTGCAAGTAGAATATCTCAATATACCTGGCCCTCTGAAATGTCTCAGGGAAGTTTCAAACCCCAGATTTTGAATTTAAGATGCCACAAGGGCGTGGAAAAAGACCTGCGATCATTTGTTGCGAAAAGGATCGAAGGTCTGCGTGGCCTGGAGGATCTAAAATCCGAGATCATATCATACATTCTCAGAGGCTCTGGTGGTAACTTCCTTTGTGCCAATCTTCTATATGAGGAGATCAAGAAATGTCGAAGAAAGGATCGACTGCAAAGTGCGCTAAATCAGGCCCCTCTCGAAGGTGCCACTTCGTTTTACGAATTAATAGAAAGGGATCTGGCTTCCGGCTTGACAACAGACGACAAAGACGACCTTCGAGATCTAATGCCTTGGATACTGTACTCATTTGTCCCAATAACGATTGAGCAAATGCAGCACGGAATGAAACTTCTGGGCGTTGAATTCATTGATCTCAAATCCACCATTTCCCGACTCTGTGGGCGTTTTGTTATAATTAACGATAAATCTCAAGTGAGGCTTTTTCATCCGACCGTGCAGAGCTTCATCTTGAAGCAGAACTCTGTCCTCAACGTTGATTCAAAGTCGGCTCATCTCTCAATTTTCACGAGCAGTCTGTCATGCCTTAACTCTCTTGCTTCTGCTGGTCCGAGACAACAGAGAAATCTCGGCTTATTTCATGAATATGCAATGAAGTTTTGGTTTCGTCATCTTGACGAATGTGAGATCAACCATAGCGCATCTATTATGTGCTTGCTGCTGAAATTCTTCTCCGGGCAAGGCGTTCTTGAGTGGATCTTTCTGGTCTGTCATTCCCAAGAGCTTCAGTATTTGACCATGGCGGCCTTTTCAATCAATCGCTTCATTACACAGACAAAGGAAACTATGCCCACATCGAAAAGTATCAAACTAATCGAAAAATGCTCCTTTGATCTTTGCATGATAGTCGAGCGTTTCTCAAGACCTTTGCTTAGTGATCCAGACGTGATATTTGACTTGATTCCTGCCTACTGCCCTCTCGAATCTTTTATTAAGCCACTCGCGCGGACTTCGAAAATAACTGTGGATGGACTTCTATTCCAGGAATGGGATGATTATCTCGCTGCATTTACCATCGATCATGGTTGCCGTGGTACGGGGATCAGCTGCTCAACAAATCATTTCGTCATTACTACTTCAACACAAGAGGGCCTCGTGTTGATGTATAATTACCCAAAGACGGGCCCTGCGTGTGAATTCGTCCACGGCGAGCGTGTCATGGGTTGTGAGTTCAGTCGATCTGGAAAAAGATTGGTAACTTATGGGCCAACAACAACCACGCTATGGGACCTTTCCACTAAAAAGCCCCACCAGACATTTAATAGCACCCCAAACACAACTATTCTCGCTTCTTCCTTTGGGCAAGATGACTGCACGATACTGACTTTTTCCGAAGACCATGTCCTCCGGAAGCTACTATTGGACGGCGTTACCCATGATTGGACAGAGGTGGACCTTGGTGCACGGAGCAAGCTTGCAAATCAATGGCTAAATCCGTCATGTGCCACTTTTGATCATCAATCAAGATTTCTCGCAATCGGTTTCAGGGGAGATCCTATAGAAGTTTGGGATCTTCAATCGTTTTCCTGTACGGCCAGGCTCGAGCGATCATCGTGTCTGCAAAATGATGTCATACAACTGTGTTGGTCTTCACACCCAGGACAGATAATAGTTCGCGAAGAACTTGGATCCCTCGAGATAATCGACATTCTACGTCAGGAATCAGTAGCGACTTGCGCTGATACAGTGTCAACAATGGCGTGTAACGCTACGTCGGACTTTATTGTCACCGGCGATATGGCAGGAACGATCAAAATTCGACGAATTTCTGATCTAGAGTTGTTACATCACGCACGCGGAACTGAAGGCAACTTCGTGGCAATTTCAGTGGCTCCAATAAACGGCAAAATATACGGCATACAGAACTCTCAATGCACAATTTGGGAACCATCGCTTTTTGCAATCATGTCTTCCGATAAGCGAAGCCAAGATCCGACACCCTTAGAGACTCCGCTCCCACGGCAACCCAAGTCAGGCGAGGATCAATCCATTATTACTGCATTGGCCACATGTGCAAACTCATATACATACAGCACTGGCTATTTGAATGGGCAAGTCAATGTGATATTGAATGGCGGAGCGAAGTTTTCTTTGGATCTACCCACCAGAGTACGGATTGAGCACATTGCCTGGAGTCCTGATGGGAAGTTTCTTGCAATTGCAGATTTAGGTGCGCGGTTGTTCATCGTGTCACTAAACCCTAAAACTCATGAGTTCAACCAATTGGCATCATTCAGATTCCAGTCGCGTGTCGAACAAATTCTATTTCAGCGAACATCGCAGGCTCTTCTGGTGGTCATGAAAGACGAGATGTTTATTTGGGAGCTCGATTCTTATTGCGTTAAAGAGAGTCGTCACTCTTTAGGGGAATTTAGCAGATGGATCAATCATCCCAGTGGGGATGAGTTGATTCTTGGAGTCGGCACGGACAAAATCAACATCTACCGGTGGCAGGATCAAATATCCGTATCCAGTATATCACTCGATATTTCGTTGTCAGATCTCACATTTGGGCTGGAGCTGTTGGACTATGTGAAAACCGAACCGGCGGGTACCACACTTCACCCGTCTTTGGCTGTACGCAGAGTCAAAGAAGTCTTGACTTCTCCCGAGACAAATACACTATTGCTTGTTACAACCCACCACTCCTCGGAAACCATTAGCGGCTCCCAGTTCATGAAAATCCCTATGGCTCGATTAAATGACAATGTTGATGATGGGGTCTTCCCCACTCCCCTGATTGAGAGCCTCAGTGATGTTATTGCCATGCCTTTAGGATTTTTTTCCTGTACTAGAGGCCAAGGTATGCTCAAGCAGGTCCGTGGCGGCAGTCTCATTTTCCTCAGCAAGGAAAATTGGATCTGTTCGGTTTGGCTTGGAAATGATGGGGAAGGCCCCGTTCGACGGCATATATTTTTACCTGACGACTGGCTTGATGCAGAGAGTGTGGAATTGGTTCGGGTCTGCCGAGATCGGATATATATCCCAAGGGCAGGACAAGTCGTTGTTATCCAGAACGCATTTGATGCGTGGTATTAGCATATCAGAACGTCTCGTGAAAGAGGAAAATAGAACTACTCTCCCTTTTTCTAAATGAAGCGGCCTGTCTCGATCAATATGCTTTGAGGCTTTGTGATGAGAATGACGCTCACATAGCGCTAGGAGTGCTTGGACATGATTGGCCCTCAGCTACTCCTTGCTCCACATTGGAGAAGCATACTTTTGCTCAGCACCTTTTGAAGTCTTCTTCTAATTGGTCTGCCACCCATTTCTCCGCCCTCGGGACCACCCTGTTCTCAAACTTTATGCCCTGAAACGAGGAACGAGTGGAAGGGGCTATTTCGGACATGACTACATATGAGGTCTTCGTTGAGACGAGGGGGTCAGCGTGAATGAAATCATCACCATCATCATCATCGACTACATATGAGGTGCGTGGCTACTGCCGCGAAAGCTGGCCTGTCAAACCTGCACCATCGTTTGACTCTGATTCGCCCATTACAATTCCTCGCTTCTCGTTGGCTGCCGACTTTGTTTCCTTTTTAGCCTCTTCTCCCTGTTTCTTGGCTTTGCAATTGGCCTTCAGATATTCCCCAGTCTGGTTTGGCTTCCTTGCTACACTACGGTATCCAGAATGCCCATCCCTAAGTGTACAGAGCTAACTGTGAAATAAACCTCGCATTTGGCTAGCTTACACGTGATCATTGTGTTTGATTTGTCTGGCTCAGGTCGATCCGATGCGTGCTAATCTCTAACTATTCTTCGCGTAAACCCAAGTCTCACGTAATCACCGCAAGGTCACATGGTGGAGTGAGAATCCCCCCGCTCGAAAAGCTAGCATGCAATGTGCCCGGTCCACCTCAAGAACTTTCGTCAAGCAGCAACAGTGGTTTCGCCCTGCTATCATAGGACTGTGAATTTACCTTGAAATTTCGGTAATCTGCAGACCGTACATTCCTGAAATGGAAAGCTTCAAAGAGTAGGGACTTTCTTCACAAGAACATTACCCTTGTGTCATTAACAGTCATAGCCTCATTTATGCCTTGAGACTTTGTGATGCGGACTGATGTTCGAAACGAGTCTAATACAGCTCACGGGGCATTATAAGTGGTATGACGTGATTGGTTCTAGGCTATTCCTTGCTCCACTTTGGAGAAGGATAAACCTGTGGCCTATCGTAGGAACTGTTCTATCGGGGGAATCAGGACTACACACGACAGCTTGAAAATAGGGAAAACAGTGGTCTATCGTACGAACTGTTCTATCGGGGGAACCAGGACTACACATGACAGCTTGAAAATAGGGAAAACAGTGGTCTATCGTACGAACTGTTCTATCGGGGGAACCAGGACTACACATGACAGCTTGAAAATAGGGAAAATCGTGGCCTGTTGTATGAACTGTTCTATCGGGGGAACCAGGACTACACATGACAGCTTGAAAATAGGGAAAATCGTGGCCTGTCGTATGAACTGTTCTATCGGGGGAATCAGGACTACACACGACAGCTTGAAAATAGGGAAAACCGTGGCCTATCGTAAGAAGTGTTCCATCGGGGGAAGCAGAACTATCAGACGACGGCTGGCAGGGTCCGAAGGTGGAGAAGTCAGGAGTAAAAAATTTCCCCATCCCCGCCTGTGGTGGAACAAAACTGGAGACGTCAAAACCTTCATGCACCAAACATGGGGGGTCCAGGGGTATTAGGAAGCGCACGTGATATGTGTGGGGCTCTGGAAAGAGAAGGTAACCACATTCTATTTACCCAATGGCAGTAATTGAACACCGTACTTTTGCCCAAGATTAATACGTTCTTCTTTCACCGGTCGGCGCTCAATTCACTTCACCACCATCATCACACGATCAACATGACGCATATCGGCCTTTATCGTTCACAATTTGACTGTTCGAAAATCAACCCAGAGGCAAGCAACACGGCAATGCAGATGGATGGCTCACATCTGTAGGTTCATCTGTGGGCTCTCCATTTTTCACTGAACACGCCCTCAGCAATCACTTCAACGTGTTCCTCAATACTCGGGGCAACCGCGACCCTTCACCGGTATCCGACCGGACTTATTTTGCACGAAATGGGAAGTCACAAATTGGGGAAATTATCCGACTCGGATCATTATTTGCGACGTGTGCAGTAGGAGTCATGCCCCCGATTATCCACGCCCTCGATAAATTATCTGCGAGCTGAGGTTATCACCTGCCTCGAATTGTCCATTGCGGGCCATCGGCCTCTAGAGTTATCTCACCTGCAAGATGGTCGTGTTGATATGCCTTTGCCTAATTTCTCTTTTCCTGCGGTAGCCAAAACGACAAACCGAAAGGAGGCGAACCTGTCTGGAGTCTTACCTTGGCCTGGAGGGTGCTATTTTTCGCGAGTCCCTGGTGTTGATGTGATTGGCCCATGTCTCCGCCCCCGAAGGGAGTCACTGCCTAGAACATTCGAGTGGGAGTCCTGGGAGGATTCCTGGAGGAAGTTTCAAGAAATCAAACTTCCTTCCTCCACTCATCGCCCGCCATGGAGGATACTGTCTCGGACCTTGCAGCCCAGAAGATTAGGGAGTTGTTCGCTATTTGTGGAGTTGAAAACAGCGAGGAGCTTCTGAGGTCACTTACTACGCATGCTGTGAACCATCGTGAGCGAACCTCTGCCTAGTGCTAAGCTATACTGGGTCACTGACTATTTTTCTAGTTCGCGAAGCCCAGCTCAGAACTGGAAAATGCAGCGGGACCGAGTCTATCTCTCGGCTAAAAGCAACGACACTCGAAACACCCCTCACTCCGCCAAATGACACGCGTGGATCTGAGCGCCTTGAGAAACTGGCTGCAACGGAGGGCAGAACGACCTACAATGATATGGCCGGTACAGGGGAACGGAAAAAGAGGAAGCGAAAAAGCCGCCATGGCTTTAAATTAATGGATCGGCAACCCGGAGCGCCTAGAAGCTGTGAAAGTGGGATTTCTAGCGACAATTCTCCCCAGAGAACTCTGTCGCCTCAAACATATCAAACGGTGAGATATCATTACTTGAAGTCGGTAAGAGAAGGATGAAAAAACTCATGATTAGCTTTTAGTCTGAAGCCGACGAAACTTTGCCAATACCCTGCGATAGCCCCTTGCCGTCATTTTTTGATTCGGCCTACGAAATGAAGATCATGACAACGATAATTATGGAATGTGTTAAATCGAACTCCGCTATAGCGAAGTACGGACAACGCATCAGCTCAGCTGTGATATCAACCGAGCTGGCAAAGATACAGGAGTATGTCGACAAGTTGTCCAGATACGCTTATGATGAGGCGATTGAAAAAATTCGGAGAGACACCGCTTTCAGCGCCGGCAAAGCAATACAGACCAATTACAACGAAACCATTTTTTGGCCAATAATCCTTAAATGCGCCGCTTTGATCGATCCCGCAATATTGCCCCCCGCCAAAGGCCCGGTCGATGGATTCTCTATGGCGGAAAAAGCTGCTACCCGGAAGTTTATGGAGGATATCGGCCATAGCTTGGGCTCCGAGAATCAGCGATAATATCGTATTTTCTGGAAGAATATGTACGAGATGCGTGAGGCGGGTATTCACAAAGTTCTTCTCTACCGCTCGAAGGAATTCGACAGCTTTTGTAGAGGCTATTCCAGAACAGCGGAAATCTCACTAGTAAACAAAGTTTTCAAGTGGGAGAAGAAGTATCTCCCTTATATCGAGCAATTGGAAACTTGAATCTTATCACTGAGTGGAGGAGACTCGAAACGACTGAGCTATCTCAATGACTCTTAAGTGCGAGGGCTCTTGAAGGTTTCAGAGACCTCGTGGAATAATGCATCCAATGAGTGGGCTTCCGTCGCTGAGGAGGAAATTTTCAAACAGGGCGCCGCAGAGTCACTTTCTGCCGACAATCTAGGCATTAGACTTAGCGATGGACTGGTGTACGAAGGTGAGACCGATAAGTCTGCATTCATCACTCTTTTGCCTAAGGAGGACAGCACTTTGTTTGTTGCTTCTATTATACCTGTGTACAAAGGTGACTTCTTAGGCATATTTGCTGGCGCAATTCGTTTCTCGGAGGAGTTCAGTATAGCCCATAGCATTCCTGGACCCACCGGGAGACTTTGGCTTGACTATTCTCAAGTCACAGGGGTACTGAACCAGATGCAGGTGTCTGAACCTGGTGGTAAAGCAAACGTGTGCCTTCACTGGGTTGCTTTCTGCGGCGATGTCGAGACACAGCCTGACATTTCGTGGCGAGTCTCTGTTAAAGCCTCCAAGAAAATCATGCCATTTGAGCCTCTACTTCGCGTGGCTACTCAGCACGGGCAATATGAACTGCACTTGTCGTCTGAAAATGCCGAAAGAGGCTTTCTCGAAACTGCCATCAGCCAATGACTCAGTGCCGAAGCTCTCCTTTGCTCTTTCATGTGTTTCGCTTGTATTAATCAGGGAAATTCAAGCCACTCAATGTTTAAGCGCTTTTCTTCTCTTATCCTTTTTGTGGGTTCCGTTCGTACGGGGAGGCGTGACGCAGGAAGAATCCCAATGGAGGCTTATCATTGGGAGCCAGTTTGTCGAAGAAGGCTCCCATGCTCCCTATTCGGCTAGAAACATACAGCTCATTTACCCCGCTCGTTCCTAGTTTCGCCACTTTTCCCCCTGTGTCGGAGTAACGTGGAACGGTCTCGCGTCGGCCGGGGTCCGTTCACGGCCCGGGCGATCATCAGTACCACACATAAGCGTGTTGGATAAGCTATCTCCATGATGGACACCAAGGACCGGAGAGAAAGTAGTTACTTGTAGTAATCCATTTACTGACTCATTGCATTTTAATTACTGACACTAAATTGCCATTCAGTGCACAGATGACGTGTTCCGGCAGCTTTGCAGGACAACTCATACTTGCATTACCCTGCTTCTCCCTACCTTCTACTATATTAGATGTAGTCAGGACTTCTCTCCCTTTTGTCTTTTACAGTATTCTTGGAAAATCTCCAGGTATTCACTCGATAAAGTCACAGTGAGACTGAAAATGGCAAAGAAGAAAACGAAACAGCGCAACTCCAATGAGGTGCCGAGGCCGCCTCTCACCCCAGAGATCTCTCCCAGGGTTGACTATCACCGGCCTTTATCATCGTGAGTTCTTTGAAGGGGTTACAAATGACGTTTTCTAACCTGTTCCCTGGCCCTACGAATCCCCTTTTGTTACTCTCGTAATAGGAAGCAAGCAATATGGCATTCCCGCTTATTTCCTTCAAAATTACGAAAAGCTCGCCCTGGCATCTCTTGGATCATCAACTATATTCATGTCTGATATTGATGAAGATGTTGGACATACCGTGGCGCACTTCTTATACACAGGCGGTTACGAGACAGTCAGTTCGCCTCTTGACGAAGGCACATCAGATCTCGCTAGAGAGTACAAGAGGAGCGTTTTAGTTTACCATGCGTCAAGGACCTGGGGTCTTGCTGATCTTGAAGCCCTTTCTCAGCAAAAGATGCTGCTCTTAGATGAGGAGCTCCCAGTGCTTGAAATTCTACGGATAATGAGGGACATTTTTTCAACTCTCCCCGCTGGTGAAACTTGGCTTCCAGGTTACATTCAAGGAAAATTGCAGCGCTCGTTAAGGCCTAATGATCCGGGGCTTGGTTTACAAGAATTCTACAATGTTATCGGCCAAGATCATCAGTTCGATAATGCGGTGATGAAAATGATTATCGAGATACTATCGATTCGCATATTTTCTATGAAAGAGCAGCAGGGTCAGTCACTTCCAGCAAATTAGAGATAGGCTAATAAGCTGATTCGATTTTTTCTACATCGTTAGTGAAGACACCGAACGGCATCATCTCAAATGAAACCCTTCTACAAGGGCCTGTCTCCGAAGGGCCTGAGCCTGCCCCCGAAGAGCCCGAGCCTGTCCCCGAAGAAAATGAGTATCCCCCCGAAGAGCCCGAGCCTGCCCCCCGAAGAACCTGAGTATCCCCCCGAAGAGCCCGAGCCTGTCCCCGAAGAAACTGAGCCTGCCCCCGAAGAGCCCGAGCCTAGTCCGTGGGGGCTCCCTGCTGAAGCGGATAGCGGACTTTGGGTCGTTCCTCGAGTGTCTGCTGAGCTTGGCGACTGGCCGCGCGCTTCCGAAGATACGCCAAATGCAGAATTACAAGAAACTTCTGGTCAGGGCCACATAGCGAGGATTTCATGCTCAGACTTGACTTTGTATGAAAATTGGGAAAGCCTGTCTTCGAAGAGAAGAGCTAAGAGGGCTAGCAAGCTTAGGTCTAGAGGCCTTCCTGTCCCAAGTGAGACTGGTTTCATTGCAATAGTTGCAGATTGAGAACGATGTGGGGCAGCTTCAGCCAGGAAATTGAACAACCATCTACTTCATTACTTCAAATTGTAGAAATACCAATAGGACGTATCTCATGGGCCTTGGGCAAATTGAGGAGTTTCGCTCTCTGGTTGAAGCCGATCAGGATCGGCTTCTTCAACTCGACTGTCCTCTTCTATATTGGTTCGATGCTACTCCTTTCTCCACCTTGGAGTGGCTCGGTCTCCGCGGCAAGTCAGAACAGACCAGCGAGTCCGGGTGGGCAATTGATCATAGATCGTAGGGATCGTCGCTGATAGTTCCTACGAAACATCCTAGGAATCAGGAGATCGAGGGACCGTCTACGGAGTACAACCGTGGCATCCTGTGAAATGTACATTTGTTTTGCGCCTTTTGCATTGGCGAAACGCTGACGATCAACCGAGACGCCAACGAGCGCCCCACTGAAGCTAGTGAATATTCTACTAACAAAATATTCAGTCGAGGGAATTTTCTGATAGGTATAATTTTTTCACTCCTGAATATTATAGAATCATAATCTTATGTGCTACAAAAAAATAGAACCGACGAATATTTTGTTCTGAAAATTTTACACTAGCGACAACAATATATGTCCCAAAAATTCTCAGCCAAAAATGTTCTCTCGTGAAAAAATTCTTATCTCAAAATATTGAGCCTATTAAAAATTTACTATTTTCTAATATTAGTGCCCAAGAATATCCTCAGGCCATTAGAATATGATTTTCGTATTTTAGGGTATGTATAACTTATACTGGAGTTCCTGGTGCAGGTTATATAAAGGAAAAAATATCACCGGCACTAATGTTTGGACGAGATGCACATTCAGGCCCTCGGGAAAATTCCGGTCGGAAGGCTGTATCTGTCTAAGCCCTGGTAATTACATAAAGGCTCCTTGGCTATACGACCAGTCCTCGAATATGCATTCAACTCTGTAGCCAGGAATCAATAATTTATCTAAGTGTATCAGCGCTGTCCTTTGCCCTGGATATATAGGGTCCCAGGAGGCCTTGAGCTCCAAGTCACTCTTTTGATGGCCCTAGTATCGCATTACTAGATCCCAGGATCATAATGCCTGTTCCTGGGAACTGCAGACGCCCTAGGACCAGCGCTGTAGTACCCAGGAGCGGACATTCTCGTGCCTAGGTGCTCTACCTCTTTCTTGAAGTCCTGACGAGCGGATCGGCTGTTTGGTAAAGGTGGAAGGAAGGGAGGAGGGGTGCTGGCCCTAAGTGGGATACACACGATGCAGGTTAAGAAGGGGGCCGGGACCAACTCCTGGAGGTGAGTCACCCAACCCCCGCCATTTTTTCCTTGCCGAGCCGTCTACAGCACTCATCCAAGCCGCAGAGGCCACACACTGTAGTTTTGAGATCCAGCCAAGATGGTCTAGATCCACCCCATCGTTGCTAGAGAGACGCCATAGGTATTTAAATTGGTTAACACATGACAAGAGCCCCACATAAGTGGACTCGGCTCGTCGATCAATCTGCTCGAATGTTCCAGAGCGGAGGAGGGGCTTTATTTAAGATGCAGGAGGTGGGCACATCGTCGATCGCATCACTTTCTCTAAGGATCATGGACGAAACAACACGTGGACGCTTAGCCCAGGCTATCCGGGATGCATTCACAGCCTCCAGCATAGATCATGATGAGGATTATATTGATTCTTTGATCTCTAAAGTCGACGATGATGGTACGCGGGACATCTAATCTAGCTATGAGTTCAAGTGCTTACGGTGAACTCAGTCCTCCAGGCTCATCTCGCGAACCAAGGTAATAACGCAGGCGACACTCCATTAAGAACCAGCGGCCGAGCTTTACAAACACCTCCGGCCTCTCCAGCTAAAGGGCGTGGATCCAATAGGATTTCAAATGCCCAGAAAAGGGAGTATGCAAATCTAGTGGGCGCGGAACCAAGGAAGAAAAAAAGGAAGCAAACCCAGCAGTGCTCAGACAAATGTGCTGATGAACCATCACCCGGTCGCATTGCTGATGAAACGATCGAGACGGGCCCTCAGAGTATTGATCAACCGGTATGGCACTCCTTTGCCCTTATCTGATTGACCTACTTGCTTAATCTAACGTTAAATTGTTCTGATATCTAGCCCTTGCCCACTGACGACCATGGGAACGCAGCCCACCCCTCGAATCTCTCGGTCGAAACTTCCTCATCCTATCACCCAGACTCTGCGTTCACAACGAAAGCAATGGCTTCGATTCTGTTCGAGTGCTTTATCGTCAATTCAGTAATCTCTAGATACGGTCACCGAACCTACGTGGGCCCAGCTAGGACCGACCTTAATCATATACGAAAGTACACCGATGAGGTTGCGGAGTATAGTTACGAACAGGCAATCAGCGCCATTCACAGGGACAACGCTTTGGCTATGGGTAAGGGTGTGCAGAATCGGTACTGTGAAACAATATTCTGGAAAATCATTCTCAAGGGTGCAGCTTTAATCGATCCTGCCAGCTTGCAGTCTGCAAAAGGACCTGCCGACGGCTTCACTATGGCGGAGAAAGCTGCAACCAAGAGGTTTATGGAAGATGCTGGATACAGGTTAGGTGCCGAAAACCAACGACAGTGCCGGATCTTTTGGAGAAATCTTCTCAAAATGCGAGAAGCCGGTATCGAAAAAGTCCTATATTACCGCACCAAAGAATTCGACAGCTACTGCAAAGGGTATCCCAAAACGTCAAAAGTTTCTCTTGTGGATACAATCAAGAAGTGGGAGGCACAGTATAGACCTTATATCGAACAGCTAGAAACACGGCTTCTTAGGCTCGGGAAAGGCGACCTGGCGCGCGTATCTGATCTTGACAATCCTCAAGTTACTGAGAGGCTGAAAGTTCAGGAGTCCTGTTGGAATTGTGCCGGAAATGAATGGGCTTTCCCCAACGAGGAAGAAAGCTACAAGGGAGTTGGCTTGCAGACTTTCTCTCCTGATATGGTATGCGCACCCTACGATAACCAACTAGTGTCAGAGTCTGGTGGAGATAAGTCTTCATTCACCTTCCTCTTGCCGAAAGACGACAGTTCTTTGCTCGTCTGTTCCATCATCCCCGTGCACGAGGGAGATTTTCTAGGTGTCTTTTCTGGTAAGATTCGTTTCTCGGAAACCTGGAGTCCCACACACGGTATTCGCGGTCCTGTCGACAACCTGTGGTTAGACTATTCTCAAGTCACTGGTACGCTGAACCAAATGCTCGTTTCAGAAACTGGTGGGTCCACAAACGTTCGCATCCAGTGGGATTTAATCCACGATGATGTTGACACAGATAATTGCACCTCCTGGAGAGTTTCGGTGAAAGCTACTAAGCCAATAATGCCGTTTGAACCTCTCGTTCGCGAGGCTGCTCAGCAAGAGCAATATGTATTGCACTTATCTCCTGAGCATGCAAAGAGAGGCTTTCTCGAACTTTGCGAAACTGACTGAAACTATGTTGAACATCTTGATTGCTATTTTTTATCGGAGACGGCATTTTGCTGCTCATCTAACATTTTGCCGGGAGCCATTAGAATACGATTAGAGAGCATATTCATTCGCTGGATGGACAGGCGACAACCCAGGAAATTCAGGACGTTGAAAACAAGATACAGACAAAAATCAGATAGCGCATAATTGGTTATAATAATCTTTTTTTCGATCGGACGTGGTATTAAAAGATGAATCTTCAAGGCTGAGATGTCATGGGTGAGGTATTAAGATAAATCCTATATTATTATAATATATTCATCGGGGCCTCGGGTTCAGTGACCGGATAAAAGTCCGCCGCTTGCATGCACACATTGTCAACAAATCCTTTTCGTGCGACCTTGTAGTATGATTTCAGAATGTCATGGATATCCTCGACCGTCTGTTTAAAATTACCCATGTGATGGATTCTCGCAAGATCAGAAACTTGATAACAATCCCGTTTTGAGCCATCATGCATATCCACAGAGAATGAAGTCTTCTTAACAGCAGACGCAATTCGTTCCTGGCGACTGAAATCCGAGTTGCTCAATAAGCCGCAGTCAACTCAAGATTGGGTTCAAGACTTACCACTTTTGTAAATAACTATTTAAGTAATGATTTTGACTCATCGGTGTTCCCTCTCTCTCAATTTTCAGGAGAAAACCCGTCATTGAAAGAGATTTCTGATACCTCTCAATTAGGCCATCCATCAAAAACGAGAGAATATTTGAGTGTAGTACGTCATCGCGACAGGATATTGTCATGGCCGTGCTGATAAAATTGTGAACGATAGATATTATATCGCAGATGTAGCCTTCGGCTAGAGGAGGCCATTTTGCAGATTGTTTCTTCATGACGGTGGAAAGGATCGAAGAGCTAAATGTTCTTAGCTCAAACCCATGAGACTCTAGATAGAGATCCTCGATCCAAGGGAGTATACCTTGTGTCTTTGAATACTCTATCTGGACGCCATTATGCAAAATGTCCTCAATGTCGTGGCAAATCTCGATTTTCCTGCTGGGGCCAAGTGGCATATCAAGAGATGATATAGATACCGAGTCAGCTTTATTAGGCTGTAACGCTTTATGAGACGTTGTCCAATCAGAAGTTGTGGTTAGGAATCTAGAGACAAGTGGACATTACTACGACTTCCTCGCCCCTGCCCCCCTCTCTTGACTGATATCTAGTATATTGACTACTATTATCTGGATATTCCTCTATGCCTATAAACACGTTTAAGAGCGACCCTCAAAAAGCGTTCCAGAAATTTAGATGTCACCATGCGAAATGCACCCAAGAAAACATTCAAAACCTTCTCTTATGACTCGTTCACTCAATTTCGTAGCCTTGACTCTTGCTCCAGGTTATTGAGAAATTCAGCCTCCCGGAATATCTCGACCCCAATCATTGCTATGTGTTCAATTTCATATCCTAATTTGTATACAACAGCACCCGGTCCTAACCCAGACACATATTTCCTAAATTGCTTCTTGTTTTTCGAAGTGATAAATGGATTCGCTTTAAACCCAAAGTAGTTCTTGTATTCTATCCAGTAGCAGGAATGTCCATTCACTGACACCGGCTCATGAAATCGGATGTCAGGTGTTGGGCTAAGTCGTAATTCCTTTTGCTCTCTCTCGGTCCGAAATTGATAGCCGAGATCTCTCATTCGGTCAATAAAAGACGTTTCTTGAATGAGCGCCCGCTCTCTCTTTTGCCGCATTCTTTCTTCCGCCTCGGCTCTACCATTGGGAGAGTTATCAGGCGGCAACAGCCGAAGGGCAGCTTCAATAAGCGCTGAGATGACCATAGTGTCTAACTGGGTATCGATGCGTCTCAATAGCATATTGACGTCAGGCTTCGTGAAACGGAGGCGGCATGCTACTTTGAAGACCGGTGTTACTGCAGCTCGAGGTACTCCAGTATATGTGAGATTCAGATTATCGCCATTCGCTCCAATCCCCGATTCAGGTGGTTGATCGTTTCCTTCCTGGCAGTCTTTTACTGGCATCTGTGGTGGTGCAGCTTTGACTACAGGGCGATGGTTCTCCATGAAATGGTTCTTTGCGCTTCTGGTGTGCTGACGCTTTGAGTGAATGGATTGGAAGGATTTATTGCAAAGCTCGCAACGATGCCCAAACTGAAGGTGCTTCTCCAAGGCTTCTTGAGAGCGAAATTGTTTGTTGCAGGGAACACAATTCACCATATTGAATCTGAGAAAAACAATAAGAGAGAAAAACAAATATTTCGAGTTATCCTCCATAGACTGAAGAATGAAGAACGAGGTCTAAGCTTGGCTATTTAATGAGCCGTTTTCTCATATTGACAGAGGTACTTTGTGTTATCTAGTGCGTGCGATATTTTGACACGTCATACACATGTGTCAGCTGAGACTGAAATGGATATGGAAATGACTGTACATGACATTAAGACGACGATTTCGTCCACATGTGTACGCAGGGCCTTTGCCATGAGAAATATCACCTTTTCTTTTTGGCTGATGCGAGTTGGAAAATCTCTGGCGTCTCCAGGCTGGCGAAGAGCCGAACATTGAACGTTTACTTCGTTCAAAGCCCTAGCCATGAACTCAGCACCACAACTTTGAGTTTGCAGATCTTGCAAATTGAAATTTGAAAAATATAAGATTGACCGTATAGAGGTGGAAGGGGAAAATACTTGATTTTCATGCATGCAAGTGCGGGGTTTTTTGCGACGTGTTACCGAATTTGTGGTAGTCGACAGCATCATACATGGTAAGCAAGCAGATGCATAATGTCCAAGACATGATGTGTCATTTCAACCACGTTCGCATCACTGAGGCTGCGGCAAACTTGGTAAATTTTATCATGGTTCCTCAGGACGTGCAAGTACCCACCCCTCTTGCCCATCTGATGAGCCAATGAAATCAGCCCCCACTAGCATCACGTCGGTGTCTGTCCTGAGCCCCTCTTGAATACCTCATGGTCGGTAGGGCGTCGTGCTTCCCTGAAGATCAGCTTGAAGAATTGACAGGAGGAGGCCGACAAACGGAGTCTCATTAGGAGGGCTAGGAACAATGATACGGTTTATGTACGCAAATGCAGGATACATTGCAACGTGTCCGTGGGTTTGTGGTTTTGGCGTACGCGAGTCAACTCCATGTAAATGTCGAACATTCGGACTATTACGTGTCATGCTGAGTGTGGAGGAGTGCCTTTCATTGCATCGACCTTTTTATCATGATTCTTCGCTTTCTCTTTCAGGCCCGCTTTCTCTTTCAGGCCCGTCAAGTATATACCCGGACTAAAAAAAGAGCCAACCCTTTCTTCATCACTATTTTCCTTGTCAAGCGAGTATGCCAATTCATCGACAAACAGGAATGCGGAGGAAGTCTCCTCGACAAAGTTGGGACCGACAAAGATTGAATCTGAAGAAAGGATGGCATCAGTTTGCCTAGGCATTCGTATTCGAGATACAGGGCGCGTGCTCGTTTTCAGCTGGCAGATCTGGCTTCCAGGTCTGCTTGTCCTCTAAACTTGTATTTCGCTATAATGTATGACTATAGGCTATGGAGGTTTCTCAGAACGACTCTGGGATCACACTAGTAGATCGATATGATTGGTCCTACGGTACTCCCTGCTCCACTTTGGAGAAGCATAGAAGCACAACCCTGCCCTGTCCCTCAAGAAGCATTGTGCTATGCTGTACGCACTGGTTAGATCAACGCGATTTTGAGTCATTCTGAATCAAAATACTGCTGGACATCGCCATTTCGGCTTCATGTCAAATTCCAACGATTATCGCAGTCAGACACAGACTTACTGATTATGGACGGGTGTGAGCGAATCGAGGAGTCTCACCACCCTTCTTCACCGACCGCCGATTTCTGCCACGATTCTGCCACATTCAAAATGTCCATGTGCAAAAGGGTGTTAAGCCTATTACAGAAAGGCGGCGAAAGAAGCGGTGAATGAGAGTCAGGTTGGGTTTCCATGGGCAGGTTTTGGCGTTGTCCTGGTTCCAACTTTCCCCATTGGGTTTGTGGCATGACGACCCTTTGACTCAAGTATGCGTCGGTCTTATCGTATGAAGCCTCATTACGTCCTGACTTAGGGCCTCATTACGTCCTGACTTAGGGTAAAATCAAAATATCTGTAAAATGCGAAATTCGACGCAGGTAAAGGGGTCTCATGCAGTTGCAATGCACGATTCTTGGACCCCGCATTCACACTGGCGCCTCGGCAAAGACCTGGGAATGCACCGCCTGGGAACTCTCCATCCTCTTTTCATTTTTGCGCGCCGTATAGCTCACTAAAAGAGAAGAAAGAATCACATGGGTGCCAACACAATATCTGCTACTGTTCAAGATGAAGCTGCTCGTCAATCCTGCGAAGGGACAAGCGGAGGGGAAGAGCTTCTATCTAGAACACGTGCGTCCTGGAGTCGAGAGACGTTAGTTTGTCAGGAGGGAAGTTAAGAAGGGTGCTGACCGCAGTTTTCATAGTTTCATTGGATCCGCAATCTTAAACCTCCTTGCCTTTGCCCCTCCTGCCGTTTACAGCACCCTGAGTAAGCTATGGGTCGCCAAGCTGAGCTCCAGCGAGGTAGTCACAACTGATGTATACACTTACATCGGCATCATTGTTGAGGTCTTGAATGACGGTATTCCCCGCACTGCATGGCTGATTATTGGGGACAAATCATCGCGAAGCCTGCACTCACGGCTGAACCTTGCCTGGACCATGATAATTGTTGGCGTAGCACAAGGGCTTCTGATGACCGTTATATTTCTTGCAACTTCGACCAAGCTTGCAGCCGCCTTTGTCCCGGCTGAAGTGCGACATGCCTCGCTTGCCTACGTACGCTGGTCCTCCATTCAAGGCCTGACATCTGCCACCGAAGCGGCCATCTCTTCATCGACCAGAGCGCTGGATAAACCGGACGTCCCTTTGATGATCAGTGCGAGCAAGTTTTTGATCAATATCGTGCTAGACTTCCTACTGATATCAACGTTCCGTGTTGGAAAATTTACACCAACCATTGTAACACAGGCTATTATTCGATTAATTTGCGACACATTATCGGTGATAGGAGGACTTCTATACTTTGTTTGTATAGTTTCTAGGCGCAAGAAAAGAGAGGCTGATGACCACGAACAATTCAAAATAAGCCTCTCTGCACTGGCAACGTTAGTTTGGCCAAGTGTATACACGTTTGCTGAGTCGGCGATCAGAAATTCTATCTATCTATGGCTTGTCAACAGAATAGTTCAGCTTGGATATCTTTATGCTACGGCCTGGGGAATTTTCACCACAATCCGTTGGGGGCTGGTAATGGTGCCCGTTCAAGCTCTTGAGTCATCGACTTTGGCCTTTGTCGGACATAATTGGGGTCATTTTCGTGCAACACGGCAAATAGAATACCCTCGAGCTACCAGAAAGGAAGTACTCGGTATGTTTGAAGCCCACAAAGATAAGATAAGCTATTAACATTCGGAAAGCTATTATTCGACCGGCAATTCTATCTTGCGGAATTGTACTGGTTTTTGAAACTGCTATGTGCATTGCGTTATCTATACGTGGAATACATTCTTTCGCCCTTTACTTATCTGGCTCGAACGACGTGGCGGCTCTCACCCAAAAAATGTGGAAGGTATCTTTTTGCAGAAACTGAAGTTTCCTTTCTTGTTGGCTTACGTATTACAGGCCATTGACTGGACCTACATATTTTATGGACTCAACTACCAACTCGGAGCTGTTCTACTTGCAGCGTCACCTCGGTGGTACCTTTACCAAGCACTCGGCTCAAACTTCTGCTGGATGCTTCCTTGGGCGATTGTTGTGACTGTTCTCTCTTTACCGAATTCACAAGCCTGGACGTACTATGCAATCATTTTTGGAGGCGCACTCGTGTTTGATTTTTTTGATGTTGGAGTGACGCTACTTGTTTGGACTTACAGGCTGTCCAGAGGAAAAGTAAGGGCTGGCTCGTATGTTGGATATCCTTGAACTAGGACTGATTTGTGCCTCCTCATGAATTGTATGTGGTTTGACTTGATTCATCTAGGTGATGCCGCCTAGGCTGAACAGATGAACACCTCAGTCCGTATCAATGTCCGATCCTGATTCTTCTTTTGTGTAGTAATTGCGTTCCGTAGCAAGGCGATGAACATCTTCCGCGTGTCTGCGAAGATGCATTTCGTGTAAGAGATCCTCGCTACGCATGTGGCGTCTCCGATCCTCCAAGTGCTTGTCTCGAAAGTGTCGCAAAGTTGATTTGTATTTGCTATATTTTTGTGTTCGACGATGAACAGGCAGCAGGGTATCGCCGTAACATTGAAAGCACCGTCGTGGCTTTTTGGCCTTCCGAATGTAATTTCCCGCCTTCGCCAGAAGGATTTCCTCCCTCGATATTTCAGGGGGAGAAATGAAGGCTATTTTTGTGGTTCGTTTTTCCATTGCTGTTTGCTCTTCGTCGGGCTCATCGCTTGGAGCCGGCCGCTTACGTCGCCCTCGTAGTGGCCCGCCTTCAAGGTGACCACAGTATTGAGAGATGGTAGCGACAGCGGCATTTCGTCTCTGCCACTCTGCCTCCAATGAATGGGATGTCGGCCAGGTGAACAGTTTTTCGAAAAGATCGATCTGCTCTGGTACTATCGACCGCAACGCAGTTCCAATGATACAGTCCTCGCAGTACAGTCGTCCTCTTCGTCTTCGTCTTGCCCCGTGGTGTTTGTACAGTACAGTACCGAAACTTGGAATTACTTATTTTTGATCGTATATTGCGAATAGTCAGTAGTAACTCAAGCTGACAAGTTTTGGAGCAAAGGACATACTGTTACTGGTTCCAAGAAAATTTAGAAGCAAGGTCGGTACAGTAGATGGATAAAAGCTCTGTCTTGATATTTGTCTCAAATTAATATCGGAGAAAAGACAGTTGTCATCTTACTTATTAAGTTATATATCAACTGTAGATTTGTGACAATCGTCCTATATCTGGGGTTGTCATAAGACAAATGTCTGATATCCTTGTCAGTCTTGAGACAGAGTGTGTCTTGGGACAGATAAACATTGAAGGAAGTCTTTGATGCTGCTGCTTGGACAACTGGAGTCTGGCTAGAATTATATAATAAATCAACTTATGATTATTGTTGGAGAGCCTAGTGGGCCGTAATAGTACTAACCTAATAGGAGATAAAAAACAAGTCTGAATTGGTGTTTTGCCTATAATACGTATTTTATAAGGGCACTAATAAATTACTAATTGACTACAGTCTTTATACGGTATTTCGTACTCTCTGCCTACCTAGTAGGCAGTATAGACCTATACTAGGCCTGTCGTACTGATAATTATACTTTCTTGGAATCTAATTCAGGGCGAACCGGGCTTTACTATCTCTTGTAGGGATAAGAGCTGGAACGGCCTGCAACCCGGGTCGAAGGTTAAATTGACAACTACGTACCAAGTGGCAGTGCTTTAGGGGGACTATAATCCGAAATGGTCAGCAGATCCCTTCTTTCTAAGATATACCGCCTTTCTCTAATGCGATATGCCAACACTACTGAAATGATATAACCGCCTTAGCGTAGCCGATACGTTTGTATACTTTAGCGCTAAACCTCAAATTTGATTAATATCATCTCTTAGGGCCCTTAATTAGCAAATCCCGTTTAAGGATACTGTTAAAACTGATTGACGGCAGTGTATTTTCTTCTGTTTATTTTTTTATGAAAATAATACTTTAATTTATCAAATCTTGAATAACGTAAAAAAAAAGGAAAAAAAGAAAAAAGATATGGCCATGAGTCAAACTCAATGTACTTGTCCTTAGTTATAAGATATGTTGAATATAGAAGAACAGTAAAAGATAGTAATACTACAACCAAAAAAAAATGTATCGGGTGTTGGTGCCAAGACCATATATGAAAGTGCCGTTGAACGTTGATGTAGAACCATCTAAACAACAACTGTCCATACAGGAACTCTAACATCATGTATATTTGCTAACAGTACGCCCGCCCCAAGGCCAACACTATAAATCTTTCTATATGGTCTAGACTGTAGAGCCTAAAGTCATCCTGTCCTCCCTTTGTTTACTGTATATAATATAGTATATCTATCTAAAAGAGCAAGCGAAGCTTCAATATACGGAGATTATGCTAGAATATCTTTTGATTTTAGAGTATGTATGCTTTATAAAAAGGTCTGAAGATATATACGTTTATTGCTAAATCCTATAAGGAGTTGTTCCTTGTAGATACCTTTATTCCCCGCTAGCTCTATCCCAAACAGTCGTATCTCGTACGTAGTGATAGTATCAGGATTTATATGGAACTGGACACCTACTAGGAAGCTATGATCAGTCAAACCTTGACACTAGAATTCTTGTAAAAAGCTGGCCAGTATAGGAAGACGAGGACAGAAAAATCCAGAACTGGTATTAGATAAGAAGGTAAAGCGGCCTGTCGATCAATATGCTCTGAGGCTTTATAATAAGAATTACGCTTATAGGGTATTGGGAATTCTTGTATATAATTGGCCCTTATCTACTCCTTGCTCTACTTTGGAGAAGTAAGCTTTAGCATTATTCGATGAATTTGCGACATATTATCGGTAGCAGAAGGGCTTCTATAATTGTTTGTATAGTTGTTAGGCACAAGAAAAAGGAGGCTGATGACCACAAGCAATTCAAAATAAGCCTCTCTACATTGGCAACTTTACAGTAGTTCGGCTGAGTGTATATACATTCACCGAGTCAGCGATCAACAGCACTCTATATTCTGGTACAATACTATAAAATCCTATCCGCGAATGCTTAGAGTACACTAAGATAGAAATACCCATTCTCGGGCAATAATGTTAGTGAATAAGCAGTGCAGTGTCACTGTATCAGCAACGAAAACCCTCGCCCATCGCATGTATTGTATTGATTTGATGTTGAAAATAGTACAAGATAAAACTGAGATTTGGAAATTAAGTTTTTATATATCACTGAAAAAGTCCGGCGGGATGTATCCAGTCTCCTGGTTTTTTTTTCTTACATATAATCATTTCACATATGTGACAGTCTCACATATGTTGATATTTCACTTGTGTGATACGCTAAGGTAGGAAATGTAGTACAACAAACAAACAAACAATTCATTACCGCCCGTCGGCTAAGCCGGAAGTGCAACTAATCTATCAATACATGCCCCCCCATTGGCCGAAACCCGCAGTGTCCAGTTTGAGGAGATGCAAGCTCTAGTCCCGAGTCGACCGTGCACGCTGTTAGAGCTCTGAGCAATGTCCAGGGTACCACTAAGCCCAGATTGGAAGTGGGTTTTATTCAATCAACTTAGGACGGGACGGTCCGCTTCAGTCTTGCCCTTATCCTTGAGTTTATTGCAAGCTATGGCCTACGATTGTCAAACTGGCTATGGTATGAGGATCTACAGCAGAATGCAGTTAGTGTGGTTTAGGGAGCACATACTAGCTGTAAGGCCAGACTGTAATCTGAATTTGACCCACACCGTGAAATGGCAATAGGAATTGTATTTAAATTGCTATATATGTACCTAATCCATTCAAGACAGCCACTATTGTGGCTCCAAATTCCAAAGGTAAACTACTTAATCACACCTGACAGTACATATAGCTCTTCGGAGAAGCACCATCCCTAATTCAAATATCAATTTCGTAATTGAAATTGTCCGCAGGGTTCTGAAGGCAAAAGCTGATTCAGTTCTTGCTCTTGATTCAGAGAATCTCAATGCTTTTATTTATGCTTTGGTCTCTGGTAATTTTAGATTGATTGAGCTGCTTTTCAACCATCATAAAGAATACGAAATGAACCCTTGTATTCAAATGAATGGCGTGGAAGGAAGCCCTTTGCATATCTACTTGGAATCGACTATCTGCTTCCCAAGAGTGGTCGAATTTCTTCTGGATCATGGCGCAGACGTCAACTCTATTGATGCCAAACATCATTCCCCGCTCAGCAAATACCTAAGTACAATACATATTGAGGATAAGATCGAGATATGCCGGCTTCTCTTACAGCGAGGTGCCGATCCGCTATGGCAGGATGGCTCAGGCAAAAATTTAGCCCATGTCTCCATGCTTCACCCTGCAGAGGTAGGTCAAGTCCTTCGAATCTTGGATGAATACGGAACAAACGTCGCGGCAAAAGATCAATCAGGAAAAAGCATACTTCACCACGGAGCTCTACATGGCTCGTTAACTCACTCCATTCTTGATTCGCTTGAAGTGAGCTTTCTGCCTTTACTTCAACCTGACGATTCTGGCATGACTCCAATTCTGTACGCCGAAAATTATGCTATAGCGGAAGTCCAGGATGACTTCATAGTACCGTTCAGAACCGAGACTTTGAAGGTGTTGCAGGGGTTTCAAGGAGATGAACCATAGCTTTCTAGTGGGTGGTACCTTTCGCCAGCGGGACCAAAAAAAATGATTTTAATTGCATAATAAATCCTTCTATGATATTATCGATAGATAGACATTAGGTAAAGGGGGTATTGAGAGGAAGCAGCGCAAATTTTAAGTAAGCTGGATTAAAATTTGTGACTCCAGTCATACAATACTCATCTATATGGTGCAGATGATCAGACTTTCCTCCATAATGGCCCAGGATGGTAGTATGTTCGAGATGCTATACCATATATGCGAAAAGAGGACTGATTCTTCAGAACGACTGGAATCGCGTTCACAGGCCGTGCAATAGTATTAGCTCGACACAAATAAACATCTGCTTCACACTCTTGGGTGTACTCGAAGACTTTTTTAAACAGTGTGTCTCTTCTCCTTATGATTTTCTGACTATCCCTCCTGGATTGCGTTGTTTTTAAAAGGGTACCTACCCGATCTAAAGAACAGCGTGCCACTGGTGCTTGAGTGTCCATAATGAGCTGAGTGAAATGGATTAAGAATCCTTTCAAGCTGAAGGCCTTTGGGCCAGCTTTATAAGAACTGTGGCCGAGCTAAAAATGGCATGTGGGTCGTGTGGATCTCTGATCGCCCAGGCCAGATTGTCTCGTCTATTTTATTTCTGAACCCAATTTGGAAGACGTAAGGTACTTTATCATGGTATAAAACGCCGACTATATTTGGCGATTCAACAGAATCCCTATTCAGCCATTGGCGGCTACATCTTTGGCGGTTTAGAATGGCGACCCTGACAAAAACCATTCCGAGCAGCTAAACGACGACGGAGTGCTGGGTTCATCTTGATATCCTATGGAGTCCCGCCGGATATTCGCTCTCTACGTCCTGGTGACCTTGATAATTCGGCTCTCGCAATGACGGCAAGAAACGGCCATGTGTCGATTGTCAAATTACTCATAAATCTTGGCTGTGATCCTTACATCAAGGGCTGGCTTGGGTCAAACATTCTTGCTGACGCGGCCCACGAGGGCCATTATATAACTGTTCGTTTCTTGCTAGAGATAAAGCCTGGAATAGAACCACTTGATAATGCTAGCTCAGCTCTTGCGCTGGCAGCTAATCAGGGTCACGAAGATGTAGTGGACCTTCCACTAGAGCACGGAAAGACCCCAACACCATTCATGACAGGATACCTACGTCATGAAAAAAACCCAGTCACGTGTATTTGGATCCATCACCTCACCAGGGCTCTCTGGCCTCCCACCTCCCCAGCAAAACCTACCATATGGAATATCCAACACAACAGACTCTTCGTGCCCACGAAGCAGATCGTCAAGCTCGTGAGGTCTATCGATATTTCCAACCAACCAATCCGGCGGCACTGAACGCAGCATGGCTTCCGCGCTCTACTGCCTCCGACTTTGCGATCTCAGAGAAGACTACGATCGAAACCAGCTTCCTGTCTAGTCCTAATGCGACGTTGACTTCGTTCGCACAGCAGGCAGTTATACGCCTCCACGCACAACGTGCCTTTATCACGTAATTAATCCATCTCAACTTTCCATGGTTACAGACCTCTCTACCTACCTACCTTTCGTTGATGCTAGGCTAACTAATTCTTGATATTAGTATATTGAACCATCACTCACAGTTCATCATAGCCGAAGCCACGAAGACGACAAATCTCAGGAATTCGAAATTTTCGACTGCGGACGGAGATGGACTTTTTTCTGGAACATCGACCTTGCCAAACATTTGGAATATCTGTCAGGTAAGGCCAATTATCCTATGATCTTGCCATAATGATTTATTTGTCTCGGGCTGATCTTTCTATTTGAATAGGAAACAGTTGCAATTGCCTCAGACACTAATGATGACACCTACCCGGTACTGGTCGTCAACGATCTTACACAGGAGGATCGCTTCAGACGATTGCCATTCGTCGAAGCAGAGCCACACTCTCGCTTCTATGCTGGAGCTCCCTTGACCACCGATAGCGGTATCAATCTAGGATGCCTTTTTGTGTTGGATTCTCAACCCCGCGAGGGCTTGTCTGATTGTGAGAAGGACGCGCTAGGAACAATGGCAGCGATGGCCATGGACTATCTACACGTCAGCCGACAGGCGGTCGAAGGGCGCCGCGCCTCGCGGCTGTCGCAGGGTCTCCGTCTTTTTGTTGATGGTAAATCCAGTTTCGCCGACAATGTCTACACGTCTCGCTCCAACACTCCAAACTCTAGTCCGGTTTCGCGGGATTCGTCACAGCGCTGGATGAGCCGATCTGTCAGCTCTCAAAACAGCGGGGTGGGATCCCGCGTAGCGCATGATGAAACCACTGAAGCGCACGCACAAACTGACAGGTCTTTGAGCCCAGTTTCTCACGATGATTTGAACACAGGCATCTCTACAAATGCAGCGACTTCATTAAGCTTACATCGAGGCGACAGTGGTTCATCAGCTTGTTCGGACAGCAATGACTGGCTTTTTCAGCGAGCCGCAAATCTTTTAAGACAAGGTCTAAATTTAAACAGTTATGGCGGCGTGATTTACTTAAAGATCAGCGATGTCTCGTCAGACAATCTTGTTTACAGTGACTCTACGCCTGTCGATTCCAGTAATTCTGCGCCACTTCTTTCTTTATCTACCAAGGACAATCTATTATCATCACAGAAAACCTCTTTATCGCCATGCGCGGCTACTACTCTCGACAAAGTTTTTTTGAAGCAATTGACTCATCGCTATCCCAAGGGAAGACTCTGGTCATTCCACAGAGATGGGTCTTTATCCACATCAGACGAAGAGCAAACCACCGACGCATCTCAGAAACACCGGAACAAACACAAGGCCTCAGAAAATACCAAACTAAACACGTACTTTCCTGACGCATGCCAAGTCATGTTTGTCCCACTATGGAACGCCACCGATTCCCAGTGGTTTGCTGGATGCTTCTGCTGGACTCCTCAACCCACGCGAGTTTTCAGTCGGGCTGTTGATTTGGCCTCAATATTTGGCTTTTCATCCTCTATTATGACTGAATACAGCCGTATTGAATCGGCTATTGCAGACCGCCAGAAAGGTGACTTCATAAGTAGCATCTCGTGAGTCATTATTTTTTCTCTCAGGAAATCAGTACTAACTCAATTTTTATTTTAGGCACGAGCTCCGTAGCCCGCTGCATGGTGTCTTGGCTGCTACCGAGTTTCTAGGAGACACTCGCATGGACGATTTCCAGGTATCGCTCGTCGAGACTATCAATGCATGTGGGCGAACACTTCTAGATACGATGAACCAAGTGCTAGACTTCAGCAAAATAAAGTCATTGCAAAGGCGAAAGAGAAGGCCCAGGGGCAGAAAGAATCCTTGGAAGACAAAGCCTACCGAGAAAAGCCCGGCGCGTATGGATCCATTCGTGGAGACAGACGTGGCTATATTGACAGAGGAAGTCGTTGATAGTGTGTGTTTGGGACATTTCCATATGAGACAATCGACGATGCCAGCCAATGATCGCACAGCTGTTACACCAAGTTCACCTGCCCAACCGGCAAAAGAGGGCAAGGAAATTATATCTAGTTCAGACGTGGAGATTGTCATCGATATTCCTAGCGACGACTGGGTGTATAAAGTTCAGCCAGGATCGCTCAGGCGACTCATCATGAATCTTCTCGGCAATGCACTCAAGTACACCGAGAGGGGCCTAGTTTCTGTGTGCCTCGAGGCCACTCGGCGTTCGAAAGGCCATTCGCGGGATCAGGAACCTGAGGATATGGTAACTTTGACAATCTCAGATACGGGGAAAGGTATTTCGAGCGAATACCTACGGACTCGTTTGTATACTCCCTTTTCGCAGGAGGATACACTATCTGTGGGTGCCGGCCTCGGTCTGTCAATTGTTCGCGACATTGTCAGTACGTTCAACGGAAGCATCAACATCCAAAGCAAAGTGGGCCAAGGCACTATGGTAAGGGTCTTGATTCCTCTCAGGCGTCCAATCGAAGACGAAAGTCCATCAAAAATTGATACGAATTGCGAATTAAAGTCGCCTATGCCGTCCTCTCAACTTTCTTGTTTGGGATTGACGAACAAGCGGGCTGCGTTTTGTGGAATGGATCCCCCCCTGATCGAAAATCAGTTCTGGTCTTCGATCGCTCAATATGTGACGGATTGGTATGGCATGCATATCGTACCTTGGTCCGCGAATGGAGACGTTGACTTCGTATTTGTTGACGCGGCCTATTTATCCGCAGAGAACGTGCGGCACTTGCCTGCTACACTTCCAAATTTGCTCGTCTTTTGCAATGACTGGGACAACTCCAGTGAGCTTAGGAAAAAGTCGTTGCACCTTGCTGACTCTCTCGTTATTCTCCGTCGACCTTGCGGTCCTCAGAAACTCGCTAGAGGTATCTTGGGCTGTCTCAATTCGACATCGTCTACTCTCTCTAATTCTGACAGCCTGATCCCTGCTGGTGCGCGGCCTGTCAGCCAGAGCGGACCCCGGGTCTTGCTGGTAGATGACAACGATATCAATCTGCGCCTGATGTCGACTTTCATGAAAAAACGGAAGGTACCGGTTTTGGATGTAGCAAAGAACGGCAGAGAAGCAGTAGGATATGTTGAGAGGATGTTGAAGGGGTATGATCTGATTTTCATGGACATCTCTATGCCCATTATGGACGGAAATGAAGCAACACGCGCTATACGCACGATGGAAAAAGCACGGGATGGATGCGTTCGGGCAAAAATTATTGCTTTTACTGGCCTTAGTAGCTCCCATGCGGAATCTAAGGCGCTAGACTCAGGGGTGGACCTATTCCTTACGAAACCTGTCTCGTTCAAGGAAGTTTCACGATTGATGAATGGTTGGGATGCTCGAAAGGCAAATTGAATAAATAGCAGCGCGCTACATGAATCTGAATATTATGGCATGACATCATGCCATGCCGAGGTAAGGACCTGAAACTGCCATGATTACAAAGCTGCCCTGAGCGCCAGTTGAATTATTCCCAGCTCAACTGTTGACCACGAGCGGGGGACTGGGCGGTTGTCTACGACTAAAGAGAGGGTCGGTCCAGACAGTATTACACATTGAGAAGCTATGTGATTAGAGGACTGATTCTGTAAAACGACTCTGGAATCACGTTCATGGGCTGGGCATTATTAGTGGCACATGATTGGTCCTACCCCACTCCTTGCTCCACTTTTGGGAAGCATAACCCTGCGCTGTCCCTTAAGAAACACTGCTATGCTGTACCCACTAGCTAGATCAACACGATTTCGGGTCGTTATGTCGCAATGTCGGCATTTTTTACGATTTCAATGACTCTCGCAGACAGACCTGATGATTTGCGGTCTGCGTCACCTAGCCGCCGGTAGTGGGAATTTTTTACGGACGGGTTTGGGGGGGGTTAGAAGAGTATTAGGAGGTAAAATTAGGAGGTAAATAATTAGGGAAATTTTTCGTTAACATTCGAGATAGTCATGCTGAACAGTCGGCGAAAAACCATAATGTTTGTTGGCGTGTGCGATTTACCCCTGACTGTACATACATAGTGACATACATACTAGATGCCGCTGACGGAATGTATGTTACGGTACACACTTGGGGCGGAAAAAAACGGCGGTGGGTTTATATACCATGGATAATTCGAATAGTCAAATCAGAAGGTCGCGCTAATGCTTTCGACTACTTACCCTCGTTAGCTTCCTTATGCCGTGCGTGCTAGCTACATTACGATTTTATTTGTTACAGGATCTGTGAAAACTTGCTATACCCACTTCTAAAGCCTGCGATTAGTTTGACAGAGGACGCGAAGCTCGTTGCCCATTGATTACATTCCTCGGCCCGAAGAGCTTGGGATCATTACTCGTATTATGCACTTGGACAGTTTTGTGATAGAGTTTTGTGATAGAGTTTTGTGATAGCTTCCACCTGCAATTGGCCCCTTGGGGTCCAGATGCAGCGCCACTGACGTCATAGAGACTGATTAGCTGTTAACGTGGGTTCCCCTCCCCTCCCCTCGCGTGATTTTACACGTGGACAGGGCGGCATCCTCTCCACCTTTCATGGGTTGTTCTACAACAACTTCTATTTCTATCATTGGGACTTCTATATCCACTTACTTCATACTACGACCTCGCCGAAGCATACCCTTTATACACCTACCCCTTGTCTATACCAAGCCTATCCTTAAGTTAGATTACATCTGTCTACGGCCAAGGGTTCTAGCTGAGGCTGGATTTTCTGTCTGGAAGGTAAGCATCAGAAACTCTTACCATACATACCTTCTTGTCGATACAGTCTTCGTTTCTTGCTCTTCACGAGATGCAAGATCTCAATGTTTGACCAGTAAGGCTGACAGTATTGCGTTACGACAACATAGATATTCCCAGTGACCGAAAGTAGCGCAACGCAACAACCGTTACAGCCAACGATGCTCATTTCCATAATCGACTCTATTGCTAGCAGCCCTTTAACCCAGGATACCATGGAGGCCTATACTCACGCTATGATAGTGCATACCCAGTCCCAAATATCGTCTCTTGTTGGTCTGAGCGAAAGTCATGGAACCAGCCACAGGGATTCTGGTGATGTTCCCACCAGCGGTGCGCTACACCAAGGGCCTGGTCCTCCCACATCGCTGAGACCGAAGACAGACGGCACGCTTGCAATTGCGGCGAATAATATATTTGAACTTAGCTCATGAGTTTATTTTGACGCGAAGCCGGTAGTGATGATGCTGCCTGTGAATTTTCCGGACAGGATGCCCCTGGTAACGTATGTTTCTTCTTATGACAGGCCGTCGATTTTCTTTTTCTTTATTAAATAGGGTTTCTATGGCACCATATCGACTGATGGGCATGTGCTCAACAATTTTGTCTAATCGCTTTCTCATTGTTACCGCAATAAGAAACCATGATGATCTTTGTTTCCTAGTGTCATGGCTTGTTTTCACATTTCGAGCGCGACTTCCTGTTTCCCGAATCGAGCCAAGAACTATAACTTTTTCTATTCTCTCACATCTTCCTACCACAGTTCCAGCGATATAAAAAGTCTAGGCAGGGTACAGTATCTACAGTATCAAGCCAGATCGCCAGATCCTCTCCTTGCGGGGCTTTCGGACGGCCTAGAACATTCTATGGAGATTTACAATATTTTACAGTGACTCATAAGACACTGACACCCAATACGTTCCATACCGCGGTACGGCCAAGCAGGGGTTGTTTCTAAAGTAACCTAATACAACTTAGCGTGGTCTCGGGTACGGACCGAGAAACAAAGCGTGAGTGTCTGGGGGGTAATTTGTTTTCGAAATCCACTGTACCCGCGAAATGCAGTATCTCAGCGACGGGATATCCACGAAGCTGTCTCTTGATGAGGCTAGTCCCACAGCTTTGCAGACTTTTGGGGGTTTGATCCACCGGATAATACCAATAAGAAATCTCACGCCTCGGGACAAGTCCGGCCGCAGCAGGATCATAAAAGAAAGAGTAGCCGAGGAAAGCGCGAATTCAATAGTCATATACCGGATTCCATTGAAATAAGTGCTTTCTTAGCCTGTTGCAGAAATCTAACGATACATGCTATGAAAATAACATCGAATTACCCTCCCACCCCAAAACAGCCAGCCCTTCATCTGCGTCGCTACTTTGCTAGGATTTACAGTGGAAGGTGAAAGAATCCTGACGCCCAAAGAACCGACTCTGCTATCAAAATCACCCGCATTCATGTCCGCTAAGACTGATGTGTCGCCTGAGCTGAATATATTGAATTTCCCAGTCAGTCCGTATCAATGTCCGATCCTGATTCTTCTTTTGCGTAGTAATTGCGTTCGGTAGCAAGACGATGAACATCTTCTGCATGCCTACGAAGATGCATTTCATGTAAAAGATCCTCGCTACACATATGACATCTCCGATCCTCCAAGTGCTTTTCTCGAAAGTGTCGTAAAGTTGATTTGTATTCGCCATATTTATGTGTTCGACGATAAATAGGTAGCAGAGTATCGCCGTAACATTAAAAGCATCTTCGAGGTTTTTTGGCCTTCCGGATATAATTTCCCGCCTTCTCCAGAAGTAATTCTTCCTTCGACATTTAGGGAGAGATAGAGGTTGTCTTTGTTGTTCGTACTTTCATTGCTGTCTGCTCTTCATCGGACTCGTCGCTTAGAGCCGGCCGTTTACGTCGTCTACGCAGCGGCCCGCCTTCAAGGTGACAGCAGTATTATGAGATAGCAACAATAGCGCCGTTTTGTCTCTGCCACTCTGCCTTCAATAAATAGGAAGTTGGCTAGGTAAACAACTTCTCAAGAAGATCAATCTGCTCTGGCAGCATACTGTTTGTTCGCAATACGTTTTTTGCTTCCTCATTATCGATAGCCGCTCCAGAGAGCTGTCGCTTAATATCTATATTCGCCTGTTTACAGTTAAACTCCTTTCGAATTTTCTGTCTTAATACTCTCTCTAGCCGGCCAAACGTATTGAGCTTTTCACAAGTAAGTTTGTTATATTGCGATCGTATCTGCTTACTTGGATTATAGATGTAAATTTTAGCTTGCTTATCTAATCGCCGGGCCGCTTTGATATACTCTGGATATTCACGGATCAACGCTTGTTGCTCAGCTGTTAAGTATTAAGGCCGCCTTATATTAATCCACCTGCTTATACAGATAATTACGTATATAAGGGATTTGTTGGATTAGCGGCCGTTTATCATATTTTGTATATCCGTATCAACATATCGCAGAAGGTAATAATTAAGGAAGGTACGAGAATCTGCGTACTTTATGATTAAATTCTGCTGAGCTTCGCTGACCGTATCACTATTGTTTAATATCTTTCTACCTCTATAGCGTATACAGTACACAAACATCGACTGAAGCCAACTATAAATCTCCCCGAGATTCCTTAGTCAAGCAGATATAGTGCTACTGAGTATAGGTTAGTCCTACAGAAGATCCGGGTACCCGTTAACCACTTCAGTTTTACAAAAGATATAATATTCCTCCACCTTAGGTTTCAAGGGAAGTAGTATCTGCTGACAACCGCCTTCAACAAATAGACTCTAGAGTTTTTCTATAGTAGAAAGGGCTAGGGATTTAAAAGCTTACAGCCAGAAAAGTATCCTAAAGATAAAAACGTAGGGGCTAAAGATAAGCAACGGATCGTTAATAATTTCAGGGAATATAAAAGTATTACTAAGAAGAATCAATCATCTAGCCCTTCAGGATCAAAGAATATTAGATACTTATATAGCTTCAGACCCCAAGAACCACTTTATATACTCTGACCTGACCTCGGCCAGAAGCACAGAAGGGCTACCCTAGGGATCCTTTTGTATAGAGAACTTAAGATACTTTAATTATAAGGAAAGCAGAGCACTCAGTTGATTTACCATAAATATGCCAAGTATACTGAAAAGACACATCTGGATACGCTCGTATCCGAAATTAAATTACCTTTCCTATGTTCGGAGAATGGTCTCGTTTAATTCGGTTAAGTCTTAGATATAGACTAGTTCTTTGCCTTGCTCTTGTTTATCTAGCTTAAACTTGTCGATTAGTTTCTGAATCCTCTAGAATTTCTATTAGCGCTCCCTGCGTTTAACGGGGATAGACAACTAACGGTATTAATTTCTTCTCTATCCTTAGGGCTAAGCTTGGTGTAGGTGATTCTCTAATAGTAATCTTAAAAACCCTTCTAATCTGCTTTAAGGGCGCTCGCTTTATTTGTACCTTTTAGGTATCTGCTACCTACACTGTACTTAAGTTTTATACAGTAGTTGAGGAATCGATAGATATTATTAGAGGTAACTTAATAAAGAGCCTCCTCTGTATTGCTCTATTTTAGAAGTATATCAGAGCCTCTAGCCTTTACTCTATAGTACCTAGTTATGTTAGCAGGTTGCAAGATACAAGTCTAAGAGCGTCTGCTTACTTATGCCAGTATTGCTTGATCTGGACCCGACGAACCATAGTTTGGTCGGAATACCTGTAGTCCAGAGGAACATTTGCGATGTCCTCATCTGTATCATCGTCAGGGTCGTCGCTGAAATCAGGTATTATATCGGGGCAGACACGGTCCCGTATCGAGGGTTTGGGACCGTGTGAAGACTCCTCGGGGCGATCAGAAAGCAGAGGAAGTTCTGGCGAAGTCTGAGCTGTTAAGCTGCAAACTTAACCGTCATCTGATTCTTCGCCGTCGCAGTCTGGCCGGAAAGACGCTCCGGAGGTGTCGCTTTCATTGCCCATCGACTGGTCAGACATCTCGAGGTCGGAGCCCGTCGAAGACATGCTCAGATCAGTAAGTCGGTAGACAGGTGATTTACACCGAACGAAGAAGACGATTGATTATAAATGCGAGGGCGGGTCGTTGGATGGGCGGATCAAGGTTGTAGAAGAGAAACGTAAAGGATGGCCTGGTCACCTGGGTAGCAAAAGAAGACAGTGGTCGACAGCGACCAGGGCGAGAGCAGTTCGCGCTTTTAAAGGCCAGCGAAAGCTGAAATCGATTGTCGCCATTTTTGGCGCCGTAGAGAACAGGGGAGCGCTGCAGCGGGTGGGGAAGGGGGGGGGGGGGTGACTGTGCAGTCCGAAGGTTGAGCAGAAGCGCATGGAATCTAGTAGGTCTCGTGCTGCCCAGGCACCAGGGGGGGCAGGCATGAGCGGACGGTACGCCAGAGGGGTTGGCGTGACGCCGCCCGTTATAGGGGAACCGGGGAAAAGTGCGTGGCCATGGTCAGGCGGGTGCGTGTGTGGAGGGTGTGGTGCCGAGACCGCCATTTTCGGCGTCGAAGGGGGCCAGTTTCGGCCGCCCCAGCACAAATGGTTTTTGTTTTAAAGGAATTATTACTTTTCTTAGAATACAGGGGATAGTGAGAATAGGATATAATTAATTTAGAAGGTAGTAATTTATAGCAGAGGATTAAAGCCTTAGTATACGGTACTAGAACAGGGGATAATATAACGCCTATATACCCTATTTGTTGTTTAAAGAAGAGAAATCCTAAGGCTATAGCTAGTTTTTAAAGATAGACCCACTGTTACTAGGACAATATATAATAAATAAAGCTTACTGTATACGGCCTTTGTTAAAAATAGTATATATAATACGGCTATCTGCTATTTCCTTAGTTTATAACCCTGTATTTTTTACCTATAGTTAACTAAGAAGTAAGTCATTAGTGGTATAATCTGTTACTATTATATAAGAATTAACTATATGTTACGGACCCTGCGGCAGGAGGGGTCGGAAACACAAATGGGCCATCAAGAGCCAACCATTCTACAAACACCATGACCGCCCGCAGGTCACGTGCAGAACACCGCGAGGAATCATGGCATTCCCACCGGAGCCACACGATACGCAGTAATTAAGGAACGCAGTGGGAAGACCACGAAGATTATGACAAAGGATCAGCGTACAAGGGAAAGGAGGTAGGTCGTGAGGCAGGGCACTTCGTACGAGCCCGGATGACCCACGACGGGACGGTCCGCACGACGGACCATGACCTACGATACGATACGCCCTGAGAACAAGACTATCGCAGGACGAACCATGGTTTTCTGGACAACCGGGCAAGGAACCATGGGGGTTCTTACGATAAGGCCTGACGCAGGAACAGGAGGGTCGCACGACTACCACGTGACATCCTAACGGTACAATGGGATCCCATCCTACCAGTAGGATAGGAATCCCAACGACCGGATAGGACGAACTAGATATATAAGGGACGCTCATTACGCACATGTATTTAGTTCTGGGCGATCAATCAATCTAAGTTACTATAGTATACCTTCGGACTATTCTTCATTCAGTTTCATCTCTTGTGACAAACATACTACAAATAGGGGAGCTCTTCGGACTGACCTATTTGGCGCACTACCTGGCGTATCCTTCGAAGTTACTCTACAGGATCCGAGTCTGTATAAGGCTTAGCACAGCAACGGTACGATTGCGAGTCGATACTTGAGGATTACGAGTGGTAGATATCACACCCAATCAAGACACATTGAACAACTGGTAAGTTGTTGCACGATAATCTAACCACTCACTGTGACCAGTTAGCAACGCGTAACACTATAATGCTACTGATAGTAATCAGTAGGTGCTTAAGATATACTAAAACACTGATCCTATAACCTCTGTCTACTGGGGTAAATTAAAGATATAGCTTAAGTCTTATATCTAGTAGAATATTTATATACTTAATTACCTTATAATAGATAATATTAACTATACTTCTGGTATTAATTAAGGCTCTGATAATCTAGTTACTAATAACTGTTATTATATATATAAAACCTTACGTATATTCCTAGCAGAACTTTATAGGGGTATAGGTAACTTATACAGCTTAGAAGTTAACTAAAGAACTAAAAGCCTTAGGATTTAAAACACTGTAATTAGGTCTAAACAATATAAAATAAGAGAGAGCTGTTTTCTGGATATCTTAAACTTAGGTATCAACGTATTAAGAGAGCTCTATAACAGTAGTATTAATAGGAACTTAGTTAATAACCTTAGTAAGTTTCTGACTTATAGTATCAGTACTAATATCTTTTCCTACTCCTGCTTAAATATAAGGAGTAGTACTAAGCAGTTTACTAATAGAGATTGTAACGCTAGTTTCCTAAACCTTCTGCAGTATTAGGTTAGTAATTATAGACCTTTTCTTAGCTATAGTAGGATCCTATAGTCCTCTGATATAATACAGAATATTATTTAGAGATAGATTCTCTGCCAGAAAACCTTACAGTATTTATTCCTAAAAAGTTCTCTGGGTATTATTTAGTATAAGTATTAGTTTATCCTTATCCTTATTAGTATTATTAATATATAGTTAAAAGCAGCCTTACTGAGCGTTTCGGGTATATATATAGTCAGACGTTTGCTATTTTCCTTTTCTGATATAACTATCCTAGACTTAACCTCTAATAGTATTAACTAGACCTACCTAATATTCCTCTCTATATTCTTCCTTATCCTCTGATAGCTTTTTCTATATAGGCTAAGATCTGAGAAGAGATACGGCGATATATTATACTAGAGTAGAGTAATACTTATTGTTTCCTAGAATACTATTAAGCAATACACCTAAGAACTGTATAGGTACTAAAGGTATTAATTAGATATAATTACTTTCTGAATAATAAGTATTTTGATTAGCCTATACAGTATATTATTTAGAAATTAAATCTTTCTATAGGACCCCTATTCTTAACCTTAGCTTAGGACCAGGATTTACCTTTATTCTAAGAGTAGTCTAACTAGTTATTTTATTGTAATAAATTATACCCTTTGCCTTAAAGTCCTAGATAGCGTTATATTGTTTAGGAGTACTGTTATATAGATCTCTATATATCTAGCAGTTCCTAGGAGGATTAATCCCTATACTATTCAACGGTGCCCCTCGGTTTTGTTTATAATAAGGGTTATTCTGGCGATCTGTCCTAGTATCTAATTTTAATGTAAGAGCTTCTAGTTTCTGAGCTATGTTGTTAATTACCCTTAATATATAGTTCTCGGCCTGTTAATTATTAGCTATTATAACAGGAATTAGCTAAACGGCAGGAATAGGAGGAGTAGGATATAGGGGTACTGGAGATAACTGTCTCTCGTCTGATAATATATTCTTGACTTCTTTTCTTTTAACCTTTTGATAAACATTGGCTTCAATATGTAGGTTTGTCTGAACTTACTTATATACCTTGTTATAAGAGATCTTATTGCTGTAGGAACGTGCTTTTAAGGTATAATACTTTAAAATCTTTATTTACTATTTCTTAGGAAGACCTTTGATTAGCAGATCTGTCCGCTCTCTATTACTTAGATGATTAAGCAGGAATACCTCTATAGAAACCTTATAAAATTTGCTTAGATAGCGTCTGATTTTATCGTTTGTTGATTAGTTACTATTTATAAGCTTGTTAAGATACTGCTTATTATATTTTAATTATTTATTGTCTTAGTTATAATAGTAGTCTAGGAAGTCCTTACAGAACGTCTGCTAATCTCTTACTTTCTATATATTATAGCTTTTAACCTAGATATATAGCAGTCTTTTATAATATTAGGGAAGGAGGTCTATAATTACCTTATGTCGGACGATACTACTGTGGCGATAGGTATCTTCTAGCTTCCTTAGAAACTTAGATATATTAGTTTTATTAAATACAGAAGCTCTATAAGATTCTAGGGCTGGTATTACGCTGTATATTATCTGATATATTGGTTATAGGGGTAGGACAGTATAATAGAGCGTATACAGTGTAGGTTCTCTAATTAGTATAGTCAGCAGAATATAAGGAAGCAGCCTTGCGGCTTTAGGGTTTACAGGACTTACAGAATAAGAGAGATCCCCAATAGTTGATCTGGATACTCTAGGCAGTAGTTTACAAAACTAAGTGAATTATTCTACAGCGGTAATAGGTATAGCTATATCGCCAGGAAGTTTACTATCGTTGCTACTATTATTAATAGCTATAGTTTCAGGAGATTATTTTCCTATAGGAAAACATAGTACAGAAGAATAAGAAGAACAAAGTAATATAGTATCAGAAAATAACTTAGTCTGATACGATGATTCAGAAGCAGAAACAGAAACAAACGAAGATAAAGATAAAGACAGGGAAATAGAACGTAAAATAGGAGCCTTAGTACTTAATGACAATAATAATTTCTTAGATAGAACTGACTCTTTACTCTCTGACGAGAGGTTATCCCTTTTCTCTAGTATATAATACAATATAAATAATAATAGAATATTAGATAGCGCTGAATACCAGATATAGCTAATACTAGGATATCTGCGAATCACTATCTTATACAGTTAATCTAGTATCATTTATAGAATTCTTTCTAGTATTATAGTATCTCTAGTATGCTAATCAGCAAGTATTAATTATAGAAACTGTATATATTCAGCAGAAGGGGATACTCTGATATCCTTTTTAGCTAATATTTCGAACATTTGATTAGATAATCCTACCTAGGATCAACCGCTCTTTACCCTTTATGATATATTCAAATACCGTCGTATTCTCTCAGGGTTAAATACAGTGCCTACTCTTATAATAGTATTGTTCTTGTTCTCAGCTACCCTTTTTATTAATCAAGCCTTCCCGGGGACACTATATATAAGATAGGAACGCTCAATAGCAGTCTGTTAAGCAGACGGGTCGATTATAAGAAGACAAAACTACTATACTCACAGAGTATAGGAGAGTAGTAGACAGAGCGTAACGCTATAGAGATATGACTAATAAGGCATTCGAGTCTTTATAGACATATAATACACCGATACCGCAACCTTAGCCTCAGTAGACTCCGCAGAGAGAATAATTCATAAGGGGGAACATATATATTGTTATTGATACTATCAAACGAACGCTACTTATTCTTCCGAAACGATATAGCTGCCTTATTACTAAGGCCCCAATCACCTGACTATGGGATACCGGTGTTGAGAGCAGAATTCCCTATTACACTACCTAGAGTATACTGCTATAGTATAAAGTATAAGATCAAAAGGATTTACTAGTAATAAGAGTACGCTAATTTAAAAAGCAAGACCAGAATATCAAAGAAATAATTCTCTGTATATATTGCCTGAAAGAAGTAAATATATACTTCTTTAATAAATATTATCTGCTTTAGTATAAGTAATTTAAAAAAAATAATCTTATTCTTCTATATAATTCTATTTATAGAATAAACTATAGTTTAAAAATAAAACTATAATTCTGTTGGCTAGGACCTTATTATATTTATACAGTTAAGAGTAGTTTATATTTACTAAGTAAACTTAATAGTACAGTGCTATAGGACCTGACTTATTAACCAGAGTTATTTAATAGCGATTAGCTAAAGAAGTTTTATTTTTGATATAACCTAAACGGCTATAAAGGATCCTTATCCTTACTATAGCATAACCTTATTAGACGTCTAAGAGGTTAAAGAAGTTATAGTAGTAGCTAAGGATAACAGCAGTATAAGGAATAGGTTAAAACATTATATATATAACTACTATAATAATAAAGAAGACTATTACTAAGAAGAATAGAAAGATAGACTGTCCTAAAACAGAATATTATTTTCTGGTAGGAAATTAGTGCCTTACAGCCTTACAGCCTTATAGCCTTATTAGCCGTTTACTTTAACCTAATTAGGAAGCTACCCTCAATATAGATATAACTTTCTCCCTTTCCTTTCTTTTACTTTTAACTTCTTTAACCCCCCCTTTCCTTTCTAACCTTCTTTTATTATTGCTTTGTCTATTCTATTATTTTAAAATCTGCTTTAACCCTCGCCCAATACTATCAAACTATTCAGAAACTATAAAGAACCACCTATTCAAAAACGTATAATTTAACTAAGGGACAGTCAAATAAGGAGGAGGGGAAAGAACCTATTTCTTTATTTATACAGTCCTTTAAAACTTATAGATCCTTTATTTCTTTAAAAAAGACCTTGCTTACTATTTCCTTATTTAATCCTATACCTTTAACAGATTTAACCAGTATTATAAACCATTTATAGAAGTCTGATTCCTTTTACTCTTATTTTTAAGAACTAAATATAAAATACCGTAGCTATGTCTATATCTAAAATAAATACCCTTATACCTATTACCCAGATTACTATAAGAGCTGTAAGAATATTGACGCTAATTCTAGAAGGACTGATTATTAATAGAATAAAGGTTTATATAATTAATAATATAATTAAGACTCTGTAAGGCTGTTAACAGAAAGATAAATATAACCTAGTACTCTATTATTATAGGAAGCTAAATAAAGTCTATAAGGTTATTAGAGATAGGATTTATAAACTGTTTAATTATATTAGTTCTAAGGAACTATAGAAAGAGTATTATAAGAGTTATACAAAGTTCTAGCAGTAATAGGAAAATACTGTTAAGCTATAGAAAAGAAAGGAGAAGAATACTATAATAATTAAAGACTATCAGCAACGTACGCTTATAAAGTAGGATAACGGTAATTTAGTAGGCAGAAATATAGTAGAGTTCTTTTAATAGATTATCAACCGTATATTCTCTAAGAAGGTTAGTAAGCTACTAAATACTAATATATCCTATAATAATATTAAACTCTCTATTAACAACTATATCATTAAGCAGTATACCTTCAGAAAAGAAAGCAGAAGCCTAAAATTAAAGTATATAGAACCTAGCAACCTAACTAATACCTATAACTGCTATATCTTATTGCTAATAATACAGGATCAACTAGATTATACAGGTCTCTAACTAGACTAGGATAGTTTTATCTGCCTAAGAGGTAAAGGCTTTAACCTCCCTTAGATTAAACCTTAAGCTACTACCTTATCTCTATCCCCTAAGAAGAGTAGTTTATAGCCAGAAACTATTACTGCTGCTAAAGAATCTGAGGATTAAGATATAGATAATAAGGAAGAGAAGGCTAATAATATATATCTAGTTAACGCCCTAAAGATATCTAATATAATAGATATTAATACTAACACTAAATCAGAGAGTAAAAATAACTATCTAGATACTGAACAATCTCTATAATATAAATAAACTAATCCTACTGCTAAAGAGAGTAATGATAAAATCCTTATTTTAACTCGATAACAATTACCATTTGTGCTGGGACGGCCGAATCTGGCGCCCTTTGACGCCGAAAATGGCGGTCTCGGCACCAGCCCTTCACACACGCACCTGTCTAGCCACCGCCACGCACTTTTCCCCCGTCCCCTGTAACGGTCGGCGTCACGCCGCCCCCCTTGGCGTACCGTTCGCTCTTGCTCCCCTGCCCCCCCTGGTGCCTGGACACACGGGATCTGCTGGATTCCATACGCTTCTGCTCACTTTCGGACTGGCAGTCTTCTGCCCGCAACCCACCGCGGCGCTCCCCTGTCCTCTGCGGCGCCAAAAATGGCCGCAATCGATTCTAGCTTTCGCTGGCCTTTAAAAGCGCCAACTGCTCTCGCCGTGGTCGCTGTCCTCGCTATCTTCCTTTGCTACACAGGTGACCACGCCATCCCTCACGTTTCTTTCTTATGACGTTTATCCGCCTATCCAACGACGCGCCCGCGCAGTCCTAATCGATCGTCCTCGTCGTTCGACGTATACAGCCTCCCTATCGACTCACGGAACCGAGCTTGTCTTCGACGGGGTCTGGCTTGGAAATGTCTGACAAGTCGATTGACGATGAAAGCGATACCTCCGGTACGTCTTTCCGGCCAGACTACGATAGCAAAGAATCAGATGACGACCAAGTCTGCAGCTTGACAGCTTACACATTACCAGAACCCTCTCCGCTTCCTAATCGCCCCGAGGAGTCTTTATATAGCCCTAGACCCTCGGTGCGGGTACGTATCGGTCCTGATATGTTACCTGACTTTAGCGACGACCCTGACGATAATACGGATGAGGATATCGTAAATATTCCTCTGGATTATGGATGTTCTGACCGAACCGTGGTCCGTTGAGTTCGGATCGAGTAACGCTGGCATAAGTAAGCAGACGCTTATAGACTTATACCTTACTAGTTGCTAATATGACCAGGTACTGTAGAGTAAAGGCTGGAAGCTCTGGTACAAATTCAAAATAGAGCGATATAGAGGAGGCTCTTCGTTAAGTTACCTCCAACGATATCTATTAATTTCTTAACTACTGTATAAAACTCAAGTACGGTATAGATAGCAGATACCTAAAAGGTACAACTAAAGCAAGCGCTCTGAAAGCAGAGTAGAAAGGGTTTTAAGGTTACTATTAGAGAATCACCCGTATTAAGCTCAGCGCCAAGAACAGAGAAGAGATTAATACCGTCAGTTGTCTGTCCCTGTTTAACGCAGGGAGTACTAATAGAAATTCTAGGGGATTCGGAAATTAATTGATAAGTTTGACCTAGATAACCAAGAGCGAGGCAAAGAACCAGTCTACGTCCAAGACTTAACTGAGTTGAATAAGACCATTCTCCGAATACAGGAAAGGCAATTTAATTTCAGATACAAGCGTATCTAGATATATCTTTTCAGTATAATTAGCATATTTACGGTAAATCAACTAAGTACTCTGCTGTCCTTATAATTTAAGTATCTCTAGTTCTCTGTACAAAAGAATTCTCAGGGTAGCCCTTCCGTACTTCTGGCAGAGGTTAGGTCAGAGTATACAAAGTAATTCTTTAGGTCTGAAGCTATATAAGTACCTGCTATTCCTTGATGCTAAAGGGCCTACTGATTAATCTTTCTAAGTAATATTTTTCTGTTCCCTGAAATTATTGATAATCCGTCCCTTATCTTTAGCCCTTATATTTTTATCTTTAGTATACTTTTCTGGCTATAGGCTTTTGAATCCCTGGCTCTTTCCTCTATAGAAAAACTCTAAAGTCTATTTATTAAAGACAGTCGCCAGCAGATACTACTCCCCTTAAAACCTAAGGTAGAGGAATATTATATCTTTTATAAAACTAAAGTGGTCAATAGGTACCTGGTTCTTCTGTAGGATCAATCTATGCTTAGTAGCACTATATCTACTCGGCTAAAGAATCTCAGGGAGATCTATAGCTGGCTTCAGTCAATATTTGTATACTGTATATACTATAGGGGTAGAAAGATATTAAACAATAGTAATACGGTCAGCGAAGCTCAGCAAAATTTAATCATAAAATATTCAGATTCTCGTATATTCCTTAACCATTACCTTCTACGATATATTAATACAGATATACAAAATATAATAAACGGCCGATAATCTAACAAATCACTTATATATATAATTACCTATATAAGTAGATAGATTGACACCAGACGGCCTTGATACCTAACTCCTAAGCAACGAGCGTTGATCTGTAAACATTCAGAGTATATCAAAGCAGTCTGGTGATTAGATAAGTAAACTAAAATCTGTACCTATAATCCGAGTAAGCAGATATAACTACGACGCGATAAACTCGTACATAAAAAGCTTAATACCTTTAGCCGGCTAGAGAGGGTACTGAGACAGAAAGTTCGAAAAGAGTTTAACCGTAAACAGGCAAATATAGATATTGAGTGACAGCTCTCTAGAACGGCTATCGACAATGAGGAAGTAAAAAACGTATTGTAAACAGAAAGTATGCTGCCAGAGCAGATAGATCTTCTAGAGAAGTTATTGACCTGGCTGACTTCCTATTTATTAGAGGCAGAATAGTAGAGATAAAATGCTGCTGTTGCTTCTATCTTATAATATTGTTATTACCTTAAAGGCGGGCCACTATACAGACGATGTAAACGGCCAGCTCTAAGTAATAAGCCTGATGAAGAGTATGCAGCAACGGATAATCAAATAATAAAGACAATCGTTATTACTCCTGAAATATTAAAGGAAGAATTACTTCTGGAGAAGGCAGGAAACTATATCTAGAAAGCTAAAAAACCTTGATAATATTTTCAGTGTTATAGAGATATCTGGCTGCCTGTTTATCGTTAAGCACATAAATATAGTAAATACAAATCAACCTTGTAATACTTTTAAGAAAAGTACTTAGAGGATCAGAGATGCCATATATATAGTGAGGATCTCTTATACAAAATACACCTTCGCAGATATACAGAAGATATTTATCGTCTTGCTACCAAATATAATTACCACGTAAAGGAAAAATCAGGGTCAGACATAGATACAGATTAAGGCGTTTAATTATTCAGCTGAGGCGACACATCACGGTTAGTGGTCATTAGTACAGGTTATTATAGCAGAGCCGATTTTTTAGCGCCAGAGAACATCCTCGACTGTATGATTAAGCAAAGAATAATCATTAGTCAGGCCGGTTCCTGTCGAAGGTAGATTAGGTAAGTCTTCTCTACATAGATATAGACACTGTGGATAAGAGTAAACGATAGGAGACAAGGTCCGCCATCAACCAATCTCCGCTCTCAATCTCCCTTCCTTTCTCTGCCCCTACAAACTAACCCGCTATCTTCTCTGGCATCGCATTCTTTGATTAGTCTATAGAATACAAGGATTTCTCAAACCAAACATAATAATATTCTTTTTGGATAGTCGGCACGAATACCAGTAAACCCGGTTGCTAGAGCAGCAAGACTCCCAATAGGACAGATTTGGCGGTTTGAAATCACATTTTCACAGTTCTGAACAGCACTTGTTGCCCCGAAGAAAGCTTCTGTAATTACGGCAATTTCCTATCACACAAGTAAAATATCAATATATATAAAATTATCATATATATAAAATGATTATATATAAGAAAAAAAAACCCAGGAGACTGGATACATCCTACCGGACTTTTTCAGTAATATATAAAAACTTAATTTCTAAATCTTAGTTTTATCTTGTACTATTTTCAACATTAAATCAATATAATACATACGATAGGCGAGGGTTTTCGTTGCTGTTATAGTAATACTACACTGCTTATTCACTAATATTATTGCCCGAGAATAGGTATTTCTACTATATCTTAGTATACTTTAAGCATTCACAGATAGGATTTTATAGTATTGTACTGAAATATAGAGTGCTGTTGATCGCCTATATTCACTCGGCCGGACTACTGTAATGTTGCCAATAAAGAGAGGCTGATTTTGAATTACTTATGGCCATCAGCCTCCTTTTTCTTATGCCTAACAACTATATAAATAATTATAGAAGCCCTTCTGCTACCGATAATATGTCGTAAATTTATTGAATAATGCTAAAGCTTACTTCTCCAAAGTAGAGTAAGGAGTAGATAAGGGCTAATTATATACAATAATTACCAATACCCTATAAGCATAATTCTTATTATAAAGCCTTAGAGTATATTAACCGACAGGCTGCTTTACCTTCTTATCTAATGCTAGTTCCGGATTTTTCTGTCCTCGTCTTCCCATACTGGCCAGCTTTTCACAAGAATTCCAGTGTCAAGGTTTGACTGATTATAGCTTCCTAGTAGGTGTCTAGTTTATATAAATCCTGATACTATTACTGCGTACGAGATGCGACTGTTCTGGATAGAGCTAGCGGGGAATAAAGGTATCTATAAGGAACAACTCCTTATAGGATTTAGCAATACAGTACAGTAAATGTACATATCTTCAGACCTTTTTATAAAGCATATATACTCTAAAATTAAAAGATATTCTAGTATAATCTCCGTATGTTGAAGCTTCGCTTACTCTTTTAGATAGATATACTATATTGTATACAGTAAACAAAGGGAGGACAGGATGACTTTAGGCTCTATAGTCTAGGCCATATAGAAAGATTTATGGTATTGGCCTTAGGGCGGGCGTACTGTTAGCAAATGTATATGATGTTAGAGTTTCTGTGTAGACAGTTGTTGTTTAGATAGTTCTATATCAACGTTAAACGCCACTTTTATATATAGTCTTAGCACCAATACCCGATGCGTTTTTTTTTGGTTATAGTATCGCCATCTTTTGCTGTTCTTCTATATTCAATATATCTTATTACTGAGGACGAGTGTATTGAGTTTGACTCATAGCCATATCTTTTTTCTTTTTTCCTTTTTTTTACGTTATTTAAGATTTGATGAATTAAAGTATTGTTTTTATAAAAAAATAAACAGAAGAAAATACACTGCCGTCAATCAGTTTCAACAGTATCCTTAGACGTAATTTGCTAATTAAGGGCCCTAAGAGATAAGGTTAATCAAATTTAAGGTTTAGCGCTAAAGTATACAAACGTATCGGCTGCGCTAAGGCGGTTATATTATTTCAGTAGTATTGGTATATCGCATTAGAGAAAAGGCGGTATATCTTAGAAAGGAAGGATCTGCTGACCATTTTGGATTATAGTCCCCCCGAAGCGCTGCCGCTTAGTATATAGTTGTTAATTTGACCTTCGACCCAGGTTACAGACTATTCTAGCTCTAATCCCTATAAGAGATAGTAAAGCCCGCTTCGCCCTGAATTAGATTCTAAGAAAGTATAATTATCAGTATAATAGGCTTAGTATAGGTCTATACTGCCTACTAGGTAGGCAGAGAGTACAAAATACCATATAAAGACCGTAGTTGATTAGTAATTTGTTAGTGCCCTTATAAAATACGTATTATAGGCAAAACACTAATTCAGACTTGTTTTTTATCTCCTATTGGTTAGTACTATTACAGCCTACTAAGCTCTCTAACAATAATCATAAGTTGATTTATTATATAATTCTAGCAGACTCCAGTTATTCAAGCAGCAGTATCAAAGACTTCCTCCAATGTTTATCTGTCCCAAGACACATTCTATCTCAAGACTGACAAGGATATCAGACATTTGTCTCATAACAACCCCAGACATAGGACGATTATTACAAATCTATAGTTGATATATGACTTAATAAGTAAGATAACAACTGTCTTTTCTCTGATATTGATTTAAGACAAATATCAAGACAGAGCTTTTATCTATCTATACCGACCTTGCTTCTAGATTTTCTTGGAAACAGTAACAGCATATCCTTTGCTCCAAAACTTGTCAGCTTGAGTTACTACTGACTATTCGCAATATACGATCAAAAATAAGTAATTTCAAGTTTCGTTACTGTACTGTACAAACACCACAGGGCAAGACGAAGACAAAGAGGACGACTGTACTGCGAGGACTGTATCATTGGAACTGCGTTGCGGCCGATAGTACCAGAGGAGATCGATCTTCTCGAACAACTGTTCACTTGGCCGACATCCCATTCATTGGAGGCAGAGTGGCAAAGACGGAATGCCGCTGTCGCTACCATGTCTCAATACTGTGGTCATCTTGAAGGCGGGCCACTACGAGGGCGACGTAGTTGTCGTGGCTGCGGCAGCCTGCCTTCTTCTTCTCACCGGATGCTAGAATAAACAGGCGGTCGACGCGCTGGCCGAAATGGCGAAGAAAGCTGCAAAATAATTTGGTTGCCAAATTCTAAGAACACTATCCACAATCTCTATCAGGAAATTGAGCCTTAACAACCAGTTTGTGAGAGATCTTTGAGTTATTTTTTTGTTTGCTTTCTTATCATCATCCCACGCTCCACTTGGATCGACACTTTATTATAATACTGTATCAACCAATCAATGCCACTCTTTAATTCATTTGTGTCCCCTTGAGCTGGATATCTTGTAGGCCCTGCTGTCGGAGCTATTTGACAAACTCCCCTCTTCGTTTTAAAACGTTCTCCGAGAGATGACAGCGTAAGACGTAGTCAACATCATATGTGCTGTCGTTCATCTACTGATACAATTGAAGCGCTGGAGATTTGCAGTTCTCGATTTTTTATCCAATCATTATACCACGATCCATTTGGCCATATCATGAGGAGGCCCATATGAACATATTTTCTGTACACTCATATGTATTGCAGATTGACTAATATCCCCGCGATTGTACATACTATATTACGCCCTTCATTCAGCTTAGGCGTACTTATAATTGGGTAAGGCCTACTCTAGATAAGGGTCGCACAGCGCTATCGAGCGCCGGTGTCAGGGCCATTCTCTCCATCTCAGTCGACAATACTTCTTCCTGCCTCAAAGCATAAAGCACTTTCTCCTTTTTTAGTAGAAGATCCATGAGAAGTGTCTCAATATCTATAGCGATATTGAGAAATGCGTCGCTAGCTTTGTTCAGGTCCAGCTTATACCCGGGTCGCCTGCCACACTCTCTCGTTACGCTCTTTTGGAGAGATCTTGCCCCTTGCTGAATGATCCCCGCGAGTGGTGTGTCCTTGCCAAGCCTTGCGGCATCGCGCGAAAACTCAATGAATCGTAAGGTATCAATCGCGGCTTCTTTTAGGACGGCCTCGTTTTTCTATGCTACAGAATTAGGCCAGCCTCTGCACTGAAGACGAAACATCTGGCGTAAGACGAGGGTTGCATCGTTACACATTTTGCTCATGCCACTGGTGAGCAGGGCTTCATAGAGCGCTTTGCAGGACTCCTTGGCCAGTACTAAGTTTGAAATGAGAGGATTAACACACTTTGGTAGATCAAGAAGCGTACAAGAGTAAAGCTCTTGGTAGTAGGGTAAATACTTGGCAACAGTGCGCCTGGTTGAGTTTTGGCCTGGACTCTGCGATTGAGGAGATTGGGGCGGTGACAAATCTTGAAAATAAAGCTAGTTAGTGATATTGATATAATAGTAGAGTCGGGTTACCTTAGAATAAAAGAAATTATCTCACCTGAAAATGCTGTGAAACTTTCATCTTGGCAATCGCACCTTATTTCACCCATCCATTCTTCCTCATGCCAGTCTCCCCTCATCATCCCGCAAGCTTCAGCACCTGTCAAGATTTGAAGCTGCCTCAAAATACTGACATGTGGGTAATAGTTCATCGCATAGCTTGGGTGGAAGCCATTCACCCTACGAATGTCGACAAATCCCCTCTTTCCGTGACGGACCCTCACTGTGACGGGGGATTTCGAAGTTTCGCCGAATTTCTTTCCAACACCAATGCTCTCAAACTTCCAGCCATGCCCCTTCAGTCTATTGGATTTGTCCACCCTTGGCAACCATATCTTGCCCGCGCAAAGCAAGATATGAGGCTCCTTATCACAAATAATATGTGTTGACGCACAGAATGACTCCTCCAATGTCGCATCATCAATCTTTTTTATATCTTCACACATGTAGGGCAATAAGTCCACGACGGCGATGTTGGTCCGAATATCAAGGGTTCCACAGGAGACAACAGAAAAAATGTCGTCAATAGCACAAAGAGTTTCGCAATCCTGGATTACGGCATCCAGGCCCTTCTTGAATGGGTGGTTGTGCCGGGGTTGCTGCAGGGCGACTGCTATACCGCCCTTCACCGCTGGTCCTGCTAGCTGCGTAGTAACTTGAACCTCGCTATCCGATCGTTGAAGTAACCGCCCTCGGTCCTCGATACAGGAGACATAATTGGATGGCTCTGTCAAGTCGTTGAGTACAGGCTTAGAAAGCCGTATGATCCGGTGGTCGACTGCCACACCTAGGCACACTTTGGGCTGTGTATCTGGAGCCATCAGGCCTACTCTGCAGAGAGGGTGGGGATTTGCTTGAGCGGCAAACAGGCGGGAGAGAAAGAACCTTTATCGGCTTAGAACTGGAGAATACGAATGGTTAGAACTGGGGTGGAGGGGACCGCAGACTAGTCTATCGGAGTGCCTTCTCCTGGAGACTGCAAAGTACAAATATATGCGATCAATTTCAAGCTACGCTGCCAGGAGCCTATGTTGCTGACTGTTTTATCTATGCTCAACACAATGCGTGCGGCGTGTTCCGAATAAAGTAAAGTTCCATTGCACTGTACCCCGGTGACCCTCCATGACGTGGTCTTACGTGGGGTATGGGTTACTGGCGGTCTCCAGCCATTTCGAGTCGGGGGGTGCGTGGACGCTTCCGAACTACCGCAAGACTTTGCGAACATTTATTGCCGTAAGTTTGCTGCATTCGGCTTCTTCGGCCATTTGAGATGTGGTGAGTGACTGGCTCTCGATCATATCACGGATAAGCTGCAACTTTGAGGGAGGTAGTCTTGGAGCCATATTATGAGTCTCGTATGCGGTACTAAGGAAGACTCAGCGAAGAGTCATTTCATGGGAAATCTGGCAAAGACAGTCATGTAAAGCAATTATATGTATAGTACACCTGGTATAGTATTAATCCGTCATTGTAAGTTACAAAATCTATTCTAGGAACTAGGAATCAACGCCTAAGCCCTATTCTGATTAGCGGGTTTTACATTAGGGCTTGGAAGTTTGAGTCGAAGAGTGTAGGGGTAAATCTGTTTTCGACCATTACTGTAAACAGGACTCGGCTTTATCACCTAGTGCCCTCCAGTCGGATTCAAGCTTACTGCATTCCCCTGCGCAAGGACGAAGGTAAACCTGAAAACATGTGTGGTACAGATGCACGTGGGGGGCCGTGGCGCTGTGGGCGCTTGCACAAAGCCTATACGGTAACGTCATTCGTACTAACCTTTGGTAGACTGGGACAATATTCCGATGCCTATGCCCAGTGCTTTAGATCTAAACTCAACATATTTTTTGTCAGCAAAACGGATCTTGTTGCCCAACAGCGTTTAAACATTTGAGTCCCACGATTCTTCTCAACCTTAAGACACAGCTGTGAAGTACTGTTATAAGCTTGCAGTCCATTTTCTGAATCTTATTTGAAAGCATAATGGCGAAGAATCAAGTAACAAGGCTCTATTCCGTTAAATAAGGGTCAGGTAGCACGAGACAGTCGCAGTTCGCCATATGGCTGTTCGAAATAGCTTTCTTCGGTCGCCGTTCGAAACCGCTGAAAGTATATTCATCGTATATCGACGTATCCTTCTTTTGGTTGGAGAGGGTTCTATTTTACATGCCTATTCCTCCTTTACTCTAGCCTTTCAATACACATATACGGAAGGAGCTAGAAGGATCAAGGGGTCGCAGTTCCAAAACCGCCAAATACCTATGCCCAATCAGCCTTCCGGAGAACCGCTAGTTCCCCGCTATCCTGTTTGAAGTTCGAGGTCCAGAACAACTAAATCCTACAGCTGGCCACTTAGGGGCCAAGAAGACTTTCAAGTTCGCGGTTTAGAACCACCAAATAGTTGTCCAATCAGCCTTCTAAAAAGCCACAGAGTCAAGGGTAGTTCACGGTTCAGAACAACCATATCCAAAATTTTGGTCCTGGCCCTTCCAATAGTCCACCACTATATTCCTGGCAGTACGTACACAGCGAAGGCAATTCCCAGAAAACTTACAGTACATTACCCGGTTCTTCACTGTACTTTTCTTCATTTGTCTTTCTTTAAATTACCAAGTTGCTTAGACCTCCTCATTCTTCATCCGCAGTAAGTAACATAATCTATTGCTCTAAACCATTTTACTTTAGACCGGGCTCGTAGCGTAAGCACTGCATCATATTAATAACGAGACAAGTCTGACTTTTAGCAGTAGAATATCAACTCAAATATTACACCAAAATCGAGACACAGGTAAAGGGCCGGCTAATTCATATTCTATTGCTAATAACTGAGAAATTTAAGCAAGCAAAATCAAACATGCCAAAATCATTCCATAGGATTTGAATATACATTCAAAGACAAGAGCACAATCTTCAACCTGTCCATCCCCGTCAGTCTACGATCACTGTCATTGGATTGTGAATCCCGATCATTTCTCGAACCTCAACCAAAGTAGGACGCGCTGACAACTGATCATATCTCAGGAAATATTTGATAGCATATTCTAATTTGCTACAGAGGCTAATAATATCAGGTCGAGTTGCTGCAACATAGAACATCAACGCCTTCATCTGCATCTCTGTGAAATGGCCGTTTTCACTGCATAATGTTAGCCAGGGAAATATTAAACTTTATAGTAGCGCGTACATTATCCTTCCACAGTCTTAGTCAACAAACAACGTCATACTTAGACTTTATGACAAAGACCATTTTTTACCAACCTGCTTATACCAAAAGATAGCGTCACAAACAAGTGACTTTCTGGGGGCAGGAAGGTATCGGTCGCCAGCATTTCTAATGGCTGCCTCAATATAATTGAGAATATAGGTAGTGAATTTCCTTGGTCCGAGATTAAGACGCCTATCCTGTTCTTCTTTACAGATAGTTTCATAGAGCATATTGACCTAGACTTTTGCGAGTCGAATCCTCATATAATTTTGCGCGTTTGGGTTGCCCGTTGCCTTAATATGTCTACACATACCCGCAATCCTTTATCTCGCAGACGAACCTGGTAAGACACCAAAGTCCACAACACTCCATAATTGTTCAGCTTACCAATGGTTGACTTATGTTTCCAAACGGGCCAAGTCTGGGGGGAAAATACAGTCACCTAGTTCCATAGCTTGTCGAAGTTTGTTTGTACTCAAGTCCGGAAACGAGAGGATCATATTTTGAGCATAGTCAACAGGCACGACTCCGGGGGCAGGGGCATATTCCAAGGCTTTAAGGGAATAGGAAGGACTAGCGCATTGACTTTCCTCGGCCAAATCATCAACCACAGGTAGACTTAAATATTATTACTCAGCATCTTGGCAAATAAAGACCCCTGGCTCGGACAGTGGTGGTCACATACCAATACCATCCATATTTTCGGCCAAGCCAGTTGCCGGTCACAGCGTATACTTAAAATTAGACTGGTCCGGGTATGAATAAGCGGGTCTTAGAACACCTAACAATTAGAAAGGATCGAAGTTTGTCAGGGGAGAGAAATCAGAGCCAAATATATCAGCTCCTACATCTGGACTAGGAGCAGACTGAGGGGTTAGATACAAGGTTTCCAAAGGCTGTGGTTTTGGCAAATTAATCTCCAGGTTCGAAGGTAGGGCCGAGGGACCAAGATCGCGCGCAAACTCACTCCAGAAAATAGCGTCTATAGGACCTATAGACATACAGTCAGTATATACCTTGTTGAAGAAAATTAAGGAGCAGATCAAGGTTGATGTTGGAATGGAACAAGCTATACACCGTCATTTCCTCCTAACTATGGATTCGTTGCGGGCATATCAACACTAGGCATATTTGGCATCGAAGATAGAATACCCGCTTTGGCGGCCACATCGTGCCTCTCGGCTTCTGGGAGAGATTAAAGGGCCAAGAGGCTATACCGAACCCAAGTAGGGAACTAACGATCATCAGCAGTATTAATCATATCCAAGCTCAGATACTTTACCTCTTCAGACCTTGCAAATTATTGATAACTCAATAAATTCTGACTCAAAGATAGGTCTTTTGGATCTTTCAATAGCTCAGACGGTCCATACCCCCATTGCTGCTTAAAGGCCTCCTCTTAGGACATATTGTATTTCCCTTGAATTTATAAGGACCAGACAAAAGGGAGGGGGAAAAAAGGCGTAGAATGTGGAGGCGAAAGTACAGAAATGACCGGACGCCCAGGTACACAGCACCTGAGCAGGGAAAGCCAAAGATAGGCAGCACGCTAGGGACAAAAGAGACAAAAGAGGGGGATAGGGGAAGCGACCAATTTAAGACCCAGGTGGGGCATGGCTCGCGCCTAGAGAAGGGGGGGGGGGCAGAATTTCTGGATCGAAGGTTCTAGTTCCTAAGCAACGAGCCCCAGGCCTGGTGATTGCAGAGTCGGCGGTTTTGAAACGCAAAGTTGAACAACCAATAGGCTTTTCCTACTCACCTCCGCTTTCGCAAGAGGCTCTTTAATATATAGGTCTCGAGGAAGAAAAATCATTTCTTTGAACACTTCAGCACTCTCACACTAGTGGTCTCTGATCGCGAAGAAAGGCGTCCAGAGAAAGAGGGAAAGGGATCTACGTCATTATAGAGGCGATCTGTCCTGGGCGATCACAGATCCACACGACCCACATGCCATTTTTAGCTCGGCCACAGTTCCTATAGAGCTGGCCCAAAAGCCTTCAGCTTGAAAGGATTCCTAATCCATTTAACTCAGCTCACTATAGACAATCAAGCACAAGTGGCACGCTGTTCTTTAGATCGGGTAGGTACCCTTGAAAACAATACAATCCAGGAGGGACAGTCAGAAAATCATAAGGAGAAATACAGTCTTTCATCATTAGCAGACCGTGGAGTATGCACAGACCAGAGAGTATACGCAGACCAGAGAGTATGCGCAGACCAGAGAGTATGCGTAGACCAGAGAGTATGAGCAGACCCGGAAGTATAAGCAGACCGTGGAGTATGAGCAGACCAGAGAGTGTGAGCAGACCGTGGAGTACAGTGCCGGCCGTTATTGCCTTCCATATTGGGAGACATAGAGATACTATTTCAAACCCTAATCACATGATATGCTAACCCAATATGGATCTGGAGTAAATTACCAATTTTGTATATACAGCGTAAAAATACCTAGCATTGTACCCATCTGTATGAGTACAACAATCAAGGGTCTACGACTAGAAGGATCCATGCAAACCGAGCAAACTAGGCGACCGTTAGAAATCTGTCAACTTCCCTCCTCCATCCCTCAGTTGCTTCACTGCAGAGGGTCTGGCGCTGTCCTGGGTGTCTATCTTGAGTCAAAGTGATAGGCAAGGCTTGACAGTAAGATTTGTTTCGCGATCACGATCGCTTATCGCCATGTGGCGGCTTCGGGTCTTTATTAGGCATCAGGCATTCCAGGCTAACCACTTACAGCTTTAAGCTTACCCCTCCCCCCAGAGATATTCGCGATGACCCAGAGCTCTTTCGCTGAAGATGCCGCTCAATCCCGGATGATCGACCCATGGGAATATGCCCCCACCCCTGGTCACTTCGGTACCACACCCGCAACCTTGTACTCCCCGAGCCCTGCCCCGTATCGTGCCACGGATCAGCCACAATCGGATCAACTTAATTTCCTACCGTTTGCCAAATGGGAAGTAGGTGGCGAATACGATGAGGAGCCTCCGAAATACGTCTGCTACACAATCGAATGGAAGGTTATACTGAACCGCAAAGCGGTAGGTAGAGTGACGGAAGAAAATTTGGTTGTAGCCCCTGCCGAATATTGGGAGGAGACTCTGAAAGCAGATGTTGAAGGCATGCTACAAATGAAAAAGAAACGTCACCAGAGAGTTCGATCTGAGGGCACGGATATTACGATGAAATCGAACGACCGGTCCCAGAGAAAGATCGAAAAATTCTACAATTCTACTAACATCGACTGGAAACCAGTGGAGAAACAGCTACGTAAATGGAGCAATTTGCTTCGTATTGGCAAGAAGCTCACTATAGTCATTGCTTTCAATTATAGGAGTGAAGATGACGATCATTCTGCGTCCGGATCAGGGAGAGTCGACAAGAGAGGCCGTGTGTCTGCAACAAGCAGAATGTTGACTGAGCGAGAGGCTCACATGGCTGCTGAGGAAGAGAGAACTGGGCAAACTGCAACGTGGAGTGTTGTATATGACCGTATGCGGTGTAATGTTCGTTCATGCCCGCTTAGGTCTGATTGGTGCTGGGAAAACCCTACGGACAAGAAACATTACAAGCTGAGAGCTCCACACCTAGAAAGACTTATTGAACATGTTGATAGTGGTGGGAGCCTTGATTGTCACGACGATGTCCCTAGCGATATCCGTCAAGACCTGGTCCTAGAAAGCCAGATAGGAAGAAAGTCGAAAAAGACTGACACGACATCGACTGGACCAACATATCCCCCAACCATCATCAATGTTCTGCCAGCACAAACCGCAAGTGCGCCCACGGTGACCTCGTTCCTACCCAAACATATACCCAACGAGCCTCTCGTAATTCCTGGGTCTCGTGAAGCGGCAGTTAGGAACTACTGCGAGTGGCTTGAAGCACGCGCCACCGACGAGGAGTACAAAGCAGATTTCCGGAAAATCTGCCAGGTGACGTTGGAAAACCACCTCGATCTTGAACTGATCCTTGAGGACCCAGACGCTGGCTTCTTCGTTCGACGAGGAATTCAGATTGGAACCGCCCGTCGCTTTCTACGTGATATAAATGAATGGGCTACTGTGATAAAATCAAACATGCTACTTGATTAGGGCACCGGAGAAATTCTCGATGATTCCGAACAAGTTTAACAGCTATCTTTTTTACCCCAAGGTCTGTTTGGCTCCACATTATTTTAGGAGCCGGAGTTTCTGTGCGTCAAGACGTTTGATTCATTTTGGCTTGGGGCCTTAGTATTTTACAACTGCAAGACGTGTCGCACGCATTGGCCCTCAAACGAAAGCCAGGGGAGGAGAGAATGAAATGCAAATGAGCCAATCGAAAACGAACCCAGATGACTAATACTCGGAATACGAGAGATGAGTCGATCTGAATGAACTTGAATATAGTACATTAGAGAGACACAGCGTAGACCCAGAGGCCTAATTCACTCCGTTCCTTCTTAATTGGATCGCCAATCGACTTTGAATTGATTGAAAAACACCTGGTTATCATTAATACGCGCGCTTGACCAGGCTATATCGGAGAAGGTCATGTCTCACAGATCGTGGAATTCTTGATTGGCTCACTGTTAGGTGCAGCCATAGGGATCCTCACAGAGTATCCCCGTCTTGACACAGGAGTAATACGGCTCTCCTTGACCCGCAGTGCAGCCGTAGGGATCATTGCAAAGATTGCGCCGCTGGCATTCGTATAGTTTAGGACAGCCCCCTTCACAGCCGGAATTAGAGGGCTGGGCCATGAAAAGGCCAGCTTGGAGTGTAATCAGAAGAAGTATGAACCGCATGGTGGATTTTGGTGTAAAAATGAATGAGATGATTCCTGCTTACGGATGAAAAGGGCAACCTATAAATATTATGATAGAAGCAAGGGGCTGCTGAGTTCGGGAGCAAGTCTGACCGAATCCTGCACATAGTGTGTAACGTAGCGGTCGATCATTACTGGCATGCTTATCTGTTGTACAAGCTGTGCAACCATAGAATGCAGGGAGAAACCAAGATTCCTCAAAGCTTAAGATGCCTTGATAGGTGTAAGAGATCCACTTGCGTGGATCGATAACCCTGGCGATCAACGAATTATTGAAAGTCATTACTCCACACGAGCGATTTCTATTGCACACGAGATTATACAATGTTTCGTTACCTGAATCATTCTGGGTGGGTCAAAGGTGGCTATCGAGTGATAGATTCTGTGGATCAATGAAGTTGAGAGCGCCAAGGAAGATGTGGAGAGACTTCATTTCTAAGCTCAGAAAATAGGGATAAGTTCATCCCCTGCAGTTAGGTTGCGACGGGAACCATTGGTTGAGGCTTGACACGGCGAGGTCAGCTGGATCCCCAGAGCACATGACTTACGTCAGAATTACATACTGAAAGATGGGATACATATGCTCGCTGGCTATTTGCGTGAGCAGATGGGTCGATCACAGAAGCACAAAATAACAACACCCACAGGGTGAACGTGTCGTGTGTAGTGTGGTAGGCCAGGGCGATCTAACTGAGATACAAAAAATCGCATATCGCAGCCATGCGCGAGCGAGACCCGCTGAAAAGAGACGAAATGGCGAGACGAAAGGAGTGTGTAAATTCTAAATGCTGATGCTATCCGCGAATGCTAGTTGTGTCCTCGAAAATGAACGCCTTGTTGCTAAGGCCTTGATTACCTGGTCGTCGCTGTATCCCCACTACAATACTTAGCTTACATAAATCTAGAAAGCAAGCCTTTCCGCCTCGCTCCTCAGTCGCGTTACGCTCAATGTAGCTCAAGAACCGGCCATGCCTTTGCAAAGTGCTTGCTCTTTAGAGCTAAATCTCTCTGATATTAACATCAAACGTGAGCTCAGTCGCTCAAAAGCTTCAACAATCTATGAAATCCAGCTATTCAGGAAGCCACGTGTCATGAGCTTGTAAATTTAATTATTCCGTCCAAGGATGACACTAACCTGCCAGTTCCACGACAACGGCGACCCTGGATACACGAGAAAAGGCTAAGATGTAAATTGTTTCCGCTGTAAATTGAATGCTCATCACAATCTCCGTGATTTTGGCGTGTGCGACCGAGGCTTTGTTCCTGCTTTTTAC